AATGCGTCTGTGAGTACTTTCTGTTAGGATGGAGGGCCTTTACAGTGCTCGTTGCCTTCCTGTACACAGCAGTCATCATGGACTATTTGATCGCACCCTGACGGCAGGAAGTTCAAGAATGGGACCGGACGCGCTGAGTTCCTCCCTCAGTGTGGGCCGGATTTGAAGGCAGGGAGTGGCAGACTACCTCCTCGTCCATGAGATGTATTCAAACTTTTGACCCCTGTCGGGAATATGCATGATTTTTAAATTTTATGCAAAACAGCTTTCGTGAAGTGGCTGAAATCTAGTGAACAAACGGAGAATAAAGTCGACTCCACAGAACTTGCCAGATTTGGTCTCACAAAGTGTACGACTGCAAGTCCAACAGGAAGTACTGTATTTTGTGTACATGGAGAGTGACTTCACAATGCTTCCAGCATGGACGCCACATAACAGCACACACATTCGCCCCAACGGTGTTCTGCGGCAGAAGGTGGCGTATGACTCCTTTGAATTCTCTCTTTTCAGACAGCAGTGAAGATTCCGGCGCAAAATCTGATGGCCCGAATTCCTCCTGGTGGCTGCATTCAACTGCACAAAAAGCGGCGAAGTATCTGTGGTGATGGGGCTAGTGTTCATGTGGAGGCAGGGTGGTGTTTCACCAGGAGGATGGCTTCCATTACTAGGTGGATTTTGATTATTCAGCGGTCAGTCCACAAAACCTACCTAAATCCTACGGTTACCATGGCGACAGCCCTGTAGAAATCAGTTAACGTCCAGGGTTAGAATGAAATATGATCAACCTAAAATCAACTGTCAGACCGCGCTCTACCCCGTGAATGCGGCAACCTCCTTGTTCCGGAATGTTTACAAGACCATTGCCAACTGAACCACCTCCCAATCCTGTTATTCCGCATCAACGCCCACACTTCCAAACCGTGGATTTTCTAATAGAATCCGAACTGCTTGAGTACTGCTTGTGTAACCTTAACTCATCACGATCACATTTTGCACCACCTCAGCAGTAACGTTACATAAAGTTACCACGGTTTTCTACACTTCGGGGTTGGGCACGAATGGCTGACGACGGCTAATAAGGCAGAAATGGCCATTCCAGTCTCCCTTGTCTTTCTCGGTGGTGTATTACGCGCCGCTGTGCGGCTGCTGGCGGGACTCGAGAGAGCATCCCAAGACACAGCGGGACGAGTGGGTTCCGAAACGCGATCGGTGAGCGCTCCCTACCATTGTATATTCCCGATCGAAACCGACAGGGCAACGGGCTCGTGGCCCAGTGGTTAGAGGCGTGGACTTCTAAATAATAGGTTGTGGGATCGAGTCCCAGGTGTTCCACACTTCGGGGTTGGGTATGACTGGCAAATGACAGCTAATAAACCAGAAATGGCCATTCCAATCTCCGTCTGACGACCGGTTGGTGTCCCCGGCTCGAAAAATCACGAGTAAAACTCGATTTTTTCCGACGAGCCTTCCACCTTCATACATATACATAATGGTAGGGGGCGCTCACCGATCGTTCTTACGGAACTCACTCGTTCCGTTGCGCCTTACGGGCTCTCTCTCGAGCTCAACCAGCAGCCGCACAGCGGCGCATGATATAGACAGCATGGTATTACCGACAAAGACGAGGGAGAATGGAATGGCCATTTCTGGCTTATTACCCGTCGTCGGCCAGTCATACCCAACCCCGAAGTGTGGAACACCCGGGGCTCAACTCATGACCTGTTAGTCAGAAGTCCACCCCTCCAACCACTGGGTCACAAGCCCGTTGCCTTGTCGGTTTCGATCGGGAATATATGATGGTAGGGAGCGCTCACCGATCGTTCTTACGGAACTCACTCGTCCCCTTGTGCCTTACGGGCCCTCTCTCTCTCTCAAGGTCATTCCAACCTCCCATGTCTTTGTCGGTAATGCCATGCTGCCTATATCATGCGCCGCTGTGCGGCTGCTGGGTGAGGTCGAGAGAGAGAGCCCTTAAGGCACAACAGAACGGGCTCAGTGGTTAGAGGTATTGTACTTCTAACTAACAGGTCGTGGGATCGAGCCCCAGGTGTTTCACACTTCTGGGTTAAGTATGACTGGCAGACGACAGCTAATAAACCAGAAATGGCAATTCCAGTCTCCCTTGTCTTTGTCGGTAATGCTAGGCTGTCTGTATTACACGCCGCTGTGCGGCTACTGGCGGGGCTCGAGAGAGCCCCAAGGCACGACGGGGCGAGTGGGTTCCGTTACACGGTCGGTGAGGACCCTTCTACCACGCTTTCTTCTGCGGCCTTTTGCTGTACACGGGCACTATGCAAGTAAGTAGAGTGAGCATACTATCAAATGTATCATTTTCGGGATAGATAACAAACGTCAACAGAACCACCATAACTTAAGCATACGAATCTGGTGTAGATACTGTTTAAAGCGCTTTTTCAGGAGTCAACAAACAATTTCGGTCGTCTATCCAACGAATACGAGCAGAAGTCATGCAGGCGTGAAGTTCAAGAGGAGAGAATGGTTGATTTTCGCTATGTCACACCGAGATCTCCGAACCTCCGGCTGTAGACACTGATTTCGAGCGGTTACTGCAACTGCAACACAGGACGTTTTCCTACTGAAATGCACGCAATGAACATCTATTTTCATTAAAAAAAAAACAGTTGAATATCACTTGCAGTAACAAAAGTCTATTCCATATTGCACCAACCGTAAAAACGCTGCGCCTCGATGGGATTCGAACACACGACAGCAAGGGGAAGGCCATATCACAGCCAACGCTCTAGCCATTCGAGCTACGAGTCCCCACCGGGAGACGCCTGCCCAAGTTACTGTAACGTCTGGGATCCACCAAATCACAGTTGGGCCAATAGGAGTTATTCAAAATCTGCCGAGAAATCCAGAAAAATATGTTTGCTTGTTTCTCATAAAATCTATAACTCGGGGCGCATGGACTCCTCCCCAGCATTGGGTTTCGAAAAAGCGTTTAGGGGGACTGTAGTCTGATTCCCGTTTCGGTCGGATAAGAACATATACGTCCCTCTCAACCCCCAGCACGTTGGGAATGGCGGTACCAGAGGTTTTGCGAACGATATGGTCGAAATTATGCAGCAAACCGGAAACTATATTTACTTCACGTGTTTGTTTCAGTGTACGTGTATGGTGCCGTCAGTTGGGCCAGCATGCGTTTTTGTGGAGCGGCCGATTTGTGATCAAAGAGTAAGGCTGCAATGACCCCTTCTTAATGTGGCCTAGATGGCACTCTCACTCGGCGGGATCAGAGCCGAGTGTGGCGGAACGCCCAGGTGCGGCTCCGGCCGCGCCAGTCCTTCCTATTGTTGGTTAAAATCCTGGCAACTTGCTGTGTGGATCAGGAAGTGTGCAGTGGAGCGCCAGGGCTCGGCTTCGACCGTGCCGTCCACCTGCGCCCCCCCCCCGCCTCCGGTCATCTTAGCTCTGTTTTAACTCTGCGCCCAGGTGGGGGAGGAAGAGAGAATGCGGTAGATGCTGTGCAAGTCTACATGCACTACAAACTAGATCATCCGCAAGTCCCCGCGCCTGTTTCATTATGCTGTGGAACACACGGTGGACATCGTCGGAAACGACGGTCGAACTGTCGGTATATAGTGCCGTCTCTGATGATGGGTTTGGGCACGAACCAAGCCCTTGTTCCGGAGATCGCGTCTACTTATTCTCGGCTAATGGAAGGCTTCGACTATGAAACCGGCCAGTAATTCATACAGTCTTCGCGAGAAGCAAAAAAGAACATTAGTGAATGAAACACCACCCACTAGGGCGCCATGACAAATTGACGGACTCGTATTATCAAAAGCTGCAACGACGTACAGTCCAAAAGCTTCCGTCCTCTATCTCCTTCAGTTCCATCTGAATTAGCGCTTTGAGCCCCTTCCGGCGACTTCGATAAATTACTGTCCCGAGGAAGTTTATTTGAGAAAACCCGCTCGGAAGTAGACACGGACTGTATCTGAACAAGGTTATCAGCGAGAAGGATCATGCGAATGTACGCACGTTCATCCATTGAGTCTCGCAAGGCACGAAACCTCAGCCTGCGAACAGGCTCGATTGTCGAAATCCGCTGACTGTTCTTCAGTCCTGGCGGTCGCAGCAGTCATGAAATATGCAACGAACAATTAGCAGGAAACGCACCCCATGGGCAGTCCTTCCACTGAGACGGCAAACAGGCCGGTCTCCAATTCCTGACAATTCTCTCCCCCTCCCTCTCCCCACCCCCCCGGGCTCCGGCCCGGCACACCTGTAACCGCAGGCCTCGCGGTCTCACCGGCGTTCTGATAAGGCGGTTATGACTCAGTGGGGGAGTCTGTGAGTAGGTCGCCCCGGGCTGTCTGTAGGCAGGATAAGACGGTTGAGGGGGTGCCAGATAACCGCCGCCGCCTCAGCAGCAGAAGCAGCATCAGCCTCGTTTGCGGACGGACGGGCCAAGGGAATAATCGATTAGAGCGGGCAAGACAGTGAGAGAAAGGGAGACAAGCTCTCAAGACCGTTTGCTGCCAGGTGCTCGCTCCTCTGGTCAAAAATCACTGCAGAAGCACCTTGAAGACAGAGGGGGGGGGGGGGAGAGACAGATGACAGGTGATTAATTCATTTAGGTGCTGTCTCTCTCTCGTCTTCTCGTTTCTGCAGCAACATCCTGTTCTGTCCTCCTCAGAGCTAAGCCTGTGGGAACCTCCGCCTATGTGGGAGAAGGGGAAGTCTAGCAGGTGGACAGGGCGGCAACTGATGATGTTGACAGATTAGTAGCAAGAGACGCACTGCCCACTTAGGAATAATCAGCGTGCAATCTAGGGTCCTCGGAGTGTTGTCGTGATGGAAACCAGCAAGAATGAGGAGGAAGAGACGGTTTTTCAAATGCAGCCTGCTTCCTCCCAGAACAAGGGATCATGACCAACAAGACATCAAAGAAGTCAATGCGTGTGGACGTTCTGGGTGCGTCGTACAGTCCAACCATACTCGTTCCTTCTGTGCGGGAGGCATTGTTTCTAATGTACACACCACCGGAGGGAGTCACAATTCTTAGTTCACCTGAGGAGAAAGAGACGAAGAAGAGAGAGGAGGAGGACTTGGGAATGCTTGGAGACACTGGCTGGCATCAGCTAACGAACAACGAGGACTGTACGCGGGATTCAACTTACGCCCCAACGTCGCCAGCCTTTACGTCCCGGTTCTAAGGTGGGACCTCACTGATTGACAAGGAATTGAGGTCCCCCAAATTACCCTGTCTATTCAAGCTACGCTTGCCAACCGGTGGAGACTTTCTGGCTTGCAGCAGATATGACCAAAATCAGCGTTCTTAGAACCGATAATAACTGAGGCCCTCGTAAGAAAACGCGTCCATCGAATCAAGAAGGTACGTTAGAAGGCTGTTCCTGATATCGCGCAGCCACCGAGTGCCAGTACTGTCGAGTACCCAATGTTGTATGGGAAGCAGCCTACATGACGCCCGAATGCCATTCTCTAGCTTCTGACTCTACAAACCAGATAGGACGATCGACAAGGATGAGGAGATCGTTCCATCTACTATCCCCAGTAAGCAATACGCAGATGCGTGAGGCAGGGGAGTGCGGTAGATGCTGCGTGAGTCCTCCACACCATAAACTAATTCACGCAATCTGCGAGCCGCTGTCGGACGGACGCTCCGGGTCTGAGATTACCTGAGCAGAAGGCAACATGTGAAAAATAACTTTGCACTCTAAGCGGCTTGTCCTGGGAGTCAAAGATGATGGGGAGATCGATCTCTCGCTCACTTGGCGGAGCAGGCATGACACTTTATGAGGACGCGATTCAACAGGAACAGTAGGTGGGCTAACTCATGAGATGTCAATCGAAGTTCCGAAATGCGGTTTCGTTTCCAAAAGATTAATCAAGTAGCGTTGCAAAACTATCCATCCTGCATCATAATTCTATAATATGTTAGCTACCTCTGGTGGCCGGATTTCGAATGAACTTCCTTCCGACTGCATGCAAAAACTGCACTCTATAAAAAAACGACTATCTGAGTAGCATGAAATTTTCTCATTGATTTTCGATGCTCCTGAAAGTCCAATTATATTTCATAGAAAACATGCATAAAAATATTCATTCTTTTACTCATTCGGTAGATAATTAAATCTTCTTAAAATTTTATACTCGAAGGACGGACCACACATTTCTCTACGGTAATAAGGGGGACCATAGAGGGTTCATAAAATTTAGCAGTGGATTTGATCCATATTGTTGACATTACAAACCACATTGGTAAATGTAGAGATATGACGATTTAAGAACGACCATTTCACGGTATTTAAAAGTCTCACAATTAGAAACTTTTTTAAAACCAAATTATGTTCCTCCTTCGAGCCTAAAATTAGAGAAAGACGTAATTCTCTACCGAATGAGCGGAAGAATGAATATTTTTATGCATGTTTTCCATGAAATATAATTGGACGTTTAGGAGCATTGAAAATCAATCAGAAAAACTCATGCAACATAAGTAGTCATTTTTGCACAGAGTATGGTTTCTGCATGCAGCCAGAAGAAAGTTCATTCGAAAACCGGCATCCTGAGGTAGCTGAATTATTATAGAATGATACTACAGACTAATTGGTTTTACAACCCTACATAATTAATCTTTTCGAAACGAAAACGCATTCGGGAATTTCAGTTGGCATTTCCTGAGTAAACCCACCTACAGTAAGCACCATGGCTAGGCGGAACGATGTTTGGATATCAGGCCGACCCAAACCACGATGGGAGGCTCGCGGCTGCTTACTCATCAGGTGTGCCGCACTTTGTTTGAAAGTGATTTATACATGTGGGGGAGGAGGAAGATATCAACATCCGCCCTCATTGAGTCACCGAAATAAAGATATGGAAGAACTACAGTCAGTGACCGATCTCATGAAATGCTGATCGAAATTCTGAAGTTTTTTTGATTAGGAAGGATTTCTTAAGTGGGGATGAAACATTGGTCATAGTGAGGTATAATCCCATGGTATTTCACACTCGCCAGGATTCCGGCTTTTGAATGTACTCCCTTCTGTCCATCCGCGAAAACCGCACTCGGTAAAAAAATGACTAGTTAAGTCATGTGACCTTTTTCGATTAATTTCCGATGCCCTTATAAATTAAAACATATTTCCTATAAAAAAATGCATAAACATATTATTTCTTGTGCCCATTTAGCAGCAAACTCTCCGGTTTGACACGCGAATAGTCATCGCCTCGAACTAAAAGTGACCTTGAGTTACATTCCAGGGGATATTTTTCCTCGTGTCTTGACTTCAAAGTTCAATCTCAAACCTTACCCCTGAAATTTAGCGGTGGAGCATTGTGGCTGTGCTAAAACCTTGTCCTTGTTGTCGTGGGTTCGAATTCCATCGGGTCCGCCGAGTTTTTTTCGCTCCCTTTATTAGATGTTCTTCTAAGCAGGAGACCTGACGGGAGTGTCTGAAGAAGCGTCTACCGGAAGAAAACCTGGTCTAGACAATGCCCGAAATTCGCCGGTTTCATACTCCTATAACAAAAACGAGATCTAGTCCAATGTTTGGCACAAAAAGCTGGAAAAATGTGCTCGGCAGATAGCATCGAGGAGGAAATTAGAAAAATCGAGGACTTCCTTCGCGAAAACGCGTATCCTGACAGGTTTATTGCAAAGACCATTGCCGAACGACCGATAAAACCCACCACACCGACTACCGAAAAGAAAACTTTGTTCCTCAAAGTCCCTTTCCAAGGGGATTCTGCGAGTGAACTCCTAAGGAGACGCCCTGATCAAGCTGTCTCGCGAACCTTCCCAGCAGCAAGTGTTCAAATATCATTTTATACTAACCCTACTTTACACGGAGAAGTTAAGTATAGGTTGCCACCTCAGACCACCTCAATGTACATCTATCCCCTCACTTGCTCCGGTGGAGTAGGTTATATTGGTCGCACGAGTCGGCGCTTATCCAAGAGAATACGGGAACACCTCCCGGCATGACGGGGAAAAGACGAAACTAGGAGCATAAGCAGCGCCGTTTTCGCGCATGTTGTCGATTCTGGACATCGTGTGGATCCCAACGAAGCTTTTCGTGTGATCTATAAGGTCCCATCGAACTATCCTAAAACACTGGGACAGCGCCAGTTAACCACAGCAGAGGCGGCCGCCATGAGGTTGCGAAAACCAATCTTGTGCGCAGAGAAGAACCACGTTCAGGCTCCGCGCCTACAGCGGTCGAAGGTCGACTAACGTTGCAACTCTCCCCGCGCCCTTCCGTTCTTACCCCGCCCCTGACAGTGACTGCTATAACCCCCCACCCCCCTACCCCACAGTCCCACACCCAGCCTGTGTTTTAAGGCGAACATTTATCGATTTCTGTTATCGCTGATATGTTTTACTTCTACCCCGTTCCCATATAACTGTACTGGCCCGACGAGAATTTATCAAAAGCTGCTTATGCTCGGCACCTCGTCTTCTGACTACTGCTATGGGAATTTTCGCAACTCTTTCACAACTGAGTCAGATGAACTATTCAACTCCGCCAAAAATATCAGTTAATTAAAAGACAACGACATATGCAGCTGTTTGAAGTGTTTTATTAATTTATAGGCATCTCTTTTTCACGTGAGATCCAAACCGCCCTTACGAAAGCCTGGGGCCTGGCCTGGTTGTGGGGGCCAGGTGCGTGTACGGCCCCCCAAGACGGTCTGCTTAACTTTCTCAATCGTTGCGTCAGCGCCTACCTCCGGTCGTTTTGTATTGCTACCAGAGTAGTAGGTGATGAGAAAGAGGGTGCGGTAGATGCTAGAAAAGCCTGCTGCATCATGAACTAATTTTCACGCAAGTCATCGGTACTGAGCCCATTTCGTGGTTCACTCGGGTGACGCCGACGGTCGTCAGGATGGAATTGTCGTTGTGTCTGGAAGCTCAATGAGCCAATGCAAGGTCTTCGCAGACGTAAGTTCACTTAGCCCTAAAATCCGCGTCAGCAAGAGCTGACGGGCCGCAGAAAGAAAAGGCCGGAGAGGAGCAGATGTGCTGCACTCTAAATTAAGGCACGAATGCGGGAAACGGACGTCAAAACAGGAATTGAGAGAGCATAGATAGCCTCCAATGCCTCATAGTCGAACGGACGCTCTGGGTCTGCGGTTAGTTTAGAAGAATGCAAATTGCAGGGGCTCGCCCTGTGAGCCAAAGATAGGGGAATATCGATCATCCGCACAGTCAGAAGAGGCTCTGATGGCTTAGTCGGTAAGGCATTCGACGCGAATTTCAGAAGGTGGAAAGTTCAAGTCTCCCTCGGGGCGTACATCCTTAGGCAATTGTGATTTTTTGGATGTTCATAGTATGCCTGTTACTTACTACTTTGAAGTTTATCGGAAAATATCCCCAAACCCAAGGGAGGGAACGAATCGAAACTGCCAGCGTTGAAGAAACCTGCCTTCCATTCAAATATGCTGGTGTCACCAGCGTGATCAACCGAAGGCCCACCGGCTCCGCGCCGGCCGCATGCTTGACTAGCTTTCCCAGGTTGCTTATCAGGTATCACACCTGACTTTTTAAAAGCTGTTTACACGGAAAGACAAAGATGATCAGAAGTTGAATAAGATATCTCGAGACTTGACGACAATATTAAGTCCTGTCCCGTTCACGGTTTTCGTTTTGTGCTCATAAATTAAAGGAAGTAGATTTAAAAATAAATTGTACTTAAACATAGGCAGTAGACAAAAAGAAAGTCGTAAATCCACAAAATTCCCAGAATGAGAAGCGTATGTACACAGCCCCAGATAAGGGCCGGTCGAGGGTAAACGCTCATTTCTGTCCTAAAGTCAGGACAGATCAGAAAGCGTCGTTCTCATATGACAGCAAGCTATGACCCACATCGACAAGAATAAACCAATGTATATACTCACACGGGAGTGGTGCCCATTGATCTATTCTGACCGTATAATGGGAAAAATAATTTCCGGTTTGCAGTGGACTCCGACCACAAAGTTCTCAGCGGGACAGTGCTTGGTTTAAGCACATTTGACTTACTGACCAGGACCCAAATTCTAGGCGTTAGACCGAAATTGGGGCATTACAAGGCGATGAGGGAAACTGTCATTTGGAGAAGAAGAAGAAGAAGAAGAAGAAGAAGAAGAAGAAGAAGAAGAAGAAGAGGAGGAGGAGGAGGAGGAGGAGGAGGAGGAGGAGGAAGGGCTCACCGATGAGCCCATCTTCTTCCTCAAATCATCAACCCGAATCTCTCAACTTCGCCAATCTGAAATGATCATCCCCGTAACCTTAATCCATTATTACCGCCGATGCCCACCATCTGCTTTACAGCATGGTGGGCGAAAGGACGGCGCCTTTTACGTGGATTAGTTTACAGTGATAGTGTACTTGCGTTGCATTTACCGCACTGTCTCCTTCCGCAGCCTCATGGGCCCGGAGCCCAGACAGCCAAGAAGGCTGGAGGAGGACTCATACGTAGAAGCCGAGTAAGTTACGGAAGATGTCTACGCGTGTCACACACACACACACACACACAGCTGGCCCACGTCAAAGGAGGAGGATTTCACACACCGAAAAAGTGGACCGAGGGGACGGCTCAGATCCCCAGCTGAGGCCATATAGCTAAGGAGTCATTGCAGCCTGACCGTCAGTTTCGTCGGTTGGCAGCCTTAGGAGTCACGGGTTTTAGCGCACCGTGATAGTTTAAAAGTGCGTCAGATTGTCTATAGCAAGGAATATGCGCTGAGAGTTGACATCACTTGCTTTTCCATCTCCCAGACACAAATACACTGTTCGAGCCAGTCAGTTGTCTGATGCAGGCGTTAAACGCGGTGACTGAAGGGCTAGACCGCTCGTCTACGCGTCCCAAACAAACATACGACAGTTCGACCGTCGATTTCGACGATGTCCACCGTGTGCCTCAGAGCTGCAGCAGCGGTGGGAGCAGGGACGGTGACTTACGCAGGGGTTTATAGTGCCAGTAGACTTGCGCTGCATCTACCTACACTCTCTCCTCCCCCGCCTGAGCCCGGTGTCAAGACAGAGTCAAGAAGACCGGAGACGGGGGAGGCCGCAGGCGGATGGCTCGGACGGATCCTCACCTTGGCGTTCCACCACACCCCCTGGTCCACACAGCAATAACCAGGATTTCAACCAACACAACAGACATTTGGAGGCTGGCACGGCCGAAGCCGCACCTGGGCGTGCCGCCGACACCTGGCTCGGATCCCACGCTGTGGTGGGAATGCCATAAAGGCCACATTAAAAAGGAGCCATTGCAGCATGACTCTCAGATCGCCTCCAGTGAAGGAGGAGGTCCAAGGTACCCCGTCAGTTGGCAACCTTCCAAGCCACGGCTTTTAGCGCACCGTGATAGCTTCAAGCACGTCAGATTGATTACAGTGAGGAGAAAGTGCGCTGAGTCGTCGACCTCACTCTCCCTTCCCACTCCCACACCCCATCCACTGTCCGAGCCGGTCAGCAGACTGGAGTGGGAAATGGGCGCGGTGGCTGACACGGTCGACTGACCATGCCTGCGCGCGCCACAGCACGACCTGGCCCCCCATGCACACACAAACACCAGGATTTCACACAACGGGGGTTGAAAGGCGTGACTCTCACTTGCGTACGATGGCCGTGGAAGGTGCTGCTTCAGCCCGTCCCCAGCCCACCAGTCCGCCACTACACACAACTCACACACACACAACGTGACGAACTGCGTGAGCCGAGAGCGGGCATCGAGCAGCAACCTTCCTATCCACGACACTTGACGTGTCCGGATAGCCTCGGACTCAAGTCACCCGTGCAGCCGAGGCCGCATGGGGACCGAGTCGAGATGCACACTTCCCACTTGCGTGGAATGTGGCAGTTGGTACATGCGGTGGGTGAGTGTTGATGCTTGGTGGTTGTGGTGGAGGAGGGTATGGAGTGTGTGGATTTGTTGTGTAACCGGCGGTTGTCTACCGCAGGTCGTCGTGGATGCGCATGTGACCAAATAGGCCCATGCGGTGCCTGAAAGTGCGAGGACAATGTGGGCAGTGGAGACGAGCTTGGTGGGTGTAGGTTGGTGCTCCAGGCACTGGTTCTCCAGTCTCTGTGCGATGGATTCGCAAGTGACCGACCAGGCCGATGCGTGAGGTGAATGTGCGTGGGCAGTGTGGGCATGTGAAGGCGGCGGTGTCAGTGTCAGCTACAGAGGAGGCGTTGGCGGTGGTGCAGACGGATGGTACGAGGGTGGTGCTGGGCATGACGGGCGTGGTTGGTGTATCGGAATTGTGGTCAATTCCGCTCTCGTGGATGCGCATGTGGCCGAATAGACCCATGCGATGCGTGAAGGTGCGAGGGCAGTGTGGGCAGTGGAGGCGAGTGCGCTGGGTGTAGGTTGGTGCTCCAGGCACTGGTTCGCCAGTCTCTGTGCGATGGAGTCGCAAGTGACCGACCAGGCCGATGCGTGAAGTGAAGGTGCGATCGCAGTGAGGGCAGATGTAGTCCTGGCCCTCACGTCTGATGATGGAGGTTGCAGGGGTCGTGCCTGTTGTTGTGTCAGGTGCAGCTGTGGTGAAGTCGTGGGCGACAGACGCCGAAGCGGCCGTCGTTGTGGCAGTGAAGGAGGAAGAGGAGTAGGAGGGGCGGAGTGAGGGGTGGTAAAGTCGGTGGCATCGACGGCGGTTGCGGAGAAGTTGGTGGGTGCACAAGGTGATGGATTGGGAGTGGGGCCTAGCGTTGTGGGTGTGTCAAGGCTGCGGTCAATGCCGCTCTCGTGGATGCGCATGTGGCCGAATAGGCCCATGCGATGAGTGAAGGTGCGAGGGCATTGTGGGCAGTGGAGGCGAGTGCGGTGGGTGTAGGTTGGTGCTCCAGGCACTGGTTCGCCAGTCTCTGTGCGATGGATTCGCAAGTGACCGACCAGGCCGATGCGTGAGGTGAAGGTGCGGTCGCAGTGAGGGCAGGTGTAGTCCTGATCCTCATCACTGGAATCGGGAGAGGTGGGGGTGGTTGCGGTTGTTGTGTTGGGGTTGGTGATGTGTGAGACGGCAGCCTGAATGGCCACCGCTGGGGCAGTGGAGGAGAAGGAGGAGGATGGAAGTGGTGGTGCAGAAGGAGTGTCACAGTTAGTTGGCGGCAGAGAGGACGAGGAAGAGGCGGGCGGGGGGACGGTGGCTGGAGCAGTTCGAGAGATGCAGTTGATTCGAAGATGTCCAACAAGTCCGATTCGTGCCCGGAATGTCCGTTGACATCGAGGACACGTAGGGAGAGGTTGTGCGGCGGCGTTGCGGACTGGGCGAAGTTGTGATTTGCGGGCTTCGCGTTTCGCTTTGGCGGCGGCGATTCGGTTGGCTTCATAGATAGCAGCGTCCGTCTTCACTGTTCTCCTCCATGTCGGACGATCGCGGGCGAGCTCTTCCCAGTTGGTCGGGTTGATTTGCAGGCGCTTCAGGGAGGACTTCAGGGTATCCTTGTAACGGCGAATTTGGCCTCCTTGACGACGAGAACCCGTCGCGACGTCTCCGTAGAAGAGTCGTTTGGGTAGTCGCTCGTCGTCCATGTGAGAATCTGAAACGTCAAGCTAATAAAACTCTCGTCCAAGCGATCGTGTCTCCTTCTTCGCGACTACTTCCTGGAACTCGCCTCTTGGCTTCTATTAACAGATAGCAGCTATGTTAAGACGGGGCCATTGAGCCTGACTCACAGTCCCCCAAGACAACCACTCCAGACCAAATCATGCAGGGCCGATCACGGGGTCAGAATTTTGCCGTCAGTTCGCGACCTTCCAACCCCCGACGCTTGGTGCGTTGTGATAGTGTCAAGCGCGTCGAATTTATCATAGTGAGGAGTGAGATGATGTGTTGTGGGTCGATCTCAGTCTCCCCTCTTCCAGGCACCAGTCGACTGTCTGGGCCGGTCAGCTGACTGCAGCCGAGATTGGGCGCGGTGGTTGGCAGAGCTAAAGCGAGCCTTTTAGACATGCCACACACGGCGTGTCCCCCGAGCAACACACTAAGTTTTCACGCAAAAGTGGGGTGGGCTGTTCGGATCTCGCATACGCTACAGTGCCATAGAAGCCACATGTAAGAGCCGGAAAACACGCTACCACTGAGATGGGAGGTGTCTATTTCATGCGGATGACAAAAATAGTTGCTCCCGTAACCTCTGACCGCGTAAGTTGCTCGAATAACGAGCAGACTGTCGTAGGCCATTCAACTAAGGTTACCCGGGCCTGTCAGAATACAACGGAGAGTTGAAATATCTGAGAAGTACAGTAGGTGGGTTAACTCATGAAATGTCAACCGAAATTCCGAAATGGGTTTCCGTTTCGAAAAGATTAATTAAGTAGGGCTGTAAAACAAACCAGCCTACAGCATAATTTTATAGTAATTCGGTTACCGCAGAATGCCGGCTTTCGAAAGAACTTCCTTCGGGCTGTATGCAGTAACTACACTCTGTAAAAGATGGCTGCTTAAGTAACATGAATTTTTCTCATTTAATTTCGACACCCTTAAAAGTCAAATTATATTTCATGGGAAAATGCATGAAAATATCAATTATTTCGCTCATTTGGTAGGAAATTACGTCTTCTTCCAATTTTATACTCGGAGGGAGATAATTCGGTTTTAAAAAAGTTTCTAATTGTGAGACTTTCTATAACCGTGAAATGGCCCTTCATGTAAAGTCGTTACTCTGCATTTACCAATGTTGCTTGTAAAGTTAACAATATGGGTCTAATCCAATGTTAAATTTTACGAACCCCATATCGTCTCCCTTAAATGGCGTAGAGAAATGTATGGTTTTCTGTACGCGGAAAATATACGGATTGTAGTTTGGAAACCCTGATTCCAAGTGTCACGGCAGAGCGGGTCCAAAATTACTCGGGATTGGAAAAGTTTTTGAAAACCTAATCATACCCTTCTAAGAACTTCACCCGGCTTGGAGGTTGAAGTCAGAACTAGTCACTACCCTAGCCCAAGCGCAGTAACCCCCAACACCACTCCAACATTGTTATTGAATGCGAGAACACAATCAGGGCCAACCCCAACTGTCATAACATGGTAATTCCCAAATTTCCAAGAAATGCATCAACTACTAACCCGGAGTCGTTTAAGCATTAAGCTTTGCCCGTCATTAAGCTTGAATTTTGTACCAGATCAATAAAAGCAAATTCTCTCCATGCGGCAGTATAGTTACCAGGTCTTCCTTTCCTGCGGCTTTGTGTGGCGAACGCTGTCACCAAGCAAACAATTGAGGCCAGTGTACTTTAAAATGTATCATTTTTTGGGTAGACGGCAAATCGTCAACTGAACCGCTGCAGTCAAGAGAGATGAATATGGCGAACAAGTCCGAAAACAGCATTTCTAAGGTCCATAACCACACAAAAGCGTCTACTCAGCGGAAGTAAGTAGCGATTACGTACGAATTCAATTGAGAAAATTGTGAAAAATACGGCCGCCCCGAAGGGGTTCGAACCCATGGCATCAAGGGTAGGGCTTCAGTGCAGCCAACGCCCTAACCACTTGAGTTACATGATCCTGCTGGGAGCCGTGAATAAAATCATATTTGGGTAAGGTTACCCGTCTAGCCTACTGTGACGTATGGGATCCATCAATTCTGATAGGTAGGCTGGGAAACTTAGCAGAAGAGGGCAGTAACTTTTTGTGGACAGCAGGAACAGAACCTCATTCGTAACAGCAGGCTCATAAGTAAACGCAGATGGACAGACCAGTCTGCCACAGACTTGTCCAGCCATGTCGAACGCCTTGATTGCCAAACAGCGGAGCTCCATTTGTGCAATAATTCCAGGGATAAAAACTTAGGACGGCTCCCACCCTACTATTACGCAGACGTAAAATCACAACTCACCTCTTCAGCACGCTTTTGCGGAAAACTCATAAATGTAAGCTTCAATGACTGTCTTGTCGAAGTGCATGCTTTGACTTTCATCAGTCACCCTCAGATAACGTCGGACACATCATTTGGGTTAAGAACGTTAGTGTAGAACATATACTGTTGTATTATCCAGATTGCATGCGGCGAGGCGGTCAGCTTCCAGCCGATACCCTAAAGTCAATGTCGACAGCGAGAACTTCCACTTTATCCTGGTTAATATGCAAAAAATATGCGACATCCTTAATCCACCTTCTAGCTGATAGGCAGTGGACTAGGTCGGTCTACGGAAAGAAAATCCAGGGTAGTGTTCGGTAACCAATCATGTTAGATAGCGGGAAACAGAATTTCGGTTGGGAAGTAACCTTGGATTTTGGGGTATATATCTTATGGGAATTGGTTTATACACGTGGTAGGTCGCTAAGGGCAACAGTTCGCGACAGAGAGTAGAACACCCAGACTTCCTTTACTTTCCTTACGCGAACTGAACCAATAAATTTAAAACAAAAGAAACCCCAACTACTAACAAGAAGACACACAAAGATAGAATTTACTGAACAAAACCTCTGCGAACGGCCGGTGCGCAGGACAAAAGGTACAGTCACGCAGCAGGAATATCACTGGCGCTCAAGCCAGGATCGCACAGGTCCGATGTTTTCTTCAATGGCGGAACAGCCCGCGAAAGTGACACGATGGTGTTTATTGTCGGCAAAACTGAATTTTTCGCCCGATTTCACCAGAGGAACACTCTCCTTTCCCGAGTCCAAACCAGCAAGCGCACCGGCCTTCGTAATACATAGAGTATTTCTGAGATGGAAAAGCGGGGAGGGTTAGCGGAGACTCTTTTTAAGAGGGAAAACTACAAATGAGTAGCTAAAAAGTTGCATCTAGGCTTTGGAAAACCTTAAAATGGTCGGAAAAAACAAGGACATGTGGAAAGCGTCTTACTAGACCCGCTGCACTTCAAAGCAGTCTTAATTACGATCTTCTACAATGTGTTCGGGTCTTCTGTCGCTGTCAGTTACCTTCAGTAGAATACTGGGCGTTTATCATTACGCGACCGCTTTAGAGAGCTGAGATGTTGTTTCGGAGGATAACGGAGCGAATGTGCTTCGCGCTGTAGTCAGGCCTAACCGACAAGTTCTGTCACACCCGAATCAAACATTGTAACCGGCCGAAAAAGCGTTAACCAGTGACTTGGTGGTGGAGAAGTGAAGTCCAGTTTACCTCAAAGCCACTGACTTCGAACCAGAGTGTGGTTGGTTGAGGACGCAAACGGCCACAAATAGCCGTAATCCGCTAGATGTTGTTGGCGACTAGAATGACAATGCTTAAGCTAGACGACTTTCAAAACAGCCATATACTTTGCCGTTTTTGTGCTGTTAACCGATGCGACCGCTGATCGCTGACTAGGATGGACCGCTTACTCCCAACACTTGCCCTCATTACCGTCACAAACACCCACTAATCTGGCACATCAACGGCAGCCGTCTAGCCATCGGGAACGACCACATTCTACTCAGTAGGTCTCTTATCCGGGCGCATCACCGCAGATTGGTGAGTGGTGCCGAAACTGGGGACGCAGCGAGCCCGATCATTTGCTCACTAGAACACCCCCGAAGGTTCATTTCTCTCTTAAACCACAAAAGGACTCGTGTCAGACGCGTTAATGTCAGGAGACAGTGGAGACTCTAGACAGAGAAATCCGGACTCATTCTTGAGCCTGAATCAACGTGAAATCAGCAGCAGTTGGTCAGCCTCGAAGTCCACAGTGAGAAGGACAAGTGAGAGAATTTCTGGATCCACCGAAGGGTGCCGCAGTGACTCAGTCAGCGCAATAACTTTAGTCGTCTGCTCAGATAACCTATGTTAGGTCCCGAAATTGTGATTCTCTTTGCGAAGTCCCGGAAAAAAACAGTAAAATGGATTAGAGATGCCAGTAAAAACTACTCGGCAGAAGTGGAGAGCTTCATACAACAGGCCTCGAACGTCAGCAACACTCGACAACTCAATCAACTTATCCACCAAGTTAGTGGTAAATTTCCTGCACTGAATGACTCTAGTCGCGAAGTGTTAGTAAACTTTATTGCTGACAACTCAGCCAAGGTCATCAAGTGTCTTTCCACCTCTCCTATCGTTGGCAACGGAGTTTCAACCTTCCCTGCACCCTCCATATCTGGGAGAAGTCTCGAATGTGAGACTGAGACTGCACACTTGCACGCAGAGGATAGTATTTACACCGAAGTCAATAGGTCTTGTCGATGCACAAACGGCCTGGGTTCGCCTACATACTGTACAAAACTGGGGAGAAGAGATCATTCCTGGTATCTCGGGTTTGGCGATGCTTGTGCTTGTCTTTAGGAAAAGAAACAATACGACGCCCGCCAACCACGACGACAAAAGTCGACTTGATGTTGCTATAAGGGTCTAAGACCACTGGAATGCTCGGATGATTTAAGTTTGCAAGATTCGGGGGCGACTCAGTCTATCCGGGTTCCGAGCTGGACGTGGGTGTTCCAGCTAGATATTAACACTACGGCGCATTCCGGAATTCCACTACTGGTACCAAAACAGGCGATCTGTTCTTGATATTGGTGTGGCTTTCGGTCCCGTTCACTGTGGTCGCCTGTGGCGGATAATGAAGCTATTTGGCGTTTAGACGGAAAATAAAGATCATTAGGGTTAACAATCGTTTCAATTGCTCCCAACCGTTTGATATTCGTTCAGGCCTCCGACAAAATTGCATTCTGTCATTTATCCTGTTTAGCTGCCCCGTCGAATTGATTCTTAGGCGGGCTCTACGCGACTTTGACAGTACAAAACACGAACCTGGGCGTCGGCTGGTTAACCTCAATTCTGTTAACGACAGCTAGATTCGGACTGCTGTTAGACGAATAAGGTGAGGACGACATGATTGCCAAAAACGATGTCGCTCGCAGGGTTCTTTATTGCTTTCTAAGGCGTCTTTGGAGTCAAGCATATCACAATGATCACGAAAATTCGCAGGTACTTGTTGTCTGTCTGGTCAGTCCACCCGCATGACTGTGAATGTTGAGTCCCACGCACGGAGGAGTAAGAGGAGCAAAAAATAAAGGCTTCTGACTATCGTTGTCTGACATTTATCCCCCGAACGAAGAAAATCGACCCTGTCTACATTTAGACGCTCCGAACTCGCTGCGACACCATCATGTGGACACTTCAGGTCACCCAAAAGAAATGAATGAGGTGGCTTGGATGCGTTCCTGTTCGTCTACGGTTTCAGTGTCACTGCCCGACGAAGAGATCAGATAGACTTGGCTCGACGATCCAACAAGACATGAATGCGGTTATTTGGCCAATGAAATCCGGCTTCCACTGACGGAGAAGATAGTAAGTTAACCTGTCTAGGTCTGCTATTTCTGAGAGTTCCGTGAACTGCAGTTAGAACAAACATCAAGTACGAGTCCACTTTTAGAAGTTGAGAACTTAAAAAGACTACTACAATTAGTGCTGCAACCTGTCGTAACAAACACAAAAGAAATCAGTTTAAAGGGGATAAGACAAGTAGTTGGTTAAGTCAGTGGCAGAAAGGCAGCACAGTCTATGACAAAGTGTTGCATATAAGAAGCTTTAATACGCTCAGCATTGTATACTGATGTGACTGTCGATTTTCACTTCGGACGCTATTGCCAACTCCTTGATACTATTTCCCATTCTACACTGGAAAGTGTTGGTGAAGCAGTCAGACGCCTGCAGTTAGTTACCTGACCCAGTTAGGGACAAGCAGGCTGCCAAATGGAGGCCTGGAACATACACGGTGACATGATTTTTTAACTCCTAACACAACCACCTAAGTGAACTTGGATGATTTCTCTTAAGGGAGAAAAACTGTTAGCTCACACATGTTTTTGACGCCTTGGGGTGAGGTCTCGGATCCAAACAATAACATTCAGGTAAGTTTTCATGGCCAGGTTAACACCACTTTGACGCCGACAACAACTGGGGGCAGAATCTGCCACGTAAGTTCTCTGCAGCTCTGAAATGAAGTGATATTCCTTATTTAAAATCTATTGGTTTCCCCCGGACGGTGATAGACGCTGGTGGATGCATAAAGGTTTTTATGATTTCCCTACTTATACAGGGCGACACTGCTTCCATGAGAGATTCAAGAGCGGTGAAGTTACATAAAAATAGGCCACAGGTACCGAGCGCCTTCATTATTCTAGGCTAACGCTACGGCTGTGCTAAAGTCGAGTCCGCCAACCGTCTATATAGGGCAACTTGACGCCAAGTTAGGAGAAAAATTACCTAGCAGTTCAGGGGAGGTCAACGCTAAACACAACATTTTAGTTAATGAAGAGAGTTGGCCGCAAGACCAAGTGGAGGGTATAACATAAACCTGAGGATCGAATTCTTACATTTCGTCCTCGAGAAGTTTTTCCACCGCGATAATATCCTTTGCATTAGGCAAATCTTGCTTGTTGCAAACAATCAAAAATGGGACGCGTCCCTTCGCCAAGGTTGCATCCGCGAGGAGATTGTAGAGATACTCTGCGACATCTTTGAGAGACTTTTGGATGGAGACCGAGTCAATAACAAAGATGACCCCCCTTAACCGATGTAAAAGTTCAGAATAGCAACGCGTACGCAGTGCGACTCTTGTTTTTTGCTACATATTCGTAACGAATCTTCTCATGACTGGGAATGTCTATAAGAGTTAGATTTCTTGACGCCTATTTAAAATAAGCTCATATTTAAAATTACCCTGGTCCTTAATTTATAGGTATCCGAGTTCGGGCCAAGTGAGGTAAAAGTCATAACGTGCTTTTTGTGGACAAGCATTGTAAACAGAGCTGTTTTTCCCGATTCGGTAACACCTGCAATCATGATACAATCCTTGCGGAACCTTCTCAGCCATAGATACAACCCAATCAAGCAAGCGATCACAGACAACCCAATCACAACAGGCAACATAGCCGACGAGGATAATCTCACATGGCCCACATTAATTTTAGGGTACTTAAACTTATTATTTAAAGGTCGACAGTCGAAAAATGAAGATCGAGGAGGAGAAAACGCTATTGAGATATCCTTACATCGTGTCTGGAAGTAACAACGATATACGAGGCCTTGACTATTCAGAGACTGGCAAGTCGTCACACCGCCAATGTCGTTAGGGGGGCGAGATAATACTGTGATTGCCAGTTGGTCTCTATGTGCCGCTGTGAGTCAGCGTGGTCTTCCTTCATTGATTTACTGAAGATCTTTTTATCTATGTCGGGTTGGACTTTGGGGTTGGCCGCCAGGAAAGAAGCGCCGAACGCCCTCCAAGTTGAGATTATTTGTCTTAGGTTCTATAAGAGCACATCGGTCGAAACCTCAGAATCAAAATTAAACCATTGCAGTGCCTGCTCCTCCCCTTCTGGTAACGTCATCTTGTAACCAAATTTTTAATAAGAATCTGCCATCGGAGTAATTGGTGGATGATTTCGAATCTAACAGTTTACGGCAAAGTTATAGTGGGAAGCCATCATGTCTGGTCTGGTGTCATTGTTCGAGACCTCGCTGCCCCAAGGTCATTCACCCCTTGTAGTGAGCCGTTCCAGACGCGCTGACGTGAAGTCACACGACGGACAATTCGAGCACACCTGCGTCCGCACAGCCGCAGCTGCCCATGCGGCCACTTGATCGCACCGCCCCCTTCCAACCACAGCCTAAGACACTAGGACACCACCCCTCGGCAAATGCAAAGCGCACTGACTGGACGCCACTTGAGTTTGGCTCCCGAGCCTACAAAAGCGGCTGCCACCACTACACCAAGGACTCTCAGGCGTGACTGGACGCAGTCAACACCAGCCATGACTTCGCCAGTGGCCACTGCCGCCTGAGAGGACAACTCCGGGTTCTCATTTTAATTATTATTTTTTTATTAAAGACCCGTCGGGGTCTCATCAGAGCACAATAAACCCCTCATCCAGGGGCATTATGTCTTCTCCTTCTAATCTGGGATTTGGCTTGAGAATTGTAGTGCCCAGAGCACTTATTCTCTTTGCTGTGCTGCTACAAAGTCGACAGACGCTGGAATATAAAAAACACCTTTCGTCAGAGTTCTGACAAGACAGTATGTTCATAACCTCGTAAAATATTACAGTTATGGCGTTCAAAACTTGTGCCTGAACGCATATGCTAGGAAATAGTATGCTATACATCTGAAAGAAGAATTTCAATAGAAAAACGCAACCAAATAAACGAAAAATGAAGGACGGGAAAATGCAAAATCGAAATAAAGTGCGCAGGATATTGGCAATGACAGAAAAATCACAAAAAATAAAAGCAGTCACTGCATACCATAGTACGCATGGTTCGAATGAGATGTGCGTTATTTTTTGCAGACAAATCCTTTTGAGTTCAGTTAATGTTATTGGGGGAAATCGGAGTGAGGTGACAAAAACCAAAAGTGCAATGCGAAATTGGACGTAATTTTTAGAGAATGCTGCAGGATTTTCTAAATCATCATTTGGTGAAGCATCCAGTAACGATGTAGCATTTGGTTTTGTACCCCAGAATATTGCTGATGCGGGCTGGACTGAATGAAAATGGTTAGGTACATTCACTATTTTGATCTCCATTTCGAACGCAAGAAAGGTCCGCTGTTGTACTTACTTCAGCAGACGCGATTTTTTGATTTCAACGGAGGCTCAGTTCAGTTTAATTTATTGAGGGCAATAGACCTGAGCCTGTATGGAACGCACAGTTGGGTGCAGTGTACAGTGAAGTCGGCCAATAAAAATATGAAAAACTGAGAGTGGGTCTTAACGGCTGAGTCCAATTTCCTGCTCATTCCGAGGCATAAATCGGTCAAGGTTGCTTGTAAGGCTTTCCATCGATTATGACATCACAACATGTGTGGAGACTGCTGCTAGAGAAGGTGCAGAGCATCCTGTCATTACCTGTCCCCAGGACTCTAACTAAGCTGCGGCGTTTCATAGGCTTTCTTAATTATTATCGACGTTTTATTCCTCCCTGTGCGGCGACCCTAGCTCCTCTAACTGACCTTTTGAAGTCTAAAGCAAAGCCGATCGAACTTTCTCCAGCAGCTCACTCAGCTTTTGAGGCAGCAAAGAAAGCTCTTGTTGATGCCACTTTGCCTTACCATCTCAGCTCCGACCCCCACGCACAGCTCATCTTGACCACTGACGCTTACAACAGTGCTGTCGGCGCATTCCCGCATCAACAGGTGAAAAACCAGTTGCTACCACTGGCTTTCTTTTCACAGAAGCTACAACCGGCGCAGATTCGCTACAGTACTTTCACTCGCGAGCTCCTTGCCATTTACTTGGCCATTCGTCATTTTCGACACCTCTTATAGGGCAGAGATTTATCGGTTCACGCCGACCACAAACCTCTCACTTACGCCCTCAAGGCCAATCCAGTTCGGTACTCGCCCAGGGAAGTTCGTCATGCGGACTATATATCGCAGTTTACTTCAGATAACCGCTACGTCCGAGGCAGCGACGATTTCGTTGCTGATGCATTATCCCGTGCAGACATCAACACACTTACATCCGATTTCGACCTGGCGAAACTTGCAAACCTCCAATCAGGCGACAAGTACGTTGACGACCTGCGTTCTACTACCACTCTGCAACTTCGAGATGTACTCCTTCTCGCATCACCAGGCACGATTTTGTGCGACTGGTCCACAGGCACTCCTCGACCTGTTGTTCCATTATCCTACAGCAAGACAGTGCCTGACCATTTCCATTCCCTGTCACATCCTGGCATTCGCGCTTTTTGAAAGCTAATCACCGCTCGTTTTATCTGACCAAAGATGAGCTCTGACATCGCTCTTTGGATTAAGCAGTGTTTAGCCTGCCAGAAAAAAAACAAAGTCCACCGCTACACGTTTTCTTCACCAAGTATATTCGCCGTCCCAGATGTTCGATTCCACCACGTCCACTTGGATTTTGTTGGTTCGATACACTCCTCACGCGGGTACAAGCATATTCTGACAGCGTTGACCGTTTCACACGATGGCCGATTGCCGTTACCATCTCGGATACCTCGGCAAAAAATATCGCTATGATTTTTCTGACGCACAGGATTTCAACTTTTGGTGTTCCAGCCACCCTTACTACTGACCGCGGGAGTCAATTCCAATCTAGCCTCTTCCGTGGATTCACTAAACTGCTCGGGCGTACGCACATCACAGCCATGGCATACCACCCTGCCTCCAACGGCCTCGTGGAGCGTGTACACCGTCAAATCAAGTCCGCACTGATGTCCCAAACAGAATCAATTTCTTGGAGTTACAATCCCCTTCTTGTGCTTTTGGGTGTTCCATCTTCCGTCAAGGAGGACATCCAATGCACTGCCGACGAACTTGTGCATGGTTCACCCCTCCGTCAGCACTGAGAGGTCGTGCAGTCTTCCACCACGAACACCAACATTCCGAGCACCTTCGTACAGCAGTTGAAACAACGCATGGCTCAACCGCATCCAACTCCCACTCGTCTGACATCCAAACGTGTGTTTATGTATGAGGACCTTAAATCTGCTCCATTCGTTTCGCCCGGCATTACGCGCTTCGCAAACCCCTCTGTTCCCCGTATGATGGACCATATCAGGTTCTTCAGCCGACGGCTTTCACAGAGACGTTGCGTTCTGCCGACATTGCAGATTGAGGAATATCACTTAGATGATAGAATTCCTGCAATTGCACTTCGAGAACTCGTTCATAAAGTGCGAGAACCATTGTCTATAATATTCCGAAAGTCACTTGAAGAAGGCGAGCAATCGGAACAGTGGAAGCGTACATTTATCAACTCGATCAATAAAGGAGATTGTCAACCTAACTGTGAAAATTGTCGTCCTGTCGGTCTAACTTACATCGTGTGTAAAATAAGGGCGTACATTATCAAAGGATATTTGCTGGTAAACCTAAAAACGAAATGTTAAGTGATGCCGACATGGCTTCCGTCCAGGACGCTGTTGCATCACGATCGTCATTTACCCGCACGAAAACTGGACAAGGGTCACAGATAAGGGTTATCCAGCAGAAGTCATATTTTTTTACTTTAAGAAGGCCTTTGATAGAGTACCACATTAGTGAACAAAATTGTGAGGCTCTCCTGCTGGCAAATGACAGAAAAATATGGGGCGAATTTAATTGCATTGGTCAAGGAGACAGCTATGGGAGTTTAGTATGTCCAAATGAATGGTCTTATACCTAAACATCGACCGAAATGCCTCCGAAAATATCAGTACAATATTAACAGGACGGAATTAAGAGATGTAGAAAGACATCGAAATCTGGGTGTATGAACGAACACAAAACCAATGTCATCAGAACACTGTGGCAATATGGCCGGAAAGTCAAATAGTACTCTAAACTGGAGCAGACATGCTTTAAAAATATGTCCTCTCGAAATCTTCGGAAGACTTTCGATGTCATTTTAAGACTCTATCTGGAATATGAAATGTCAGAATCTGTAATAGAGATGAGGAAGGATAGTAACCCACTCGAGGAGGTACAACTCAGAACAAAGAAGATGATCGAGGGTCTTAAGCGTTTGTAGTGCCTAGATGGGCTGAATGGACTTAGCTTATTCCCCTTACCTTATAACCAGCTAAACTGCAGTCTACTCTGAAAATTCCGGATTGCCCGAGGCCGTGGTCCCTCACTGAGACCGGGGCAATTTTTCGAAGTAGCCCGTACAAACCAATTACGCAGACGTCCCAACCAAGTTAAGAGCGAACTCACGCTGCTCGACCGTGGGAAGCCATCCTTCAGTCAACGGACTGCCCGACAATGGAACCCTCTATCAAGCGAGATGGTGACGGACGACACAATTCGGCCGGCTGCCGAGGGCAGCAAATTCTACTTTAATATGTTTATGGGACTTATTTCGAAGCCTTTACTGAGATCAAAATAGATAACTATAACTGACTGCCGCTCACCAAGAAGAAAAGTGATAAAATTAAGGGAGGACAAGTGATAACGTTGGCAAGATTTTTCGCCCGAAAATCCATGGTGAGTAAAGCTCCAAGGCTGATTATTTGGGCAGTAATCAAGAATTTCATCGGGAATCATCTTATCGAGAAGTTCTGCTGAAGACAAAGTTTTCAGCATGTTCCGATAGTTATTAACGTCAAGCCGAGATAGTTGTTTCCTAATTTGTTCTCTAATAGATTCAAGTCTAGGTAGGTTCGGTTTGTGGTGTTGTTTTATTGAATAGATAAGCGGAATTATTACGTGTTCCCTATCCCTTAAGTGAATGACTTGGGATTAAATCCCAGTGGTTAGCTTCCAAGAAATATCGACAGCTAATGACCTAGACATCTACTTTTGAATCATGTTAGCCCTAACTTGGACGGGGAAAGTACTCCTGTGGCTGTTCCGCCTCCAGTTCTTTACTTTCTAGACAACTGGGAGATCCATCGCCCAGCTCGGTTTTAACTTAAAGGAAAATTTTTATGACAATGAGCACTATTATTTCGGGGTCAATGTGCCTGAAATCGAGGTATTACGACAACCGGTTGAGAGCGCGTGGTGTTTAACTGCACCGAATCGCGTAGGTTATCTTCTAGGTCATAAGATCGGGCGGTGGCGCGCAGCGTCTTTTTGCTATGGAAAGATATGAAAAAATTAAGAAGATTGGAGAAGGAGCCTTTGGAAGAGCATGGTTGGTGCACGACAAAGAAAATAAAATGCCTCTGGTCATTAAAGAGATTCCAATACTAAATGTGGGTTGCTTGTTTTTCTGACTATTATGTAGTTAAGCAAAAAAGAAATAGAAGAGTCCCGTAGAGAGGTATGTGTTGGAGGCAATACAAATGCGACTTTTTAAGGTGTCTGTATTGGCAAAAATGAACCACCCAAACATCGTGAAATACTGTCAATCCTTTGAGGGTTAGTATTTGCCATAAATTACAACGAATATCCACAGATATGGGATCCATCCACATTGTTATGGAATATTGTGACGGTGGCGATTTATATTCAAAAATTAATTCCCAAAATGGAACTCTCTTTCCTGAAAAACAGGTAATAAAGTTCCCATCTTATTTTGTTAGATTTTGGACTGGTTTTCGCAAATATCCCTAGCAGTCAAACACATTCACGACAGAATGGTTCTTCACAGGGATATCAAATCTCAAGTACGAAAGTCAACATCACTTAGTTTTAGAACGTATTCCTAACCCGGGATGCGAGGGTGAAACTAGGAGACTTTGGAATAGCGAAGGTTTTGAACAGCACCCTTGATCTTGCTCGCACCTGCATCGGAACTCCATACTACTTATCCCCGGAGATTTGCGAAAATAAACCTTACAATAACAAAAGCGACATCTGGGCCCTCGGCTGCGTTTTGTATGAGCTTACAACGCTTAAACACGCAGTAACTCTCTTTTTAACTTATGGTGCCTCTAGTTTGATGCTGGAAACATGAAAAATCTTGTTTTAAAAATTATCAGGTAATGTGATATAAAACTCATTTTGAAGAGGAACATATCCCCCAGTTCCACTTAAGTACAGTCCTGAGCTAAGAAATCTCATTTCAAGCCTGTTCAAACGAAATCCGAGGTAAGTGAGCCGACAAGGTATTTCTAATATTGCGCAGGAAAAGTTAAGTTCTAAGTTCACATAAAATGAGCACGCGCTGTTTTGTACATTCCTAGGGCTTATTCTAGTGTGTCAACTTATCTTGTGTCTCTCCATCTGCCATAGAGTAAAAATTTCATGCGCGCCTAAAAATAAGAGGGTAAAGTCTCTGTGTCGCCCTAAACATGTGGAATAGTCGGTAAACTGAGAGTTATTAGCCTACTTGTCCTAAGCAAACATAAACGCCATTTATATTTTCCACTTTTTGTTGTCTGTCAATTTGTAGACGCAAAATGGTTTTATCTTGTGGGACCTAATTTGATTGTCATTAGGCTGTTAACATATGTCTTTTACTGAGTGAGTTATGTTAAGCGACGTAAAGCTGTTAAATGGGCAAGAAAAGTGCAATAATGTCATGCGCCTCTTTCATCTGTCTTAACTGTAGCCTTTAAGCCCCTAGCACTTAAATGAGCGTTCAATTAATTGTTCTTGAAAATTTGCAGAGATCGACCAAATATAACAACAATTCTGAAGTATCCAATAATCACGCAACGAATATCCCAATTCCTCACCACCGCGGTAAGTTAATTTACCCATGCCATTATATTCTTTGGATAATAGACAACTAATATGAGTTGAGTAGAGCGTAATTGTCTTTAACGTAAGACATTTCCTGGTAAGATCAGGAGCCTTGCGGTACGACGAATGCACCCGTATATTTTTGTTTTGGATTTGCGGGATCATACTGATGATGAACTGACAGACGCACAAGCTTTCCCATTCTGGAGTTTTTTTATAAAATTATTTATTTAAGACTCAAATTGTCTTTTGATCTTAACGGAACACATGCCTTTAGTTTCGACGATGGATAATTTAGATTCATCAATGCAGTCCAGACTAGCTTCAAAATATTTAACGCTTATGCCTTACTCAGCGTTTAATAGGCGTATTTTATGCATCCACTAAAATTCCCAAAGTGCCCATCCTTAACACGGGGGATTCTAAATAAATTAATTTCAGCAGGCGACCAATTCTATTTAAAATTTTGACACGCAGCATGTAAGGCAGTTTTTTTCCCTCTTAATTGGTCTCCATAAGTTTTTTAAAATTACTCCTATTCAGAGGAGGGAGAGAAAAGCTGATAGATATTGTAAAGAAATCAAGTTTTAAGTGCGACGTTCCCCGTCTAAGCTGTTATGTGCACCCTAGGCAGATAATTGCGTGCTGGCTAGACCAAACCGTCCGTGATTATTATACTTTTAAACAAACATATTAACAGTTTTACATCATGAGTTCCGTACGTTCGTGATCTTACAAGGGAAACCACTTAATATTTCCCCAAAGACGTTAAGTGACGCTGATTGATAGGAACCCAGCAAAATTTTTTATTAAGCATAACGCCGAAGAAACACTGCTAGTCATTGTCACAATATATCTTAGAAATCTAACAATCAACAGTGTATGACCTCGGAAGTTTAAAGCGTTTCTGCTGCGAATTTGCATTTTATTGAATTTAATTGAATATAGGTCTTATTTTTGGTATTTCTAAAATGCAAGTATGGTCCAACATTCACACTCAGAAAACAGTAAAAAATGGGGAACATCCGGCCACAACAATATTATTATTATTATCATTATCGCCTTTGATATTTATCAAGCGGAACATAAATTGGGAAATGTCGATCAGTGTGCTCCTAAGGACTTCGCCGAAGATTCAATAATTTATTTATTTGAAGTTTTATACGTCCCGCATTGCAGTTTATCAGGCTTAGAAGCCCTCAATTTCGGATGAAACAATGTTTCCTTCAAGACATCAGGATGTAAATGACCGTTTCTTAAATGGCCGTTTTCTCTAACTTGTAATATCTTAAACTAGACTCGAAGGAGAAAATTATTCCGACACGACCTCCAGTTAAATGCCTTAACTTGTAAGTTGGGAAACCACCGCCTGGGACGAAATTCGAAATGTAGCCACTTTAAGGATAACTGCTCTTCCTTAACTTGGTTCAAAATTCTAGCTGCCTGGCTATTTCAGCGTAAAATTCAAATAAAACCCCACATGCTGTTTTAAAAGGGCTTTCGACCCGCAGGCTCTCCACATGCGACAATACGACCGTCACGAACGACGATGGGAACCCTGCGTCCCAAGGAGTGGGCACTTGCGTAGAATCTATCACGCGCTCTCTTTGCCCACCCATGTTGTGGATATAACCGGAGATGAGCGCGGGTGCAGCAGCTGACCGCATTATGAGGGAGCCGTTACAACCTGACTCTCAGGCGCTCAGTGGATGCTGGAGTTATACCGTCAGTTGATAACCCTCCAGGCCCCGAACTTTGCTCGTCGGGAGAGCTTCAAATTAGTTAGGAGTGCGCATATGCGCAAGGAGAATGGATTCCCAAGTTGACTGCCCGAGCCTGCCAGTCAATGAGTTTTGGCAAAACGACGGACACGATGTGAGGAGCTGCGTTGCAGCACGCATAGTTGCAGGCCCAAGCCGCGCTGATTGAGAGCTGAGCCCCCGCCACCCCCAGTTTGTTGTATAAAATCCTGGTCAGTGTCTGTTGTGGGCCAGTGGGTGTGGTGGCACGCCTAGGCGCGGGTTTTCTTCGAGCCAGCCACCTGCGTCCTCTCCCGCCTCCGGTCTTGACTTCGTAGCAAAACGGGGTCCAGCAAGGGGGAAGGGGGAGGGGGAGAAGGAGGTTGAAGGAGGGGGTGGAGGGGGAGGAGGTGGAGGAGGAGGAGGAGGGGGGGAGGGGGGGAGAGGACGCGGTGTGCGGAGCTGCGTCTAAGGCGTGCCACCCCATCCCTTCAGTATGAGGCCTTCGCGGACAGTGCCCTGCCTTCGCAACGTATGCTGCGTTCCAGCCTAACTACAGTTGAAGTCCAGCGATACAGGTCGTTTTGGAGGCCAGCCTGCGGGTGGTCCGACTGCCAGTGTGTGTGTGAATAAAAGGGTGAAGTTTTCAAACCTTCGGTTGCAGCAAATACGTTGAATCTGATTAGAAGAATAAAAATATGAACACTCATTGGCCAGAGACAGGATTGCACATGTGTTTTTCCAGTCTCCGAAAATGGGTAGGCGAAATAAGTACCCGGAACGCCAAATCGCAAATAAACCTCTACCGGCGGTTACCGGCTGCCCACCTGTCTCTCTTAGCGGTGTTGATGGACCATGATCGCTAAGTAGTGCACTGCCATCCGGCAATATATTTTTCCCCACAACCTCTCGCCCCCATGTCAAAGCGTCTTGTAAAGAAGAAGAAGAACCACCCTAATTCACAACGCTCCTTTTTGGACTTAAGCCTTGGGCACACCACATTTTGATGCTTTAGAGAAGAAGCAAAGAAAGTGCTCGTTGCATGCCTGGGACCAAAGGCCCGGATTTCGGACAGAGGGCAAAAGAGGAGAGAGTGGACCCGTGTTCAGGGAGTTGATTGCCCGAAACCCAAAGTAGTCCCTTAAATCTTGTGCAGTATTTGCGAAACACAGATCTTTACGCCGTCAAGAAGCATTTGAATTTTCTGCCCGTCAGCTCACTTATTGATGTGCTTGCCTCAGCCATTTTCTCGACGCTTTCGACTGGATTTACGGAGGTGTCTTTTCTTTGCACGACTAGGATTGCAACATTGTTTTTCTAAGATCGCTGATCTCGTTTGCACCATGCGGGTCTTTTTGGTTCTTCGGATCCTGAGATGACCTGATTGACCCAAAACTTTTACTGACCTGACTGATAACTTTCAGAAAAATTTTGGATGCTTGTTTAATTTCAAAAAAGTGGAAGCGGAATACATATGCGCTAGATTCCGAGTAGGGTGTGACTTCTTGACTGGAAAAAACATAGTTTGTTGTCGGCTACTATCCCTGTCAGACGGCATATAGCTAAGCCGCTTCGAAGCCATGCCCTAAGAGCCCTTAAAAAGAAAGGCTCAACACACTGCTGTTAGGTTGACCTCAGATGTCGGAATAAAAGCGCGTGTTTGGGACGGTGGAAATAAGCACTGAAACAGAGTCTCGCCACTGTACATATTGAAGTAATAAAGTTCGTTTAGAAGGCAAAAAACGTATTTCGTAAACTTTGCAGTCTGCTGCCACAGACTGTTAGCGAGTGTATAACCGATGCGCAGAATAGTTAACTTCTAGCTTGTCCCGAAAAAACAACAACTGCCTGGCTATTATACCAACCATCGTTCGCTGTTTGGTTTGGTTGGCGTCTTCCTCGTTGTCCTCTAAGATTTTTGAGTGGCATCCAGATCCATATGTCGGTTTAAGTACGATTCATCGGAATGCGTGGCTTTGCGAAAACGGTTTGGCATAAACGTTAGACTACAAAAAAAGTTGTAGGACCAGTTAACGAGCATATGTGCGTTTTCAATAAATTCTCGTCAGGCCAGTATATTTGTAGATGAAGGGGGCACAACTAAAACATGCAAGTGATAAGAGAAATTGGCAGGAGTATGGCTTATAGCGGGGATTACTGACTCCGGGACGCAGTTGGGCTAAAAGAAAATAAATGACATATCTACTTATACGTGTCAGAGGAAGAAATAAAAAGACCCCACCGCGGCTGTTGCGTGAGGGCAATCAAGATGTTTTAAGGTAGTTGTCGGAGTGAAAGTACGACAATGCAAGTAGGCGTGTGACCCTCAGTGTTGTGGGTAGGATCTCACTCGATCCCATTCTGTCTGCTCGCCAGCTTGCTACTGGTGACAACGAACGCCGTGTCATAGGACACATACCACCTACAGTACAAAGTATACATATACATACGTAAACACACATGCATACATGCATATATACATATAATACACATGCCAGCCAGCCATGCCACAACATCTGGGGCTCGATCCTGCGACCTGTTGGTTAGAAGTCCAACGCCCTAACCACTGAGCCACGGGCTAGTTGTCCTACTCATTGCGATCACGTGCATAAAATGGTAGAGGGACGCTCATCGATCGAGTTACCGAAGTCACTCGTCCCGTATTTAACTGCCGTGCCGCGATGAGGCTGCTGGCAGGGTTTGAGAGAGCCTCAAGGCAGAAAAAGGAACGAGTGAGTTCCGTAACGCGATCGGTGAGCCCCCTCTACCATTGCATGCGCGCGATCGCGATGGGAAGGACAACTAGCCCGCGGCTCAGTGGGTAGGGCGTTGGAATTCTAACCAACAGGTCGCAGGATCGAGCCCCAGTTGTTGCACACCCCCGGTGTAGTATGGCTGCCTGCTGACGATTAATAAGCCAGAAATGGCCATCCCAGTCTCCCTTGTCGTTGTCGACAATGTCCTCCTGCCTTTATAAGCGTATAGATTAGATGACACCGAAAAAGACAAGGGAGAACGGAATGTTCTGCGAGGGTTCTAGTTGGAGCCCCAAGGCACAATGGGACTAACCCGTTCCGTAACCTGATTGGTGAGCGCCCATCTATCATAATGTATATATGTTGAATAACGGAGGCGGTGTGCATTCCAAGATGTAATGAAAGGCGAAGGTCCGTCATAAAACCGAGTTTTGCCTATGGATTTTTAAGCTAATTAGACCAGCCCGTCGTCAGATGAAATGAATGATGGCGTATGGGGACACAGAGGTAGACAGAAGTCCATATCAGAATGTTAAAAGTGTGTTAAGATAGACGCCAGAAGTTAGGGGAGGTGTTGATATCTTTAGCCAATTCACTGATATTCCACAAGGTCCAGCATGAACTAGCAGGTGTTGTTTTAGAGTGGCCGCAAGCCAGTGAGCCGTGAACGCTGAAGTTCGTATTGAACGTCCAGATCGACATGGTGGTTGGTGCTACTTGTGTTGCAGTGTCAAGCTTCGGGAAATTCTCGCACCTGTCTGGTGTTAGCACTAGAGATCACATCAGTTCTGTCTTAACTGAAACAGTGATCACATTGAAGGACGTGCGCAAACACGAGAGACAAGGAGTTCCGTCGGCGGATGACTGACTTGTGTTCGTTGATGCGGGTCCCAAGTCGTCGGCCGGTATGGCCAACATAAACACAAGGGCAGTTAACACATGGAAGACCGCGAATGAAATTTGTTTTCTGCTTCTTGGGCACGGAGTCTTTCGCCTGAGACCATGCTGTGGGCATGGGGAACGCCGGTTTGTGGGCGATGGAGATGTCAATCAGACATGACTGGCGAGCGTTTCGAAAACTCTTGGCATGTAGGGCAGGGAATGGGATTTCCGTGGCATATTGTCTCCGCTATAGTCAAAGCTTTGCGGTTGTTTCTGGCGTCGGAGACAGTTTTTTTCAAAGCGGACCGTGCGTCCGTTTGGTCGGAAAAACCAACAGAAATAATTTAGTTTTCCTGAAGTTGGTCACTACTAATAAAGCAACGATAAATCCAGTGTAAAAGGTGTCATTGAAGACTTGGTTTACCTTGTTTACGCAATCAGTCTTGTCCATAATGACGAGTGCGCGACCTTTGTCAGCAGATAGCAGACATTTTCGTACATCGAAAAACTGGCAGAACATTACACTCACCAGCTTACACAAAGACACTGGTAAGGACGTCATTCTACATCAGGAGGGCAATAACTCAAGCTCCCACAGACGGAGTACCGTCAATAATCCGTTTCATTGGCAGATACACATCGTTCCGATGAAAAAAGTTATCAGATCGACCTAAATTACCCTTTCGAATTATTTTTCCAGAATGGTTCCCCTAGAGCATTAGTGAACCGATTCAGGAAACAACCAGAGATAATTCCAATCAGGCGCCCAATTTAAGTAGTTAGCGAAACTTTCCGTGCATTATTTATGTGTCTGAAAGCATTGAAAGCCACTTAAGGAAACATATAGTACAAGTGGCGCACAAACTGATGACTACCTTACACATTCAACCTGTAACCCTATGGATAGGGTTGGCTACCGTCACAAAAAGGGGCTCATCTAAAACATCCCCTGCGGTGCTTGTGATGCCGTATATTGTGGCTAAATGAGAAAATTAGCCCCAACACACATACATGAGCACCAACTGACAGTTAAAAGGCCAAGTCATCAGTCTCAACTGGCCGCGAATGCCCTAGGTATCGGGCATAACTTCGCTTGGGACAAACCCGTGCCGTCGGCGTCTGCCCTACCAAGAAAGACCGAGAGTTCCCCAAAGCCATGCGTTCAGGTTAGTCATGCATCAATCGACGTGTTGAGTTAGGTGGCACGTATAAAAATCTAAAGGAAAATGGAAAAGACGAAGACCAATCAATAGATGATGACTCACACGGCGGCCGCTTACTGACGCAAACAACGAAAGAGTATCGATTTTTAAGCAGGTTTGGAATGCTAATATTTTTTAGCACACTTACACAACGTCCGACGACAATCTGGGGAACCAGCGTCAAAAAGTTGCCTAGTGAAGTCTCCTGCTTTGCTCTGGGGACATATTTTACTTCAAATTATCTTTTTAGGGATGCCTGCCTTCCAATTATATATACACATATTCATGCGTAAGTATTGAAAGGTAGGCATCCTAAGCGATATAAGTTGAAAAGAGATGGGTTCTTTGGGACAAGAGGGTTTATTGCGTAAATTTTCGACGCTGGTTCCCCAGGTCGTCGTCAGAGGCAAACGAAGAGCAAATGGGAAAGCAAGGAACAGCTAACGTCACGAGTGCACATAAAATTGATACCTGCATGGCGAGTGCGCCGGTTGGCGGCCGCCGTGTGTCAGCCTGAGCTGGTTGGCTCCTTTCTCTTCCATTTCTCCTTCAGGTTTCTGTACACGGCATCCAACTCGATATGTCGGCTGATGCATGATTCATCCGAATGCATTGCCTCGAGGAAATCTCGGCCTTTCTTGAAAGGGCAGACAGCGACAATGCGAGCTTTGTCCCGAGTGAAAGTGTGCCCGGTGTCCAGAGTATGCATGGCTACCTGAGACAGATGGTCTCGCCTTTTTACTGCCAACTGGTGCTCGTGCATGCGTGTTGAGGCGGATTTTCCAGTTTTGCCACAATATACGGCAGGACATACATCATACGGGATCTTGTAGACGACCTCTTTCTTGCTCAGCTGGTTAACCCTATCCTTAGGATGTACCAGCTGAGAGAGCAAAGTAGTCGTAGGTTTATGCGCCAATCGAATTTGGTGCTTTATTAAGTGTCTTTCGATGAGTTCAGACACATTCTTAATGTAAGGAAGTTATGTAATTATATATGTAATGGTAGGGGGCGCTCACCGATCGTTTATACGGAACTCACTCGTTCCGTTGTGCCTTAAGGGCTCTCTCTCGAGCCCAACCAGCAGCCGCACAGCGGCGCATGATATATAGGCAGAATGGCATTACCGACAAACACAAAGGAGACTGGAATGGCCATTTCTGGCTTATTAGCCGTCGCCAGCCAGTCATACCCAAGCCCGAAGTGTGGAACACCCGAGCCTCGAACTCGCGACCTGTTAGCTAGAAGTCCACGCCTCTAACCACTGCGCCACGAGCCCGTTGCCCTGTCGGTTTTCGATCGGGAATATATAATGGTAGGGGGCTCTCACCGATCGTTCATACGGAACTAACTTGCTCCGTTGTGCCTTAAGCGCTCTCTCTCTCGAGCCCAACCAGCCCAACCAGCTGTGCGGCTGGTAGGTTTTTCGATACAGAACAAGAACTTAGAACTGCCAACGCTTCTTTCTTACAGGAACTGAGAGCTGAATTCCATGACGCAATCTCACGCCCGCCAAAACGCCCATCAGTACAATCTCGAACCCCAGGAGAGCCTCCAGCGCCGAGTGTCAAGGCTTCTAAGTCATCGCTTCAGCTTGCAAAAAAACGAGCAAAACAGAGGTAATTTTTCGTCTCAAATTCACAGGCCTATTTAAAACTGCACGAGCAGTACATCGTAGTAATCTGAAATCGCACCCCCCCCCTATCAGTTACAAAAGTCATAGTTTAGTCGACGAGACGCATACCACACGCAGAAACCTAAGTGATGATCTTTCCAGACGTCTGCAAGGAAACACGGAACAACGTCGATTGAGCCTCCATTTGAACGCATTGAAGATGGGAACAATAGATTTTCCCAAAACATTTATGCGAACCGATTAGGGTTAAGGAACTCGTCTCTTGCGTTACCGTAGGGCTCGTAAAATTGCCCGTGCGTCTGGAGATCAAATATTCGTCCACATCCTGATATTTACTTGCATGGAGGGATGGCCGTAGAGGCGTTACTATGATGAGACTATGACCGTCGTATGCAACGATGTCCACCGTGCATCCCACGGAGTGAACGCAGCACGATTGGCTTGCGCGTGAACTAGTCTACAATAAAACGGACTTGCGTAGTGTCTGTCGCGCTTGCTCTTCCCCAACCCCCTTGCGCGGGTGGCAAGATGACGTCAGGCTGAATGGGGGCGGGTCCGGGCGCAGCAACCGACAACGTGAAACGAGTCATCTACGCGTGCCACACACGACCTGGATCTTATTACTTGTCCCGGACTGCAGTACAGGCGATTTGCATTCCACTCATGTGACAGTGTCATAGGAAATGCACCAATCTGACCCTCAGTTATGAGAGGGACCGAGTTATTCCGTCAGTTGGTAGCCTTTCAGGCCGCAACTCGTAGCGCGTCGTCATAGGTTTGGGCACGTCAGATTATTTATAGTGAAGAATCCACCGACATGCCGTGGGAAGGGACTTTCGTATGTTGACCTCACTCTCTCTTCCCTCTGCCGGGCACCAGTGGGCTGTTCCAGCATGTCAACCAACGGATAATTGGAATGGACACCGTGGCTGATGTGGCGTGTTATCGAATGCACATGCGACAGTGGTTTGGGCCCATGTGAACTTAACACTGCCCGACAAACTCATACCGTGAGCCAATCTAACCCCCGGTTCTGTCTAGCCCATCCGCAAGCCAGCCCATTTTAGAAGTCACACTGAAGTACGATCATTTCATTTAGGGAAGATGCGAAAGAGGGTTGATATGGCAGTTTCCGCCAAACTTCCAAGTGGACATGTAAGGAAGAGTAATTACGCTAACCGTATTTAAGTCTGTGTAGGGAGGCCAAACGATCTAGCTAAGAACTTCGAAGTCTCGGCCAAGCAAAGAAGGGGAGATGGCTCAGTGAAGTTCTTCTTTTTCACAAATACTCATATATGAAGTATTCTCAGCTAACGACGGATGCCAACGGTACTGGTATTCGGGGACGAATAGAGGAGATTTTGTAGATCGCTGTTTCCTCATACTTGCTACTCTTTGGCTGAACATTTTATATCTTCAAGGATAATGATTGGTCCCTCTGTGGTGAGCAGAGTTATTGCATTATGTTCACATTGCTAATTAATGTTCACCCGGCAAGCCTTTCGCTTCAAACAATTCCGTACCCGTTTTTTTGATTAGCCCTCTTGTCGGTCAAAGAGTCGGACCACCCCAAGTGGCCGCAACCTTGAAACAGGCCAATCGCGGCGAGAGGCTGGGAGCCCATGAGCACGACAGAATAGCCACCAAAAAACGAAATCTCCTCATTGATGTGCATCGCCGCCGGAAGCAATTCCTGGAACAGAAATATCCTGTGAGTGCAAAGTAGACCACTGTAAAAAAACATCATAAATCTTTGTTTTATATTTTGGAAACTTTCATCGTTATACGTGACCCCAGACTTGAGGATGTGATCTGTTTTTTCTAAAAGTTGTTCCAAATAGACTGCTGCTGATTGCTGAGAAATTAAAGGCCGAAAACCGTCATTTCATTCGGTCTCGTAGCTGTCGGCGCCATATAACCGCCGTTTAGGGCTCATAATAAAGGTCTGAGGAAAAACAGAATGACCATTTTATGTCACGAATTCGGAGTGACAAGTTGCCACTAACCTCAGAACTTCATCTATGTCGGAGAAAACTACTAATTTCATCTGGAAAATAAGACGTCAAATGAAATACCCACTGCATTTAAATGTCTAAATGACTGTTGCTGGTAGGGAAAAATAAAATCTATCCAAAAGAGGAAATATTTGTTCTGTATGCATTGCCAACGGTTTAGGTAAAGCCAAAGTCCAAGACTCCGGCTAATCCAGTCCAGGAAGAAACCATCATTTATCAGAAGGAGTCCTCTTTTAAACGAAAATGGCATTGTCGGGCGCTTGCTGAGAGGCAGCTTCCTGTCAGCCAATGACTGCCCTCCATTTTCAAACTTCCGAGTCACTAACTTTTTTGCCAAAGGAAACCCCAAACCGTGCGGTTTACGTATACCCTCGGTGACTCACTGGTTGTTGAACCTAACCAATTCTGGATTGTCCCCTTTAGGGAGGAATCTTGAAGCGGGTCCGACTCGCAGACTGGTGCAATGTCGGTTCGGTGAAAACTCCCCAATGTAAGGTTAAAGAGGTAAGCCACTTGTCTTACAAAATGTGCCCTGATAAGGCCATATTCCAGCTAAGATATCAATGCTTTTGTTTCGGAAATTCATTTTTCACCCAGGTCAAGCCGCTTTGCTATCATTTGCACCTAAATTAGCTGTTTCCTAAAAGCCACATTCGAGTCGATTTCCGACGGGAGGTAAAGTAATTAAAACTTCAGGATGAAAGACGTCCCCTGTGCGCAGCTCATCATTCACTTTGCTGGAAGGCAGTGGCAACTGACAATTGCATGAATCATTTGTTTGAGATAGACAGTCGCCACTTAGTAGTGGACCATGTCTATGAGAAATATAAACTGACTGTGATTCCTTCTGTGCTCACGGTAGATAAGGTATCCGGTAGCAGGTGAATACTCATTACATTTTACAATAAGAACAATCTATAATGCACTCAGTTTCTCGAGAATGTTCATAACCTTGAAGGTTGGGCGGAGGAATATGGCTGCCGCATTACAGGGGGTCTTGTCCTAAATCATAGGTGGACTAGTGTTAGGATTGGGGGTGGGGTTAGTTTCATGGTTAGGGACAGAGTTTGGACACGAAAATAGGTACCCCCTAGAATTTGGCGCGAGACCACTAGCAGTGCGGAAAACTTCATCTTTCCGTTTCCGGTTAAATTGTTAATGAAGGTTGTCATAACATTGGCAGTACAATCCTATTGTAAAATTAAAAAGATCAGTCCCGGTTTTATGGCACCAAAGCTGTGCACAGAAACACCGAAATGATCGGCCTGGGCTATCTACTGAACATTAATAGTGCCGCAGAAAGTAGAGTTGTTCCTTACCCAATAAAACACAGTTCCTATAATTCCATCCACCTTCTTAGATAGACTTCACTGCAACCTTCCAGTGAGCGGGATCTCTAGGATTCCATATTAAGTTTCAAACTTGGCCGCTAGTTACTGCTTTGCAACAACTCCAGCAGAACAGAAACCCGCTTTCCCAGATCGCCAAAATCCTGCGCGTATTGTTGGTTTACTATTAACTTATTCGGAAATCTTCTACCGCATTCTCTGCTATTACATCGCTGGCATACTCGGCGATTTTATAATATGTGAAAAGACATCCTTTGATGGCGTCAAGTTTCGGTCAATGTCGTTAGTGCTGTACAGCATTAGGATACAGAGTAAAAATTATGGTCTCGAAGCTCGCAAACAAAGTCCACGTGCTTAACTAATACCTTTCACCGACAGTGATTCAGAATTGGCAGTCAAGAGCCGTTCAGATGGAACTTAGGTTTCGAGGTACGATGGTCGATTACTCGAAGATCCTAAAAGTAAAAGGCAGCGAGTTCAATTAGGTGGACAATCTTTACTGGGGCGATAGAGTGTACAATCAGCTTAGTAAGCAATTGTAGGAAGGGTTCTCACCAGGCAAATGTATCAGCCGTTAAAGTTGTAGTCCCGGCGTAAAGCCCCCGGGCTTAGTCCACTCACAGCTTATCAAGCAACGCCAATTGGCCTCGAGCTCTCGCCAGTTTGTTGCCGAGGCTTTCGCGGCTCAAGCTATTTATTGACAGGGAGCTTGAGGCGGACTGAAGGCGGCCGCGGGAGCCGACTACCAGACCTTACCAGATCAATCATATGAAGTTTGAAAGATGACAGCGGCAGACGGCTGACACCGCTTTAGTAATAAACGGAACCCGAAGGACAAGAGATTGGTCTGTGTTCTGTCTTCCTTCACAACCTACTCGGCGCCAACCCCAAGTAGAACAGCGTGAAGAGGAAGATAGCGTGAAAAAACTAAGCATGACGTCCAGATGACTGGACAATCCAACTATAGTGCTTCTTCGATAAAGAGACCACGGCAACGCAATGCCGACACAAACAAAAGACGATATCCAGTCATCCAGACTCCTTTTGTCTATCTGCAAATTTATCATCGTCAGTTCGCACTAATCTATAAGCATTTGTAAAAAACTACTGTTCAAAGGGAGTTAAATAAAAATAAACTGGAACGCTGTGATTTCCTGGCCTAACAAAACAACGAATTCAGTGTTTCTGTTCCCTCCTGTGGCAAAATGAATCATGTGCCGGTGGCTCTTTCTGCAGTCGCGAGTTTCTAACCGCCATTACCTCCTAAGGGTAGAGAGCTTATCCTAAGCAGCCGGCATTAAGTTTGAACTAACCGCGGGATTCCCCTGGCTCTGGTAAGCAGGTTGGTAGTTCCAAATGTACAGGTGAAAATTAAACTGAAAGAAAGTCAGTGGTATCTCGAAGCTTTTGACAACATGCACGACTGACAAACGATAGGGACAGAGAAGATAACGGACGATAGAGTGACCAGAACTATTTCAGTTTAAACTAAAACTTGAACGTTTTGTGTCCTACCTAGTCGATATTTCGAAGCCAGGTAAGGGGCATCCAAAGTTTGCACTGGAATAGACAGAACAAGCAACCTTCACGTCTACCTGGAGATAAGTCTAAATTGTGCATCGAAGCCCAAGAAACATTTATCAAACACTTTTGATACTAATTCAGCAATGAGTACTGACAGAGACGAGGTTGACAGGAATGGCCACTTCTGGCTTATTAGCTGTCATCGGCCAGCCATACCCAACCCCAAGTCCGGGTGACTTTAGATTTGAACCGGGGTTCAGCAACCGTCGAGCGTTCAAATCCTGCGCCCTAACTTTGCGCCACAGGCCCATTGTCCTTCCTGAAAATATTGCTGGTCGCCGCGCGACTGATTGCGATGGCTCTAGGTTGGGTCTTACGACGCTGATCCGATCGGCGAACACCCTTTCCAAGATAGATACTAGTTCAAGATAAAAAGCGTGCTTAGTCGAGATTGCGAAACTAGCTGACAGTAAACAAAGTCCCAATGACATTTTTGCGCGTTTGCATGCTAACTTTTGACCGAATGTCTCTCTAGGCCTCTAGGCTCCGCTGAAGCAGTAATTATTTTTAATTGGGCTTCAGTTATATTTACTGGAAGGGTGTATTGATACACATTCCGTGTTTTCCTTCTGTAAGCCCTGTCGGGAAGGAATATTTCAGTCTTGAGTACCCTGCTAAGAATTTTTTATTTCGGAAAAGAACCTGCAACTGGACGTTTCTTTGCATTTATAAACTAGGTACTCTGTATGTTTCCTGCATCAAATACACATGATCCTAAACGTGTTTCCAAAGTCACAACCAGGCGACTGTAGAATGCTGCAGCAAACAAGCATCACGTTGGGAGTGGAATTAATAGTTTTGTGTATAACAGGTCACGAGGATTATTAGAATGGTAGAAGCTTCAAGGAAGACACAAGATCCTAAGGGAGCGCATAGGGCACTTTTGTGCATTTTGTTATAAAGTGTGGTTTACACAGACGTCAAAAGTACACGGAATAAATAAATACTGCTTAATTGGGCAATTTTTCCAAACAAAATGCACACAGACGGCTGAGCAGGGTACTACTGTGTAGCTACTCACTTAAGCTCTCACAACCTAATGTTCAGTCTTGAGATCTCACCTAGGTAAGACTTTCCATTTGAGAGCACATCAAAACATGTCACTTCGCATCACGAATTCCGATGTACACAACGTCTTTTCAGTACAGATCTATCAGGTTTGGAACGATGTAGATCTTTGCCTTCCAAACGCGCCATCCTCCCCCATATGCGTTGTTTTCATTAAGCGCACGGTACCTATTAACACTCTCACAGAGATTGCTGGAGATAGGTGACGGGGGTTATGTCATTCTGTGGCCAGCAAACACTAATCTGCGTCTGTCTCGACATTTTCAGCTGACTCAAGCCTGGGAAGAGAAGAAAGCCGTGGCTGGGGCCTCACCGTCTCAGCCTTGCTCCCCAGTTCCCGGTGCAGTGATCAACCCCCTACCCAGAAGGCCCCGGGAGCGCATCGAACTGGTCCGTGTGGAAAATATGGAACCCTACAAGAAGTACTTCGCCGCATTGGACAAACTGAAACGCGACGCCAAGTCTCGAGATAGAAATGCAAATGGTTAGTGGTCGGTTTCGCCTTTTGTTCATATTCATTAGCGATTTATTACCTCAAATGAGCCTCCTTTTTGAGCCGTCTGCTGACCTTTTTCGGTTGAAGTAGTCGATCGTAAGTCCCCAAAAACGTACAAGAATGTTCAAAGGAGCCATGACAGTAACGAAATATTTTTAAACGACACAATCAACGCTAACTACTAACCATTTGCAGTCCGTGTGGAAATATGGAACCCTATAAGAAGTACTTCGCCGCGACGTCAAGTCTCGAGATAGAACGGTGAATGATTAGTAGTCAGTTTCGCCTGTTGTCTGTCTTCTGTTTGCGCCATCTGCTGGTCTTTCCCGGTTGAAGTCGTCAATCGTAAGCCCCAAAGACCATAGAAGAATGCTCAAAGGAGCCGCGACGTGAATGACATGTCTACAAACGACACAATCAACGCTGAACTACTGGCCGCTGTCACTGTTCCGCAGTAGTGCCAGTGCGTTCTTTATGATAGCGGGAATCGACAACACCGTCCAAACGGCGTTCTGTCTTGCACCATTAAGATATGGCGCACTGACGTTCCTGAACGTGCTCCTAGCACAGCGCCTGAGAAATCTGGGTATCAGTGCATTTGTCAGCGTTCAAGATGTGACCGTTCGACCACCTCAAGCGACTGCATTCCCCGCCTGCCCAATAGAGTTGGCGCAGGGACGGTTACTTGAGTGTGTGAACAAGTTCGTAGTGCGTCAGTCTATCGCATTCTCTGTTTCCACACCCGTATGGATCCGATAACGAAACAATGACGCGATGATCGGAGGCGGGCTCGAGTGCGGTGGCTGACAAGGCTTAACAGTCCGTTTACGCGTACCACGCACGGCCTGGTTCCTGCAGAATGTATGAGGCTTCCACAAAGGCGGCTCAGCCCTCAGATGATCAAGAGCGTCAATGGGGACTGCATTGAAAAGGAGCCATTGCAGCCTGATTCGCAGTCCTGGGAATGATCGGATTATCTCATCAGTTGACAGCCTTCCAAGACACGGCATTCGAGCGCATCAGATTCGTTTTAGTGAGGAATACGCTGGGATGCCGTGCGGACCGATTCCCCAGTGTCCACTTAACTCTCTCTCTCTCTTCCCTCTGCCATGCACCAGCAACCTGCTGGGGCCTGTTCATCAGCTGATGACGGGATTGGATGGTGGGACTAACGCAGCCTGCGGGTCTGCCTTTAGGGGGTGACACATACGCACATGCACGGCAGTACATATACGCACGTGTGAACCCAGCACAGCTCGGTAAACACGTGTCAAGAGTCAGTCTGAAGACCATCTAGGCCCAGCCCTGTTGCGGGGCCTAGCGTCCACTTTAGCTCCCTAGGCACAGGCCGCGTATTTTATCGTAAATTGGAAAATCAGAAGCGCAACGGGAGCTTAGTAGGCATAAATGGTAGAGAGTCAGTGGAAGTTCTTCGCTTTTTGTCCCGAAAATGATTCCAGATGGGGAGAGCTCCTACTCTTTAATTTATATATTTAAACTGAGTTATTGCCTCACTCATGAACGACTCTCGCTACTCCTCTCGAGCCGCTTAATGGATTCCTTTGCCTAGACGCAGTCCTCAGTCGTACCTTGTGGCAGTCTAGGATGTGAGATCAACTTAAACCACGCACAATAAGTTCGTTTCGTCTAGTGTCAGAAGTCAGGGAGCTGTGAGGACTAGTTGATTCTGTATACAGGGCAGGTTGCCGTAAGTTGGCCGTTTGTTTGCGACAGAGATAAGCGTCCGTTCACGCAGAGTGTCAGTCGCGGTGTGTTGTTTTCGCGGGCGTGTCTGGGTCAGCAGGAGGGGGTGACTGGCTGAGTGTTGGTCGTGTGATTGGACAAATTAGGGGAGGAATAGGGGCGCATGCGCACAATGCCTTACGGGTATCAAGCCAGGGCGTTAGACGCGCGTGAGGTGATGAAAGTTTGTGAGGTCAGCCGACAGTCACTGAAGTTGGACCGGAGGTGTCTGAGTGTTAGCCGGCGGGGGTGGCCGTGTGTCAACAGCTATCACAGCCATTGTTCGACGAAACGGAGACTGGAGCGGCTGCTACAAACTTTCGTTATATTTTTTGGGGTGAAGAATTATTTCCTCGATTTCGCCAGCCCATAATGTCGCTATGGAGACGAGAAGCCTTACCAAAATAACAGAGCTATGCTAAAAGGGGGCATATGTACCGATTACAAACGTTTTCACCTATCAAACGCATCCTAAAGCCTGGAAACAGGAAATGCAGCTTTCAAAATTGTGCTGTAAGGTAAATTTACAGACACATAGTATTTAAAAACGGTCGTAAATATTGGCTTGACCGGCAGGGCTGAGCTGTACATATATTACACACTTTGACACATTAATTACGACTGTCTCGAGAAATGACGGCTGTTAACGACAAATGGAACTTGGACAGATGCTACAAACATCCTCATAGCTGCCAAACCAATTTAATTTTCGACCTCGGTTATTGTGGATTGGAGCTATTTGAGATATACCTAAAGACACCGATGGTAATTTGCCTGTGGAGCCTGCATGACGCCTACATCAGAAACAGTAAATCCGGCATAAACCTAAAAAGTTATTATTTTTCAGGACCTAATGTGTCCTGCATGAGCAGTCATCAACGACGTGCACTTTATTCTGAAATACTCTGTCTTTTCTGTTCTTTGCATAGGCGTGCAGTATGATTCTGAGTTTAATGATGCGCGTGTGTATGCGATTCATTTGAAGGAACAGTTTGTTTTGGCCTTTTTGAGCGAAGCAGAATCAACCGTAGTGAATTTAGTATAGTCGTTGTTGTTTACTTTACGCAATGCAGATGAAAGTTGATTGTTTGAAAAGAAGAGCCTCTGAAGAGGTGCCCACCGTTTTATCACATTCACTTCCAGCTTTCACAATTGTGCGGGCGTAATTAAATGCACGCGCAAGGTGCCTATCCCCGTCGCCTAAAAGCCAGCAACCAGAGGATGGGGCTGTCATTTTGTAGGTGCCCGCTTGCGCGTCGGTGCATTCGTAACCATGACGACGTGCCTTGGCAACTTGCTCATTAGAAGAAAACGACGAGTCACAAGTCGGACGCTAACCAAAAGCTCCCATAGCAGGCGGCAGTGGTTTCCAAATTGTACAGTCACCTTTTGTTCTCCTTCTTCCTCCACCAAGTTTATGAACCGCCAGCCCGAGACGTCTCCCTTTCCGTGTGGGCATAAAATTACCTGTTCCAAGATGACGACATTATTGATAAACACGTCTGGCTTTAATGGCTTTAGGGAACTAAATCCACAGCCTCATTGTGTAGTATATGAACAGACATGGTTTACAAACAGAAAGGGTAGGTGGGCTAACTCATGAAATGTCAACCGAAATTCCGAAATGCGTTTTCGTTTCGAAAAGATTAAATAAGTTGGGTTGTAAAATTAGTCAGCCTGCAACATGATTCTATAATAAGGCAATACCTCAGGATGCCGGCTTTCGAATGAACATCCTGCCGGCTGCATGCAAAAACGATACTCTGTAAAACATGACGATTTAAACAGCATGCATTTTTCTCATTGATTTGGATGCCCTTATAAATTCAATTATATTTCATAGAAAGTATGCATAAAAATATTTATTCCTTCACTCATACGGTAGAAAATTACGTCTTCTTTCAATTTTACACTCGAAGGAAGGGTATAATTTGGTTTTATACAACTTTTCCAATTCCCGAACAATTTTGAACCCAACCTACCGTTACACTTGCATTCAGGGTTCCAAAACTACAAGCCGTATATTTTCCGCGTACGGAAAACCACACATTTCTCTACAATAATAAAAGGGGACCATACAGGGTGCATAAAATTTAGCAGCGGATTTGATCCATAGTGTGAACTTAACAAGCCACATTGGTAAATGCAGAGACACGACGATTTATGAACGGCCATTTCACGGTATTTAAAAATGCCACAATAAGAAACTTTTTAAAAACCGAATGCTACCCTTCCATCAAGCATAAAATTGGGAGAGATGTAATTATCTACCGAATGAGCGAAAGAATGAATGCTTTTATGCATATTTTCCACGAAATGTTATTGGATTTTAGGGGCGTTGAAAATCAATGAGAAAAATTCATGCTACCTAAGTAGTCGTTTCTTACAGAGTGTAGTTTTTGCATGCAGCCGGCAGGAAGTTCATTCGGAAGCCGGCATCCTGAGGTAAGTGAAATATCATAGAATTATCTTGCAGGCTGACTAGTTTTACAACCCCACTTAATTCATCTTTTCGAGACGAGAACGCATTTTGGAATTTTGATTGACATTTCATGAGTTCGCCCACCTACTATAAACGAAAATAACGTGACCGTGGTCTTCAATAAGCTAGCCTAACCGAACGACGAAATACGAGTATTCCGTCGTGCAATAAATATCGGGTAGGACTGACTTATATGGCCCCCTTAACAGGATATGGAAATAGAAACGCCCCGTCAAAGTAATAAGGGTTGACCTGCGCATAATTCCGGAAAGGACAAAATATTCCAGTTTCTTAACTCCAATAATAACCTTAGTATGAAACTAAGCCGTTGCTCAAATCTTGACCCGGACCCTAAACTAAACCTCGACTCTGCAGTTAACACTAGTCCCCACAGTAACCTAAAGTTGCTCCTGACTCACCTTAGACTAACCTTAGACGTAGCACTTAGCCTAACCTTAGCCCTAACCTTAAATCTATCTTTAATTTCAGTGTAAGTGGGCTCAAAGCCACCTGTAAAGCAGGAGGTACCTATTCCAATTTTCCACCGACCGCTTAAGTGGGGTTACCATATTGGTTATCTTGCGGCCCATTCCCGGCCTTTCTATGTACTTATATTCTGCCGCCTGTGAAAAGCGCACGCCTTTTCTATTGCGTTTATGGCACCCTTATAAAGTAAAGTGTGTTGCGTGGAAAATGTGTTCAGAATATTCTTTCCCGTGCTCATTGGTTGCAAATCACGTCTACTCTGTGAAAGGATATGTTTAGGTTTTAAAAAGCTTTTCGATTCCGGTCTGCAGTTGCATTTGCGTTTAGGGTTTAGAGTCTAGAAGCTGCATTACTTACATGTAAGAGAGATCATACATTTATCTCTGCCTTTAAGAAGATACCTTACTAATGGTAGATGAGTGTTCATCGATCGTTTTTACGGAAGGCACTCGTTCCGTTGTGCCTTACAGGCTCTCTTTCGAGCCCGACCAGCAACCGCACAGTGGCGCGCGATATAGACAGAATAGTAGTACCGACAAAGACAAAGGAGATTGGAACGGCCATTTATGACTCATTAGTCGTCGTCAGCCGGTCATACCCAAACCCGAAGTGTTCGACACCTAAGACTCGATCCCGCGACCAGCTGGTTAAAAGTCCAACGCTTGTAACTGCCGATCCACGGGCTCGTTGTCCTGCCGGTTTCGATCGGGTATACGCAATGGTAGAGGGGCGCTCACCCTATTGAGTTCCATAGAATTTTGCGATGGATGTGAACTACATTGTATATTTCTTTAGCAGCAGTGATAAACAGACAGATGCGTGCCATTTGAACGTCTTAAAAAATCTCACAATTGCGAAATTTTTTAAAACTGAGACCTGTGCCTTTCCTTGGCTTACAAAATGTAAAGAAGGCGTGATTTGCTTCTACATGAGTACACAATCATATTTTTAACATGTTTTTTCAATAAAATATGTTTGAATTTATAGGGGCATCGAAAATTAGTAGAATAAATGCACGCAGCTTAAGTGGTCACTTTTTGCCGAGTGCGGTATTTGCAGGAGGCTGAAAAGAGATGAATTTAAAAATCGGCACTCTGATGTGACTGAAATATTCTGTGATTATGCAGCATGATAACCCATATTGCAATCCCACTTAAGCATATCACAATCAAAAACTCATTTCAGGATTTCAGTTAACAGTTCGTGAGATGGTTCAGCAACCGCACATTTTCGCAGGTCGTTGTACAACGACTAGCCGCCAATAATTTAGAGCTGTTAACTAAGAGAACGGGGGAGCCCAGTGTGTCGTGTTTGGTTTATTTTCTGACGCCAGCTATTCGTGCTTCGAGCACAGGCAGGAAAGACCTATGATCTAAACCGTGGTGTTTTTTCACACTACTTTGAATATTCGCGTCTGAGAAGGCATGTGACAATGTCCCAAGTTATGGAGCACCCGACTTAATGACGAATCTAAGTGAGTCTGGCAGTCTTCTGGTGGGTTCTAGGTGGACTACTTAGGAAATCCTGCTTGAGCCGTCAACTTGCTGTATCAGATTTGGTGAATTCCATACGGTGCAGTAGGCTGGGAGGTTAACGTGACCCAATTGTGATTAAAATCAGGTCGTCCGGCGGAGCCTCGTAGCTCTGAGGGCTAGGGCGTTGGCTGTACCTAAGCCTTCCCCTTGCTGTCGTGGGTTCGAATCCCACCGAGACGACGAGTGTTTCACAGTTAGGTCAAGATAAATAATTCAAGTTGGACTTCAGAATCAGATCCTTCGCTCGAAGCACATGTCCGGGATAATATCCGTGCTGGGGTTATCATGGAACAAGTGGTATTTGTTCCTCACTGCCTGCTTGTTGGTATAGCGTGAATATTGCGCAGTTATTCCGCCGGAGCTGACGAATTTCAGCTGAAATATCCTTATCGACTTTTGGACTGAGCCGGAAAAGGTCTTTCTCGAAAGATTAACTCCCAGTTCACTACTACAGTGGGTGAGCTAACTCCTGAAATGTCAACTGAAATTCCGAAATGCGTTTTCGTCTCGAAAAGACTAATTAAGTAGGGTTGTAAAACTAGTCAGCCTGCAACATAATGCTATAATATTTCAGTTACCTTAGGATGCCGGCTTTCGAAAAAACTTCCATCCGGCTGCATGCAAAAACTACACTCTGTAAAAAATGACTACTTATGTAGCATGAATTTTTCTCATTGATTTTCGATGCTCCTAAATGTCTAATTATATTTCATGGAAAACATTCATAAAAATATTTATTCCTTTGCTCATTCGGTAGATACTTACGTCTTTTTCTAATTTTATACTCAAAGGAGGGACATAATTCGGTTTTCAAAAACTTTTCTAGTTCCAGAATAATTTTGAACCCGCCCTACCGTCATGCGTGGATTCAGGGTTTCCAAACTACAAACCGTATATTTTCAGCGTACGGAAAAGCACACATTTCTCTACGGTAATAAAGGGGAGCATATAGGGTTCATAAAATTCAGTAGTGGATTTGAACCATATTGCAACTTTACAAGCCACATTGGTAAATGCAGAGATATGACGATTTATAAACGGCCATTTCAGGGTATTTAAAAGTCTCACAATTAGAAACTTTTTGAAGACCGAATTATACCCTTCCTTCGAGTATGAGATTGGAAGAGGACGTGATTTTCTACCGAATAAGTAAAAGAATGAATATTTTTATGCATGCTTTCCATGAAATATCATCGGACTTTTAGAGGCATCGAAAATCAGTGCGAAAAATTCATGCTATTTAAGCAGTCATTTTTAACAGAGTCTAGTTTTCGCCTGCAGCCGGAAGTTCATTCGGAAGCCGGTCTCCTATGGTAACTGAAATATTATAGAAGCGCTTGCTTTGTTTGCAGCAGTACCATATCTAATAAACGACTCCAGACCTGGCTTGCCGTAGTAGCGGGTCCTTAGTTCCTATTGCCTTGGTCTGAGTGGTTTCATCTGACCGGTGTGTCACCTCGATCTCGAGTCGTGCGAAAAGGCGACTGACAGCTCTCGAGACGTTCTTAGCGTGGTGATGTACTCATCAATATCTGGTCTCGTGCGATCTGGTCCCGTTTTTAGCGTGCTTCAATACTCATCGAACATGCTGTCTACGGCCATCATAGCCATGTCTGGCGTCCTTGACCGAGGCCCCATTGCGTCAAGATCATTCGCCCTCGCAGTGAGCGGTTCCAGACCCCCTGACCTGCGAGCAATCGACTGACTCCAGCTGGGACGCACATGCATCCACGGCGTCACAGCTGCCCATGCGTCACGTGAACATCGACCCTCGACAAATCGACACACACCACCCTCGAACCTCCAAAAGCAGCTGCCACCACTGTCTAGTGGACACTCAGATACGACTGGACGCAGCCAACATCAGACTTGGCTTCATCAGCGGCCACTGCCGCCCTAAAGGACAATTCGCAATGAACCCCTCATTCTGGTGACGTCTGTCTTCTCCTTAGAAGTCGGGATATGGCCTGATGATTGGAGGACTGAGTGCACTCTCACCGCTCAGACGCGACAAACGGATTTTATTTCGACAACCTTGTCCTCCTGTTGTCTGGAGTGCATTTCAACATTATCGATAGTGCTCTTCGCAAATGCGTTTGCAGCCCAACCATTGATTGCTAATGCAAACCGAGTATTTCTATGGTGGTTGCCACCCCCCTGAAAAGTACTCTATCGAGCACGACCACCCGTCAGCTAGAAGCGGGAAACCTTGTCGAGCAAGTGATCAGTGCGCTCATAACGACAGGCAGTAAGTGCAAAACAGTAGTATATACATTGTGCTTTGGTAGAGGGGCGTTCACCTATCGTTATTACGGAACTCACTCGTTCCGTTGTGTCTTACGGGCTCTCTCTCGAGCCCAACCAGTAGCCGCACAGCTGCGCGCAATATAGGCAGACTGTTATTACCGACAAAGACAAGGGAGCTCGAGGGAAAGACCGTAAGGCACAACAGAACGGGTGAGTTCCGTAAGAACGATCGGTGAGCGCCCCCTACCATTGTATATTTCCGATCGAAACCGACAGGGCAACGGGCTCGTGGCCAAGTGGTTGGAGGCGTGGACTTCTAACTAACAGGTCGCGAGTTCGAGCCCCAGATGCTCCACACCTCGGGGTTGGGTATGACTGTCTGACGACGGCTGATAAGCCAGAAGTAGTCATTCCGGTCTCCCTTGTCTATGTCGGTAATAAAACTGTGTTTTGCTGTACACATTTAGAGGAGACACAACTTCGCGCAGGTCGATAACATCCTGGGAGACGGCATCAGCACCATTCATCGCCAGAAAGTGTTGCCGCCAAGATGGAGTTTTAAAAGTCAGCGGATAGATGATCGCAGTTCTCGGTGCAGTTGTCTCTCGCTCAAAACAAGTTGTGTAAAAGTGCAGAGCGAACACTCCCTCCTGGAAGAGTCGAGGCGAGCCCTTTCTCAGGTGACATCGGTCGGCCTCGTAAGCCCAAATGGAGCAAACCTGAGAAACAGTGTAGTGTCAGGAAACTGACGCGCTGGTTCAGTGCAGTCTTGAAGTATCGCTCGAAAGAATTCGAGAAGGCGAATAGAGGCGGGAGAAGCAACTATATCAGGGACGGTCAATCGAGTCTAAAAATTCAACAGCTGGTAAGGACAGGTGGCTGCCCGGACCTCTACGTCCTGGCTTGAGTGATACTTTTGATTTCTGAAAGTGTGTCCTTCAAACGATTCTCGCGCAACTGTAAGAAAATCTGCAAAGTTAAAAGTGTTCGACTCGGCCAAAGGGAAACCTCCACAGACAAACGAAGAAAACTACTCTGCGTCCCCAGTAATTTTGCATTTTCCACACATAAATGAGAGAATTCCACTCGGTAACCACAGTGCAACCAAAGCAAGTATGCAAAGCTGTTTCTAACTTGGCAGCAGTCATCGGCATGCTTAAAATCTCCTTAGACTAAAAGCCCAGTCGGTCTAACCCGGGATTGTAAACGAAGGATTCCTTACTTGCTTGGCGTCCCGATCTAGCTGCATATGGACACAATGTCCACTCAATTCCGTATTAGCCCGTCTGGTCCCATCAATTTGATATAAGAGGTTTTATCCAACGCCGAAATGAATCTGATAGATGTTGACGTTCAGCTACGATATATACATAAAGCGGAAGCATCAGTCGAGTCTTTTCTATCATTATGCATCCGGAAAGCAGTTAAAAAACCATCGTTGTTACCTTTTTAGCCTTCAATCGTGCGTGCGCATTTGGCTGCAGGGCTGGTGGCGACTCCGACTGTGGGGCACAAGTGAAGTCCGCGCTTGCGCCATCGGAACATCCCAACAAGCCAGGTTCGCACTTATTAGACCTGAACCCTCCTCTCTCCCAAAAAGCTCTCTAGAGCCTACGTTTTGCTAAACTCCTCCCGAAGTTTTGAAACGGCTATCAGTTTTGCAGGTTTGCTGATGTTTTTGCCGAAAACATCAGAGGCAATTCTTAACCGTACACGTTCGGCACTCCCCGATATTTCATAACCGTTCAAATGGTCGAAAAGCTGGGTAGGGAGAATTCGGGCAGGTCAGACAGGGAGAGAGGAACCTCCCGTACTATAGACGGCCTTGCGCTAAATCCCGGTTTGGGTACCTTTCTCGTGTCTCAGTCTTAACTCTAACTCTAACTCTAGGTCCTATCCGAACACTAACCTTCCGAGCTCAAACCCCTATCCTATGCCTATCCCTCAGCCTAGCACTGACCATTCAAACCCCAAAGCTAACCCCGACCCTAATCCCTCCCCCCCGTAATCCCTTTATCTTCTCTTGATTTCCTAGTTGTTCCAATGTACTTGTTTTGCCTTTTGTTGTCGATTCCCTATGCCGCGACTTACTTATTTCTTCCGGCTGCGTTTTGGTTTACTTTGCCTACGTTAGAACACAAACGCTCTGCTTCCTCGATATCTCTGAACGGCTTCTGTTGTTGAATGCGTACGCCTGACTTCTTTATATCTTAAGGGTACCTGTGCATATTCCCTCTCGTAAAAAATAATAAAACAGTTAAATTTAATTGAGAGGTGGGGTTACACAACCTACCGTCGCCGTGCCAGGTTTTTAGTCTGCAAGTGCTGGTTTACGATGAGCTGATCTACATGACCTCTTTGGGGGTTGTCGTCAATGTCAATGGGTCGGTTGTTCATTGGTTGCCTTCAAAGCGCGCATTCCCGCCTGACTAGATTAGTTTTAGAGAGAAAACCAGTTCACTCACCATTGGAGACCGTCTTAAGGCTTTGTTAGACACACCCAATTACAGCATGAGTTACCAGATTGCTTGAGTCGAAAACGCTGCTTTTAGAACCGAACAGAATGACTGTCTCTTCCCCTCCCCCCCCCCCATCACTCTAACTAACAATCCTTCGCGTCCATTGCAACCGACACCTTGCAGTGGCGACGGTTTATCCGAATTCTGCGAAAAATGCGGATGGCTACCAACAAGGAAACTGCTACTCCAGCCCCGCGATGGAGGAGTTCTTTCAGGTACGCCTGGCGGCCGCTCGAAACCGTGCTCGCGGCGCTGGCGACGCTGAAGGTGTCGCAGGCCTCTTGGGAGGTCCTAAACCCTGCATTCACTACCAGAAACCAGGTTAGTGCTCACTTGCGTTGAAACATCTTTTTGAGGACTAAACGTGTTTACATTGTCTTTATCAGCGGTTGTTTAGAGCCTTGCTGAACTTGTGCGCCTGTTTTGGATGCACTCACGACGTTGAATTGGTTGTAAATGGCATTTACGTTGTCTAAGGTGGGTTAACACTGCCATAATTTGTCAAGAAAAATCAGATTGTATGTTACTACCGGCAAAGACAAGGGAGACTGGAATGGCCATTTCTGGCTTATTAGCCTTCGTCAGCCAGTCATACTCAACCCCGAAGTGTGGAACACCCGAGGATCGAACTGGCGACCTGTTAGTTAGAAGTTCACGCCCCTAACCACTGTGCCACGAGCCCGTTGCCCTGTCGGTTTCGATCGGGAATATGCAATGGTAGGGGACGCTCACCGATCGTTCATACGGAACTCACTCGTTCCGTTGTGCCTTATGGGCTCTCTCTCGAGCCCAACCAGCAGCCGCACAGCGGCGCATGATACATAGGCAGAATGGCATTACCGACAAAGACAAGGGAGACTGGAATGGCCATTTCTGGCTTATTAGCCGTCGTTAGCCAGTCATACTCAACCCCGAAGTGTGGAACACCCGAGGATCGAACTGGCGACCTGTTAATTAGAAGTCCACGCCCCTAACCACTGTGCCACGAGCCCGTTGTCCTGTCGGTTACGATCGGGAATATACAATGGTAGGGGGCGCTCAACGATCGTTCTTACGGAACTCACTCGTTCCCTTGTGCCTTACGGGCTCTCTCTCTCGAGCCCAATCTGATTATCGGGGCCTCTGTAACCACATTCACTCACCACAGTACTTGGTTGACTATAAGTTATCAACTGCATATATTTTTTAAAAGTCCACTGATTATTCCATAAAGGGGTTCATATTTCAGGTATTCTTTTTCGAAGTTTGGTGGGAAGTGGAACGTTATCCCTAAGCATCACATCCGAGCGATAATAGCTTGCCGATTATGCCTACTGTTGATGTGCAAACGGACACATCCTAAAACACTACCTCTGGGACCAGTTACAACCACTTGCTTTCAAGTATGCAAGAAACGTAAGTCATGCAACCGTAGGCCCGTCTAGAGAGTCAAAAAGAGTAAATGCCCAATGTTACGCAATCGGCGTTGGCGTCCTGGCAACTCAGGAGTAGTGTATCGCATCCTGTGTCAAAATTGTCCTTGTAACTACACAGGACAGAATGGACGCATGCTCGGATCGCGCATACACGAACATAAGCTGGCTGTGCGACGAGGCGACGCATTATCACAAGTGGCCGCCCACACCTACGAAATGGGTCAGGAGTTTAACTTCGCAGCCACCAAAATAGTCGCCCACGCCGGAAACAAAAAAGGCCGAGAATTGATTGAAGCCTGGGCCTCGAATGGGAACTCGGTCAATCGATTTATCGATTTGGCGCCGGCGTATAGAGCCCTGCTCAGTCACCTCTAGTCTTGCGCCGTCGGTCTATGATTAGCCTACGTGCCCTTTAACCGTCCCCTGTTCAGTTGCTGCTATTATCTCTGACGATGGACTCCTGTACGATTTCGAAAGCTCAGGATAATAAACAAAGTGTTCCGGTGTTCTTCAATTTAAAGTGCTTAGTCAAAAGTCGAGCAGTGGCCAGTTGGATTTCGACCCCTGCGTGTGTGAGTTTGTGCTTGCATAGGGTGCTACTGCTATTGAACGGGAGGATCATGAAGTATACCAACTTTGCTCTAATACAAAGTCGTAGTTCCTTTTGAGTTCCGATCAAGGTCTATAGTAGTTAATTTTGTCGCGTTTGATTGAAGTCTGATAGTTGTACTTCGCTGCTTGAATTAAGCCTTGGTCAAGGCGTATTTCTCCTTGACAGAGGAAACTCGACTTTGATAAGCTACTCGAAGCGTCTCAAAAGAGACGGGTTTTATGTGTTCTTTTCGACAGGACAACGGCGAAAACGGCAATTTTATCCTAAATACCATTGTTATTTTATGAAAAGTCTGTTTTAATGAAATCTAGGCTAGAGCTAGGCGAAGCGACATGGTATGACATCGATTCGTAGCGCATGGTTACGCCTTCATATAGTGACCTTTTTACGCAACAGGGGACATTCAGCTACGTCAGGGGGAGGGAATAAAAGATGAACTGGAGTTTACTTCGAAATGACCCACTCGATTTCAAGTGTCGATTACTCTCTGTCAAGACTCATGGCTTGAGTAAATGTCGTTGACAACCATCCAAGACTTCAAAAGTACCATTAGGAGACTGACACGAGCAGAATAGGTGCTGCGAACACATAGACAAGAACGTCACACGTCTGCTACGATAGGGGTGACTGAGCAAACCTGTGAATGGGAAGTTGTACGCATTGCAGCAATGGAGTAGCATTTTTTCCGGACTGTCTGACCTAACGGCATCCTAAATTGACAGACTGGCGCACAGCCTGTCGCTGGAGGAGCCGACGGAGGAGCAAATACAAGTGTTACGGCATGAGGCCTCCTTCGGAACAGCCGACGATAAATATGCTAACATGATCGCAGCAGTCAACTTGCTTCCCAATCAGACGGATGCAGTGCGGAAGAGATCAAGTTTACTCACTCCTCGTGGCTCCTAAATCAAATGCTGTACCCCAAAAGAGGGACAGAAAAGTTCGTCATTCCACTCACGAACAAGGAGCGTGCCGCCGTCGCACTGAACGGGACCAAATACTTTCAGAAGTCAAAAGACCTACCGGATGGTGGCCAATTCTAACTTGCATCAAGACCCGACCCCTTAAAAGTCGATAAATAAAGAATAACGGGATTTTGAGACTTGAAAATGCTGCATGGCGACCAACCAGTGTGTAGTGACTGGGTACGACTGACTGACAGCAGCTAATAAATCACAACTGGCATCCTAGTCTTCCTTGTCCATACCGATATTTTTATCCCTGGGTTGTTTGCCCTTCCTGGTTTTTTCGATTGAGGTTATGGTCCTCGGTTACGCCTCACGATTAAACCAGCGGTGAGGGTTGCAGCGTGAGCTCGGGCACCTCGGTATCTTTTTGTCTGCTATTAGGTCAGAAGTAAAGTCAAATCATGGAAAACTAGGTTGATGAACTCCTGAATTAAGTCCTTGTGAACCGTTCTTTATTCCGATGTAGTTGTGTACTTCCCTGATGCGTGTCATTACAGTTTGTGCACGATATGTTGCACGAGAGATCTCTAAATTCAAGACCGATCCAGCATGCTTAAAAGTAGAAAATAGAATCCGTTTCGCCACTTTCTTTTGCTGAGCGTTGAGCGTCACGTACCTTGTTCAGAGGTCCTTGAGAAGACAGGTGAAATGAGTAGATAGCAAAATGCGATTACCAGGAAGGAAGCGCGCTCGTCAGACGGAGACTTTTATTTGCCTGACGCTTTGGATTCAAAATCTAACCCTTTATCAGAGTTAGCATCAGATAAGAGTACTTATCTGGGTAAGATGTGGTTTTGTAGCCCCACGCGATGGACATAATACTGTTCGGGTTGGGGTTAGGGTTATGGTTAAGGGTTAGGATTAGGCGTTACGGCTAGGGATCAAGCTTAGGGGTTAGAGTTAGGGACTAGGACAGCTATTTCTCAACCACTTAAAGTACAACCGCGCATTCCCAATAGCCTTCCTTTTGCATACAACTGCTTGACCTCACGTTATATCCGACAAAGACAAGGGAGACTGGAATGGCCATTTCTGGCTTATTAGCCGTCGTCAACCAGTCATACCCAACCCCGAAGTGTGAAACACCCGAGGCCCGAACTCGCGACCTGTTAGTTAGAAGTCCACGCCTCTAACCACTGGGCCACGAGCCCGTTGTCCTGTCGATTTCGATCGGGAGTATCGAGCGCCCCCTACCATTGTATATTCCCGATCGAAACTGACAGGGCAACGGAATCGTGGCCCAGTGGTTAGAGGCGTGGACTTCTAACTAACAGGTCGCGAGTTCGAGCCTCGGGAGGCTGCATACCTCGGGGTTGGGTATGACTGGCTGACGACGGCTAATAAGCCAGAAATGGCCATTCCAGTCTGCCTTGTCTTTGTCGGTAATAACATACTATGCGGCTGCTGGTTGAGCTCGAGAGGGAGCCCGCAAGGAACAACGGAACGTGTGCGTTCCGTAAGAACGATAGGGGAGCGTCCCCTATCACTACTTGACCTCCTCGCCTTCGCGTTCTGCGGTCCCACCTGTAAAAACCTCTATCACCGCCAGTCCCGTATTGCAAGTGGATGGGTTAGTTCACTTCAGGTGGGGCTACATAGCCAAGTCTGACCCCGTTGCGGTGTTTGCAGGATGCGGTCATCATGCCATTGCATATTTATGAAAAATGACAGCTCCCAATTCTGTCACAGATGGCTGCAGGTGACGAGATATTGGCTTGATGACCTGGCCGCTAGTTGTCGCAATTTCATCACTCACGTTGGTTCTACATGTGATAATTGCTGAACCGTTTGGCCCACTGTCACGGGCACTCGGATCAATTCGTCAGGATGATTCCCGCGTTGGTAATTGCTCTGTACAACACAGAAAATGGATGGGGAGGTTGCTTATTAATCGACTGAGGGCTGGAGAGCCAGGACTCTAGGAGCTCGCGTTTCGCAAGTCTGCCACCTTTTGCGAGAATTAGGGCCAAGTCAAATTAAGAGGCATGGCGAGGTCCAATCGTGGGCGGTGACTCACATTAAAGCGATAGATCGGTAACGATAGGGCGTTGGTGACTACAAAATTCAGTGTGGCTATAAACATAATTTGTTATTCGCCATTTCCATTGTTCGAAATTTCTTTCCCTTCCTGATTAAATGTAAACTTACCAGAGGCGCTTTATTCAAAGTCGAATATTTTTTAAAAATTGCGTTTCGTTTACTTTTTTAATCATCGCGCTCGCTTTCTTTGCCAAATGACAGTGTAATATAAGACTTTTGGCAGAAGTTTAGTTATTTTCTGTGTGTTGCCCCACCCGTAAAACCCCCTCTACCACTTTTCAACGTATGACACGGTCTACAGGCTAGCTGAAGTTAGTTGGAAGTCCTACACCCTATCGTTGTTCGATAGATCACTCCAGGTTTGTCGATGAACGTTGCAAAACCTTACACTGATGAGTACAACCCGCCCCACATGCATTGTCATAGTTACAATGCCGGAGGATGTAGCATAGACACCGTCATCCGAGATCGCTAACACAGACACAACCACGGTAGTGGTGAGATTTTACAAGAAATACACTAACCCTGGTGTTTACTTCTACATCGTCATGGGCCGGCATCTGACTCTCATCTGTGGTCACACGAGGCCGTGCTCAGCACGGTGTCCACACTGTGTTAACCATATCTGAGCGGCGATCTAAACGAGATGAGGATATCGGACGTGTGTCATCACACCCGGTAGTTACCGCTCTAATCCTCAAATTCCCTCCCCACACTCAGTCAAACAGTCCTACGGAGTGGGTGACATGTAATTTCGTAGGCGGCCCAGACTAACTCGGGTTGTCCTATCATTCAAAAAAGTCGTGACCCATAATGAAATTCGGCAGTCGTCTGGGATGATTGAAGAGTCGTATTTAGGGGTCGCAGTGGTTGACTCGTCTCACAGCGGCTAGTGATATAGGCTATTAGTTGTCGCTAATGTTATTCTTTATATATATATATACAGGCAGATAGGCGTCCGCGTTTTCTGCTACCCGGTCTGTATTTTCTGTCCTCATTTCCACTCGACATCATGAAATTTGTATGTGACATCAAGATAGATATGCTTGCTAATTAATGCATCGTCTGAAGGTATTGGTTGGACAGGCGCCAACGGTGCAGGTTTTTTCCCGTGCAAAAATTTGTCCTCTGTATGCATGGTTAACTGGGATAAATGGCCTCGTTTCTTCACCGCTAGCTGGTGCTCTTGTACACGGGTGAGGAAAGATTCCCGGGTTAGGCCCCAATAGACAACATCACAGTTAGTACACGGTATTCTGTAGACGATTTCATTTTTGTGGAAATGACCAACCTTGTCCTTAGGGTGTACTAGCTGGGTTAGTAACGTGGTTGTAGGTTTGTGCGTTATCCGTACCTGGTGTTCTTTCAACTGATTTTCAACAAGCTCAGATACACTCTACCCATGAGAGAAAGTTCGAAAGCCGGTTGGTTTTGACGACTGGGTGGCCGTAGCTCTGAAAATTTCCCTTTACTTGAAATGTTGTCGACGCATGTTCATCGGTGGATAAAGTCTGGAGTATATCCACTCTGAAAAAGAGTTTAAAAGGTTATTTTATCCTGGTTAATGGAATTCTTCGTTGGAACAATGAGTTTTGGCTCGATTTAGCTAGCTCTTAAGAGAACTGCACTTGTGGAGAATGGGATGCTTGCTCCCAAAATGAATGATGACCACGGGGTATGCATATGTGCGACAAACTGGGGCTTGCAGCGTTTCACCAGTCTTCTTTTGTAATAGGGCATCTAGGAATGGGATTTGCCCATCAGCCTAAGTCTCGAAGGTAAACTGAACTACTGAAAAATTGGAGTTGACGTTGTTGTGGAGTAGTCCTGATTGATCTTTTTGATGATAACAAATGTGTCACCTACGCAGCGCAACCGCAATTCCCGGTTAATCATAGGAAGCGCCGTAGCTTCTGACTTCTTCATTACGGCTTCGGCCAGAAAGCTAGATACTAAGGAACCCATAGGGGGCCTTTCAGTTGTCAATAATATTGATTTGTCTTGTTTCTTCTTTCAGACGGACTGGTATCCAAGTCAAAGAACAATGTAAGTCAGATTTACTATTCAGTAAGACATCATTTAATTTAAATCAAGACATGACTGGCATCCGAAATGCTTCTCATTTGGCAAACGTCTAGTTGCTGGCGATATGATGCCTGAAGGCGTGGTCGCATCTCCACAATAATCGTCGATAGGTTGATTGTTGCACATGGAAAGACCACAGGTGACATGCGTACACTGTCCTTGACCACACGAAAATCGAGCAAGGACGGAAAAAAGTCAGGATGGCCATTAACCTCAGGAGTTTAGAAGTACAGAACTTAGGTATCCTTTGTAGTCGTCTCACGGCCGTTGAACATAATGAAAAGCAGTTGGCAATCACTGTGTTACCATGCAGAAACAAAGCGTTAGTCGCCCTCGTTGTTAATTAAGGCCAAAAGGATAAAATCAGTCAGAGGCAACCGAAAGGCCCTTTTCATGCAATATTTTTACCTGGGACATCGTTTAAGGCTTTTAGGTCCCTAAAGGTGTTCGAGTCAAGTGACGTAGCTCATGAAATTCTAAACGAAATCCAGAAACATGCTTTGGGTTTGCAGGGGCTGTAATACTGATTAACATCCAGTTAAGCTGGAGTGCGATCATTTCAATCCGCCTCCCTTCGTCCGCTTGCAAAAAGTTCCATTGTAAAAAATGCCCATTTATGTAGTCTGCATTTTCCATTGATTTTCTATTTTCTTAAAATTCAAACATTTTAAAGCATTTATACACTTAAACCACCTTCTTCGTAAACATTCTGTAGGAGAGTGTGTCTTTTTAAACTTTTGGCTCGTGAAAAGGGTATTTTTTCGTTTCAAGAATTTGTCAGCTCCCGAATAATTTTCAAGCAGGTCTGTGGTTATAATTGTATTTCAGGTTTCGCATCTACAGGCTGTGCATTTTCTGTTTAAGGAAAATAGTGCATTCTCATATGCCATTACGAAGAACCAATACAGTTTTCATAAAATTTCGTTATTTTTACGAACTTTGCTGCATACTTCAAAGGCAGCATTAATAAAAGAACAGATACGTTGCAATTAGGACAGAAATTTTAGGTCTTGAATATCTCAGAATTGCACATTTCAAAACTGAAGACACCCTTTCGCCGACTCAAAATTTTTGTACAAAATACCTATGTGGCGGAGAACTTCTGTACACACTTTCTAAAAAAATGTGTTTGCATATAAAACGTATCGGAAATCAATGGAATAGAACCAAACTAAATATGTAGCCATTTTAGGGATAAAACTCTTACGGGCGGCCGAAAAGACACTAATTCAAAAGCTCGTAGTTAAAAAGTTTCCGAATTATGCTACATGCTAATTGTTATAACAATTGCCCCTAGACAGTCCCTTCTAACCGAGGAAATATTTCTAATCTCGATTAAAGTTTCATAAATTAAAACAGATGTGCTAACTTTTGAAATGTTAACCGAAATTCTGTCATGTGTTTTTGGCTCAAAAAGATTGCCTAAGTTGGGTTGTGGTATCAATAACCGTGTAGCATAACCCTACGATAATTTACTTACTTTAGGATGCCTGATTTTGAACGAACCTTTTTTGGCCGCCTGCAAAAATAACACACGACGAAAAGAACTGTTTAAATAGCACAAAATGTTCTAATTGATTTTCGATGTCCTTATGAATTCAAATGTATTTCATAGAAAACATGCATAAAATATTCATTCTTTTACTCGTTCGGTAGAAAATTACGTCCTATTCAGATTTTATACCTGAGTGAAGGGTATAATTAGGTTTTTAATCTTTTCCATGTCCAGAATAGTTTGAACTCGATCTGCCGTTACATTTGCATTCAGAGTTTCTAAACCACAGGCTGCATATTTTACGTGCACGGAAAATCACACATTTCTATACGGTATTAAGAGGAGACCATGTAAGGGTTCATGAAATCTGTCACTGTATTTGGGCACATTGTAAACTTTACAAGCCACATTGGCACATACAGAGACACAATGTGGGATGAACGGTCATTTCGCCGCCTTAAAAATCTCATAATTAGAAATTTTGTAAAACCAAATTATGCTCTTCTTCTAAATATAAACCTTGAAGATGAGGTAATTTTATACTGAATGAGTAAAAAATGAATGCTTTTATCTAGGTTTTCGATGATTTATATTAGAATTTATAGGGAAATCGAAAATCAATGGGAAAAATTCATGCTACTGTAGTCATCATTTTTTACCGAGTTTAATTTGTGTAGGCGGCTGAGAAGATTTTTATTCCAGCGCCGGCATCCTTAAGCTACTGAATTATTATGGAGTTATGCTACACCCTACCTAAGCAATCTTTTTGAGCCGAAAACGCATTACAGAATTTCGGCTAACATTTTACGAGTTAGCACATCTACTGTACGTCACCTACGGTAGTGCTTGAGTTAAGGGGTTCAGCGAAAGTGAGGAAAAGCGGCCTCTGCAGCCTGGAAAAGGACCAGCCCAGTATCGTTTTCCTGCCTACCCCCTTTTTTTTCAGCAAAAAGCCATCTCCGCATGGTGGTTAACTCACACGCTCAGTAACCGAGTAAATGTTCTCATGTTTTATTCCTTTAAACGGTATTACGTCCACAGAGTTCTAAAAAATTCACAAAGTTTTTGAAATCGCGCGGAACAACTCAACAGGTGCTTCCTTCGGGTACTTGTTTGGTGGGAACACCATCGTCTGTGATGATCGAATTGTCTAGATGGGTTTCAAAAATCGCAAAGCAGGTTGCCAAAAGTGTGTACTTTTGAGAATAAAGTATCTTGATCGGCAGCGTAATACTTTAGACTTATTTTTAATTCTAACATGCTGACACAGTTCTGCGTTTTTCTGATAAAGCACAGACATTAATGGGTTGCCTGTAGAAATCGTCGCATGCATTCTGCTACTCGATGGAGATGTTCAGGTCCCATCGATCCCAATTAGCTGGTCAAAAAAAACAACTTAAACAAGCACCTTGTTTATAAACTGAGCCAAGAATGCATAAAATGGGTTTCGGATGAAAGTTGGTGTACCTGCACTTCCGGTATTCACCTTGAATGTAGAGACGACAATGACCTCGCGAGATGTGTAACTGTGAGGACACATTTAGTTAACCTTAAGTCTATGCGCATAAATATATGCACGCATTTTGGGGATCATGGACAGGGTCTGTAACAGTTTATCAATGCAAAGTTACACTCATACATGTCCAGTATAAAAAGTGAATATTCACAATGTAGCCGGGGACATTTTAACACATATGTGTGCTGTGATGAGGTGCAAAAGAAATGTAACTTGAGAACCGAGTTTCTGAGCTGGCCACAAGCAAGCGTCTTACGAAGTGTAATGTCTGGTCGCGCTACCTGTGATCACATCCCGTATTCCCTCCCAGAGATATGACGTCAGTGTTGAGTGAACCGTGGCCTACAAAGGAAACTGTACTGAGGGAGTTTCCTGACTCGAAAAAGAAAGTGCATTATCAGAAAGTTGCTTTTCGAACGCGTGCGCTCGCTGGTCGCCTTCTCAAAGCTGAAGTCTGTGACAGCACTCAAAAACACTTGATGTTGTAAGGAGTCTCGCTCATCTTTAGGACGACGGGAAGATAGAAAATAAATTTGCATTATTCTAGGAGGACTGCCGACAAAGGCAAGGGAGACCGGAGTGCCACCAGCCCTAATTCTAACCCCTGGGATTCGAACGCGGGCACTCTGCTCATCCAGCATTAAGTCCAAAGCGCTTCCACTGAGCAACGGTTATGTTGCCCCGTCGACTGCGATCAGGAATATTAACTACCATTGAAAGGGCGTTCAAGATCAGGTTGCAGGACCCACTCATCCTATCGCGCCTAGGGGCCTAGTCTAGAACCCTCGCAGGCAGTCACATAGCGATTACTACTGACATAAGGGGGGACTTCTTCCTTCATCATGGAAATCAAATCTCCAATTTCTTCCTTGGTAACTAATCCGTCTACACAGACTCAGATATAATTATGCATAAGACTCATTTGACGTGGTTCGCAAGCTTATCTATTGTATTATTTTATGTGACAAAGTACGGTTAGAGCCTCTCCCAGATCGGAAATAAACCGTCCTCAATCGAAGACAACTTTAAATACCAACGAACATCCTGGAACCATCACGCCTGACCTCCATAGTTTATTTTGCATAGAATCCAGCGCGGAATCAGGAAACAGGAGGTTCATGCCCATTTGGTAACATGCGTTTTCTCTATGTGAATCCGTTTACTCCGAACTGTTCGTCATACATGATATAAACAATGTGTTTGGCCTGCAACTTCACAGATTACTCTAACAACCCTCAACTCAGAGTATGCTCCGGTGCTCATGAGCCGTCTCCGTAATCCTTCGATCTACTGCAAATGGAAGAAGTGGTTGGACGTGGGAATACGAACCCCCCATGCTATAGGCCATTTTGTGCTGAATTTCAGGGAGGCGCCTTTCCATTTGTTCCAACTTAAAGCCCAGCACTAAGCCCAACTTTCCTGCTAAAAGCAGGAAAGTTGGGCTGGGTTGCCCCTGACCCTAACTGGTTGGATACGGGACTGGCGACCGCCGTATTGCCTTTTTTAATTTCCGAAGAAATTAGTGCGCGAACCTGGAGTTAATCCTTCGGAACAGACCTTTTCAGGCACGGTCCAAAATTTGATATGAATAGTTGAGCTGAAATCCCCCAGCTACTGCGGGATAACCGCGTAATATTCACAAACCACCAACAGGCAGTCAGTAGTATACAATTGTGTCGTTATTTACCTCCTGTATTATAGGTGGACTTGCCCTAAATTTCAGCGTTATCGCTAAAGTTAGTGCTAGTGTTGGAGATACGGCTAGGATGGTCGGACATGGGATTGTGGTTGAGGTTAATGTTGGGATAAAGATTTGGACACGAAGCCACTCTGGAATTCAGCGCAGGGCCATCCGTAATGCTAGGGGTCCATATGCTCATGTCCCAATGAAGAAGTCACTTATACCACTTTCCTTAGAAAACTTTTTAAAGCTGAGACGCAGTAGCAAAAGCTGGGGAATATTTTAATTTGAAAAAGTGTCCGGAGTTCAGACGGGCCGTGAGATTTCGTCAGGAAAACCTACTTGCCTCAAACATCTGAATATTTACCAAGTAGTATTTCCAAATGTTAAGTATCTCCCAGCTAGGTTTTGATTTTGTTTTTGACAAACTTGTCGTGAACTCTGGTCTCGTCGGTGAGTGCATGCATTAGGCAGCCTCCGAGCGCTTGAAATATTTAAACCATCCGTTACTGACGAATGCTTTAAAAACTTATTTTTTTAAAAAAATACATGAAACATCTCAGCCCTTACGACAGCTGATCGGTGGGTATATGCAAGTGCAGGCTTTGAAATTAAATCCGTTCTCGTGTATAGTGGGACGATTTGTTGAGTAAATTTTTTTACGCCACCCCGCAGATCGCCTTCAGACGAACAGTGACGCTACAAAACCGTTAATTGTTTAAAAGTGCTTAAATCACATTAGAACAAATTTAAATTAAGCGCAGAGCCACCCTTAGTACTGGAGCTCCACACGCCCACGAAGACGTCACTTACATTACTTTCCTTGGGGAACATTTTAAAGTTGAAACGCAGAAACAAAAGTCAGGGGATATTTCGGTTTGAAAAAGAATACTGGTTTCGATGCCTATCTTTATTTATAATGTGTATATCAGGGCCCCAAGGCATAACGGAACAAGCGCCTTCGTAACCTGATTGGCGAGCGCCCATCTATCACAATGTGCATATATATTTAAAATAGACGGGTAAATACATGGAGTAAAGCTGGTGCATTCCTGGTGAGTGGCCTTGCCACAGATGGCTGGTAAGCAACTCAGTCACAAAGAATCCCATAATAATGCCTGGAACACATTAAGATTGTTCTATGTTATCAGTACTAATAGCCCACGTAAACGATATCTTATGCCTAAAAGAATCCAAAGACAATTTTTGTGAGCGTTGGCCCACATCGAATACACTTTAAACCTGTATATTTTGCGGTCTTGCTACAGCAAGTAAGTTCACACAGGAGTTACTAGTTGTTTTCTATTTTTACGTCGGACTGTCATACAGACACAGCCGGCAAGGTAGCGGAGGCAACAACCATCATATGGACCATTAGGTATGACATTTATCGCTGAATAGGGAGCAAATAGCCTGCTAAGGAAAGCAAAGCTAATGTATTTCACTGGCGGTTAGGACAGCTACGGGGAGGCAAGTACCAGATCGTTCTCCGGTTTATTTCTGATGGTGAGTCTTCCGGTTTAGCGCTAAACGTCCACTCATCATCCTCACTAACTCGCGCGCTACTTCCTTAAACAAACAAACTAAATACTTTCTTCCGCAGATGAATCACATCAGGGTTGAGGCTAAATTTGTTTTAATGTGCGACATATAACTGGGTAGGTACTCCGCATGTAAAGTCACTTTGCTCACGTTGAATTAAATTAGCCGATCACGTTGCTTTAAAACAAAGCGCCGCTCAGTGCGGTGTGGCGTTTTATTCAGAAATCTGCTTCCATTTGTTTCAAGGAACACGTTTTGTAAGGTAACACGATCTAAAGGACTTATGAAAATTGCTCACAGTGAAAGTGGTCGGATTATTCGCATTTACTAACAAAGAAGTCTTAACGTTAATAGTGTTCAAGTAAGCAAACGGTCTTCCTAACGTGCAGTCTTAGTTATGTCTTTTTTCCCAAACTGTAGAACTTGTAGAAGGGTAATTTTACCCAAGAACCGTAAAAATAAATCGGGCTGCGTGTGCAGTTCTGTGTTATGCTGTTTGTCCGTAGTTGCCGGGTACGACTTGAAAGGGTACATGTCCACGAGGCTACCGTCTTCTCAGTGTTTGATTTGCCTTTAGGCGAGGAGTTTGTTGTACGACAACGTTAATTACACCTACGTACGTCTACTTATCCGAGTTCAGTAGACAGTTAGTTTTCGTTAACTATGGTTAGTGACTGATAATTACTTCGGGCCTCCTTGAGTGCATATACGAATCTGCTTTAGAATGTGAAATCGGATGTGCCACAAGTAGAAGAAAACTGCGAACTGAGTCCGGCTTATGGGTTTTTATTACAGGGAACGAAGCTTCTGTAAGCTTAGATTGGTAGTAGAGTGAAATATAAGGTTTCAAGGCAGCCCTTCGTCTCAGTGTCACAGGAAACTCGGAAAACTGAAAAAAATATATCAAAAAGGGGGTTGCAGCACGACCTGAATTCGGGAACGGATTTTTTTCATGAAAAATGCAACGCCTATCAAAAATCTCGAAGTTCTTATCGTGAATTTTTGTGGAGCGACAACTTGCATGCTAACAATATGCAATGCTGAAAATCGGCAAATTAGCTTAAGAAACACGCATGCAGACTATTTAAATCGTATTTCCAGTGATTTTCGTGCTGATTTTGAAGCTTTAATCATGCAAACATTTTAGATTTCCAACATCAATGAAGAACTGCAGAGAAGACAACTCATGGTTGAGATGTTGAAGGTAAACGGCCTCATACCTCTTAAAGCTTTCCCACTTGTTAGCATACACAGTACAATGTTTTGTAGATAATTTTAAAATCCCCAGTCAAGACTCAATTTAGAACAACGTAGTAGCCACTGTCCAGTATGCCTGCAGTGGCTATTTAGCTCTTCGTGAATAGACTCTGCTTAAGTCTTCCTCCCAATTCTCTTCTTCTCCTCCCCCTGCTCCTCCTTCTTCTCCCCTCCGCCTTCTCTTCCACTAGAATTTAGTGAAAAAGTGTTTTTACGTACCTGTTTGACCCCAAAATGAAGTGGTCTTTGATGAACAAAAGTAAACGACTAAAGGCTATTCAGTTCTATTTTATGGTTTATAAAGTTATCTGACTCTAACTGCACGTGTCCCTTGCTTCGCCCATGCCCCCATCCACAAAAAAGATAAAAAGGAACAAATCCGTGCAGAACCTGTTGTAAAATACTTTGCAGAATAACGTGTCTTTTCCTACTTCTCAAACATAAAATCGTGTAGCAAACTAAGCTTTGGGTCTTTTGCTTCAGAAACAGGCAGAAGCGCGTGCCGAGGCACTAAACGCACTCTTAGCCAGACGTGAGGTCGTGGAATCAACGGAGGTGAGCTTCATGCCGCTTCAGCTTGTTTACATCTAAACACCTCCATACGAGCCGAGATTTGTTACTGACGACCGTTCGACCGTCGATTCCGACGATGTCCGCCGTGTGCTACTCAGCAAGGTGAGAGCAGCCACGGTGACTTGCGCGTGAAGTGGTCTATAGCAATAGCAAACTTGCACAGCATCTACCGCTCTCTCTCTCCTTCACCTGGACCCTCTGTCAAGACAGATTCAAGAAGACCCGAAGCGGGGGAGGGCGCAGGCAGATGGCGTTCCACTCCACACCCCCTGGTCCACGCAGAAAATGACCAGGTGTTTTAGCAACAACAACAATGGAGAGGGCCGTAGGGGTCCCAGTGTGCGTGAGGTCTGCCGGCAACTGGGTCTACCACCGCACCCCGAAATTTTGGCGTCTGTTATGGTGCGCAAATCCGATGACCCCTGCCAGAATGCGATATGCCCCCCCCCCTGTTGGTACAGCGCATCTATCACGTGGCCCGTTTGGGGACATATGTTACTGACAGAGACAAATGCACTGGACTGATCACTTCTAGCTTGATAGAACCGAGGGCTTGGGGCTGTTGTAGGGCTAGCATGCATATGTGTCTGAATTTTTGAGCACTACACACCCGATCCTTCATCGTCCGGAGCTGACGAATCCGCCACCCGGCCAGCACTACTAAGAGATGGAGGGTGTGGGCGAGCTTCTGCTGCTGCGTGCTTCGGTCTGCATCTGACTGTCGCCGTGAGTCTGTAAAACCCGCTGACTTTCTTCTGTCTGGGTGGGGACCCGTAGAAGGACATTAATTATTTGGAGGAATAGAAAGCCACTGTTAGAAAGACCATCGTTAAGTGGAGATTTGACTGAATATAAAGGCAGTTTGACCGTCGCGACCAGTGACATTCACGACCCTTGCCTCCCGACGTGGGCACACACACAGGTGACCTGCGCGTGAGGAGGTCTGTAGCGTGACAGACTCTGATCCGAGGAATAAGCGATCTCTGGAATAAGGGCTTTATTCGCCTGACGTTTCGGACTCCTACTTGAGCCCATCATCAGAGACAATGACAGAAACGGGTCACTTTCTCTGATGCTGAATCCGAGACGTCGGGCGAATACAACCCTTGTTCCAGCGATCGCTCCTTCTTATTCTTCGTATCGACTAGCTCCCGGAACTCGCATCTTCGCTTGTACCGGAAACAGACTTTCGCAACATCTACTGCGTACTCTCTCCTCCATCATCCACCAGGCTCTGTTGACTGGACAGGGTCAAGATGACTGGAAGTGGGCTGGGACGCAATGACTGACAGAGCTAAAAAAAAGTCGGCGTACGCCTGTCACACATGACCTGGCCCTCGAAGAATATACTAGGCATTCAGGAAGGCGCTTCGGATCCAGTGCTTGAGAATGTCATAAAAAGGACATTGAAAAGGAGATATTGAGCCTAGTTTTCAGTCCTATGAAGAACCAATTTCACTCACTAGGTGGCGGCCTTCCAAGCCGCGATCGGAAACCTGACGTGGTAGATTTCAGCGAGTCATATCTATTATAATGAGGAAACCGATTGTCCAGGATCGGCCGCACTCTCCCATTCATCAGTAGACTGTCCGAGCCAGTTAAAAAATTGTTGATAACGTTGGACGCAGCGGCTGACGCGACGTGAGGATTACGTCTAGGTCCGCCAGCACCTCCGCCCCCTCCATGTACAGCAGTAGTTATGGGCTCGCGCGGATGCTGAACTGCTTGGTTAACGCATGCTGTTAGCTAATCTGATCCCCGTTTTGGTCGAGCACATCTATAGAACAACCCGGTATGAAGAAACAATCACTGGAAAAACATGCGAACTAACAGTCACATATTCTGCCGGCAAGAAGCATGTCAAGTGCTTTACAAACACTTCATTGTAATATCGACACGTACCAAGCTTCCCAATTACCAGCCACACACACCCATACAACCAGTCGCCGAACTTACATATATACATACTACTTGTACTGAGTGAGTAGACGTTCCTTTTTGCATATTTTCGACAAGCAGACAGCTGCTTACGCTTCGCGCGTAGTGCCGAAGTGCTTGTAAACTCGTGAGAGTTTTTGATCCTCCTACTTACGGTTTGAAGGTCGATAAAAAACGCCTAAGCGGTTCTAAGAAACTCCGCAGCCAAACTTGTAGATATTAAATCCGACTTGCAGGCAGCGCAAATGAGAAGAAGGCTGCCACCGGGATAGGTCCGTTCCGTTTCTGATTTTTCTAATAGCACTCGTGGCTGTTTGGGAGCCAGCAGTCTGTTCGTTTTATGACTTACTTCATAAGTTGCATGTGATATTATTAACATGAATTTTCTTACTTTCAAGTTTCAGTAATGATTATCCTGATTCGAGCCTTCGTTAGAAAAACGACAGTTCACGATGACGGACTGTTTTTCAATTGAGTTTCCGCCTTGAGGTCGTGAAAGTATAGTTCCGATTAGCAAATTCAAATTACAGTTAAATTAACTGTAAAAAGGATGTCTATTTATTCAACACCAGTCGACTCTTTCTCCCCGAACTGCTTTCGATAACAGCAGACTTTCGCAGATTGCACAGGAAAGGGGCGGGGGAGGGAATCAAATTGGGGTAATTCTAGTCGCAAACCACTAAATTGCCGTAATTATCGCACGCAACAGAGACAGTTGAACACCAACTGGATGAATATTTACCTGAAAAACATCAATCAACCGGAATGCAAAACACTGTTGTGCCGGACCGGCGCCTTGTTTACGCCTACCGCTAGCGCGGATATCTATTATTATTATTATTAGTATTATTATTATTTTCCATTGTCCTGGACACCAGATGATTCCCATGCTTCAGTCCAAACGGTTACGATAATATTTTGCAGAGTGCATATGTTGTATTAACATGTCCTTAACAGGGTTTGTGAGAGCAATGCCTACTACTCCTAAATATACTGAATTATACTGAAAATGAATAGTTTAGGCCTTCCTTTACACTACCCGTAAATCATAAATTTCGTACGTGCCCGCCAAAAGAAGCTTTTTAGACACATCCTGATCCTTATGTCTGTATGACTGAAAACTATTAGTTATTTACAAACTGTTCAGTCGACCAACCTTGATGTTTTACACTTTTAGGAGGGAACCTGCGGTGGACCTCTTCACGATTGCAGCACCCCAATGAGGTAGCTAATTACCACCTTTCCTCTCTATTTCTGGGTGTTTTTGATTGAAAACTACAGAACTACGGTAGATCTACTATAAGATCGCCACACCCCTGCTTAATACATTAATTTACATTGTACGATTTTGCATTTAAGTGCACACTAGTAACTGCCCAAAGCGGAGCACACACTCCTGGAATACGACGAAATTCAAGCTCGCTCATTTTGTTCATAAGTGGGGTTATATCACCTTCAGATACCAGCTGATCGTTTTTTCAGTTCAGTTTAGTCGAGGGAACTTTGTGTGCACACTTTTGAGCCACCAATTACGTGTTGGCGTTTACTTTTGATAAGTTCTCATTAGTCTAGCGCGCTTTTATGAAACCGGGGTCAACTTAGAAATTTGCTTCATAAAAGAAACCGAGTAATATACCTACTTCAGGACAAGTGACAGGTGGAAAACATAGAAAGATGGGAGGAATCAGTCGGTATCGATCCACTCAGGTAATTATGGCGGAATGACGCACAACAGACGTAAGCTCTCCAAACAGTCTTCCGAATGGGAAGGGGTTCCTTAGTCTTTGACACTTAAACAAACAAACCGCATTGCCGGTTAAGCACGCACTGGTTTGTGAGCACAACAATATCTACAGGATAATCCTCTTCCGAATTCAGGCTAACAAACGCCTTAGCTTACAAGGTGTTCTCTTCACTTTCTGACTTGAAAACAAGGTTATTGGATGTCCAATCCCCGGAGGGCGTTCCTGCTCTGTCAGCACTCTTAAACAAGCCCACACCATCTCCGACGGATTCCCGGCCATCGTCGCAGGATGTTTCTTGGAGTCAGGACCCGAAATTACGGCTTTCGCCCTCTGCCGGAGTTGCGCGCAGTGTAGGATGTCCTAAACAGAGGTAACCGCACGGTCTGGATGCAAGAACATATTTGCCACGAAATCCACTGCAGAATAAGATTTGACTAGAAAATTTCGAATGATCATTATCATCTAGTTTGATCTGCAGATATCTACTGGAATTGTACACATCTCAGTACTAGTAAGCTGTACCGTCATCAGTAAAGTAATAGAATTCGGGTGATAGTGGGTGGTTTCTATAATGAGCCTTAGGATGGCCATCCCAGGCACGCATCCTAGTTCAAAAACTAGGACAATAAGATTAATCTCACCTTACAGAATGCTTAATTCATCTCTTTTTGCTTCAGTCAAAGGACAGTTTGTGTAAACTCGGGGTTTCACTAACTACATAGACTCAAAGATGGGAACAATAAAATAAGACTGTTTTCTTACAGGGATAGAGAGCTTACAAGGAGAGGTAGGAACAGTTAGGCGTGAGTTATGGTCTTTTACGTTTAGCCAACAACCGACGACGTCTGTCTGGGCCGACAAAGTGTGTGACACACTGCTCAGTGAATAAATATTACGGGTTGTAATTCCGGGTTTCTGTGGTCTGGGGGCCGTAGACACCCAAGGAGTTAAGGCCCTTCAAGCATATTTTCCCTGTACTTGGCAGCAGTGCTTCTAGGAGAACGATTTATTATATATATATATATAATGGTAGGGGGCGCTCATCGATCGTTCATACGGAACTCACTCGTTCCGTTGTGCCTTAGGGGCTCTCACTCGAGCCCAACCAGCAGCCGCACAGCGGCGCATGATATATAGGCAGAATGGCATTACCGACAAAGACAAGGGAGACCGGAATGGCCATTTCTGGCTTATCAGCCGTCGTCAGCCAGTCATACCCAAGCCCGAAGTGTGCAACACCCGAGCCTCGAACTCGCGACTTGTTGGTTTAGAAGTCCACGCCTCTTCCCACCGGGCCACGAGCCCGGTCACCGATCGTTTTTTACGGGACTCACGTGTCTTGTTGTGCCATGCGGGCCCTCTCTTTCTCTCAGGTCCAACCAGCAGCCGCAGAGCTGCACATGATATAGGCAGAGTGCTATTACCAACAAGGACAAGGGATACTGAGATGACCATTTCTGGATTATTGGCCGTCGTCAGCCAGTCATACCTAACTCCGAAATGTGAAACGCCTGGGGCTCGATCCCCCGGCCTGTTGGTTAGAAGTCCAACACCTCTAACCACTGAACCACGGGCTCTTTGTCCTATCGGTTGCGAGCGGGAATGTACAATGGTAGAGGGGCGCTCACCGATCGTTTTTACGGAACTCGCTCGTTTCGTAAGAAGGGCGTTCGTCTTGTTGCACGTTATGACTCGCTCTAGGTTCCTGGCAGCCAATCGCATGAAGATTAGTAGCACAAGTTGATAATGGGATACCGACAGAGATGAAGGAAGGCGAAGTGGTTATTTCAGGTCTATTAGCTATTAGCATCCGGCCATGTCCGACACCAGGTGTGAATCACCTGAAATTCGGACTCGGGATCCCTGGTCAATGGGTCAAGCGCTCTACCACTGAGCCACGGGCTCGTTTTCTCGTCAACTGCGGTCGGAAATTTTAATTATCATAGGAATGGCGTCCACTGGTCGAGTGAGGCGAATAATTTTGGAAATTATTACGGAAAGGGCTTTGGATTAATTGCTCTGGACATTAATATGTACTATCGGTCATAAAATTGTGATGAACATTAGAGTCGAGGACAATCAACATCTGCGGTATAACCGCGAAATGCCCATTTTACAAACAACTAGAACTATTAATAGGATTATATAGAAGAAACATAGACGAAACACCTGTCTGAACTTTTGCATAATGCCGGCATTGGAAGTAAGTTAAAACCGTTGGTGCGTCACATTATGCCACTAGTAGTAATACCTAAATGTGGAATCAACATAACATAGTTATTCCACAGAATTCGATTTTCTTTGACACAAATGTTCATTATAATTTCCCTATTGGTCCACACATGTACACATATAGTTAAAAGAACGTTACCCGTTCAGGTGACAAGGCATGATCGGCAAGGCATGGGAATAGGGATACCCCGTGTTACAGTTGGCCTTGCACTTACTTCCAGGGAAGACACCTATCCCCGACTCTTGGCCCCAATCCTAACCCTAGCCGTAACCCGGACACTAATCCCAAGCCATACTTTAGCGCGGACACTAGACTTAGCCCCTTATCCCAACACTAACCATGATCCTAACCGTCACATCAACGCATCCTTAACCCCAACCCTAACCCTAGTTAAAATCTCCCAGGACTTTAGCGCAAGGCCACAGGTATTACAGGGGGTTCCTATTCCTGCTTCCCACCCATGCTCGACCGGTTTTCTCTTAGGTCTCAATCAAGAGCCCTCGCAGACAGTTGAATGCCGGCCATTAATAATGCAGGGATGACTGCTGAAGAAGAAAAGAGTGGCAGCGATGGCCGTTTCTGGCTCATTAGCCTTCGTCAGTCAGGCGTTCGCAGTCCCAGGTTTGGATAACCAAGGAGTCAAACCCTAGAATGATCATTTTAATCCTCCTCTGACATCATTACTTCCTCTTACTTGTACTTGTACTTCATACGGTTGCGATCATACCTGATCTAACCGGGCTCGATGATGTCCCGAACTGTACCTCTCCACGCGTGACGATCCGCGGCAGCAGATCTGGACAGCTCAGCCCATTCCCTTCGCCAATGACAGAGACCGAATACCGAAGGTCCAAGAACCACCTCCATGTCTTGACGAACTGTGTTGAGCCAGGTTTTGAACTGACCCCTCTTCGACGCCTCCACTGGGGGAACGCTGCCGGATCGAGTGCAGTAACAATGAGCTCCTGAAGTGGACGACGAAGAACCTCAGGAGCTCGGTGTTACTCCTGAGGTTTTTCGTCGTCTTGGGGTGGTTTACAGTACTACCAGCATGATTCCTAGTTAAGACGGGTTTTGCACATTAGGAATAACTCTGAGTTATTCCTGTGAAGCTGATAGAGTTCACATCAAATATTCGTCTAAACCTCGTGGCCAAAATTACGGAGGAATGTACCGAAGAACTTACTCCAAGTTTACACAGTAATTCCTGTGGAAGTTAAAAGTTCAGTATAAATAGGTTACGTGACAACCTACGCGAATTCTACACCTAGGGTGGGTAAAGCAGAAACCTTCATATTTATAGCCCCTAAGGGCACTCTCATATGACTTAGCTATCAAAAATACTTGTTGAAAGAGACCATGGAAAATAAGATTTTATACAAGGGGTGACGTCTGTCAGAAGATGGACGTTAACTGCCAACTTCCCAAAACTGTTTTCGCGTGCTCTACTTCTGAACCACCAGAGCCACTCATTCCAGTTTTATAAAGTCTTCAGTATCTACACTTTCCTCTGTGAATGAACTCCTTTTGGCGTTCTGTAATCTGCACCGACAGATATTAAAAAGGCGATACCTGACATCCCATTCGCCATTCCGCTTCTCTCACTCCACATCAGCACTGAACTCATCCAAAAGAAGAAGCAAGTCATCCTGCAGAGACTCAATTCACAATCAATAGAACGATTCTCCGAACTCACTTCACCGCCTCCATCAGCGGCCGGTGTGATCGGTGCGGGTCACAGCTCGGCCCTCGAGCGATCGCAACGTAGGACCGGTCGGCGTACCTTCTCTGCGAGCGAGAGTCCCAGCCACACTGTGTCTCCGTCATATTTGAGACCAGCGGTCGCCCCGACTGCAAGCCAAAGTCTAGAAATGTTGACACAGAAGCAGCCGCAGCGGCAACAGCTGAAAACACCTGATGTGAACTCCCCTTCAAGGTTACCTGCCTCTTATGACAGTCAACCTACAGTGGCAAACGCAGTCCGTAACGAGCGCAGTCCGCTTCGACATGACCGACAGCACTGGCAGTCACCCAGTCTCACACTTGTACAGTGGCTAAGCTCAGCTGACCTCGACTCAGGTAAGGTTTAGGAGACGGATGACCTTGATTTGGAAGCATGCTTTATTGTCAAAAAGCACCATGTAAGCAGATGTAACTGCCATAGTTGCTGGCACTCTGCGGGCTTTTTCGATACTCAAATCCTATTCTCATATTGTATGAAAGATGCCTTTGGTGTGAAAGAAGAAGACGCATTGTAACCATATTTTTTATGACTGAAATATAAGCATAACTGGAACAAGGCAAAAGCGATGAAACATGCAGGACTTAATGACGCCAGTGCTTAGGTAACTGCCCTCCCCTTCGCCTTTTCTGTGGGCACTTGCATAAGAGACCAACAGTTCATGTATTATTTACTTATTACTTTTCATCCCTCTAGGTCGATCTCTGATTGAACAGTTTATTTATCAATACGCAATGATCGTACGCAGCTGAAGAGTAGGTCACGAAATGCTATGACGTCATTACGTCCTGCATGTTTTACCGCCTTCGTCTTGTTCCGATTTATTTCTGGAAAACAGTGTTTAATAAACAGAACTCATTCGAGGGTAAATCCGCATGGGACGAGTATGGATTCAAAGAGGACATATCCACTCGCCAGTTCGACGCGATGGCGTCCACCGCATACCGCACAGAGATGACGCAGTACCGGTGACTTACATGTAATTTAGTTTACAACGAGTCAGACTTTCGTCTTCGATGGCAAGGAAAGTCGAAACGACCGGAGGTAGGCTCGGTTGCAGTTGCTGTTGGAGCTAAGTAGCCCATCTGCACGACCTAATTCCCGCTCCATATGTGCAACAACGGCGGTTGGAATCTAACACAGATGAGGATGTCATAAATGCTGCATTACGAAGGGGCCATTGCAGCCTGACAGTCAGTCTTAGGAGCTACCGAGTTATCCCGTCAGTTGGTAACCTTTCAAGCCTCGGCTCCTAGCTTATCGTGACAGATTCAAGCGTGTCAGATTTATTGTGGTGAGGAATGTGCTGATTTGCCGCGGCGATGGATTCCCTAGTTGTATGCTTTACCATGCTGTCGGCACAGGTACTCGCTGAAAGTTGAGACACTTAATTCTTCAGTGTTTTGTCCCTGCATGACACAGCTGAGAGGGGTCTGGTGCATGAGCGGGTAGATGCTCCTGTTTTTCAGATTACAGTTTCCTCAGAAAATATTGCGATAAGTTGAAATAAATCAATTGGAATGAAGCGTCGTAAGCCCAGTCCAAAAGTTGATATGAATATTTGAGTAGAAATCCCTCAGCTACAACAGGGAACCAGTAGTGTGTGCACGAGCGCACCTTCGAACCACACATCGACCTGGCCGGTAATTTGCGAATCCGTCACACTGGAGATTGCAAGCTAGTGTCTGGGACCCCGACACACACGTCTCACCTGCTCACAATGCATCAGGGCGTTCCGACGCTGCATGGGAATTATTAGGCAATGAGTGCCTCCTGAAGAAGGAGACACGATCGCCGGGACAAGAGCTTTATTAGCCTGACGTTTCGGATTCCTACTCGAATCCATCATCAGAGACAAAAAGCAGACCCGTTTCTGCTTTTTGTCTCTGATGATGGATTCGAGTAGGAATCCGAAACGTCAGGCTAATAAAGCTCTTGTCCCGGCGATCGTGTCTCCTTCTTCAAGACTACTTTCTGGGGCTCGTCTCTTCGCTTCTATTGGCAATGAGTGCCTCCATAAGAACATACAGTAAAACACCACAGTTAAAACCCCATCAGAGGCAGTTCATTAGCTGCTGTTCAAGTCACCGACGCTGCGTCCACTCTGTGAGGTACGTGGTGGATGTTGTCGCTCTCGACGATCAAACTGTCGGGCACCGTCCGCTGAAGACCTGGAGTTGCTTGGTTTGACGTATATGGATGCATAACAATTTATATTGACCGAACCGGGAAAAACTCAGCGTCCGCAGTTGGATTCGAACTCACGACAGCATGGGGAAGGCTTTAGTGCAGCCAGCGCTCTAGCCACCTGAGCTACGAGGCCCCACCGAGAGACGTGAGTTTAGTCCAAGTTGGGTCAAGTTACCCGCTAAACCTACCGCAACGACTGAAATCCACCAAATCTGACACAGTAAGCTGGCTGCCCAAGCAGGATGTCCTAAGTAATTAGTTTAGAATCCACCAGACGACTGTCAGGCTCACGTAATTAATAGATGTTTTGGCAGATTTTGAATCATTCATATTGACCCAACTGTTAAAAACTCGGCGCCTCGGTGGGATTCTAATGCACGACAGCAAGGGGGAGGCTTTAGTACGGTCAATGCTCTAGCCGTGTGTTCATATCCAACCGAGCCGCCGATTTTTGCTCTGTTTAAAATCTGTCAAAAAATCTATGAAATACATAAAAATGCCAACACAATCACTCACTCGCACCATCACAACACATCACGAGCGCTGGGAGAACGCATCCTACCTGTCCTTATTGTGGCAGCTTCGTGCCCACGCAAATGAGGACGCCACTAAATCAGGGGTGGAAATCATCAGCATTGCAGACACATTATCATACTGCGGTGCCTCCAAATCCACAGCTGTGAGATTGGATGACCACTGCCAAGAGGCACAGTCAACATTAGTCGTGCTCAACTTACCGACCCACACTATCTCGGCACACTCGAACATCTCACTGACCTATTGGGCCGAGTGTATATACACGAAAATGATCATTACCACATCACTTATGCTCAAATTGGCGGCACAAATTCAGCCACCGCTGGACAAAATCTGGTCACATCTGCACTAACTACATCGTACTCACCACTCACTCAATCATTAATTTTTCTGCCTGCGCCGGTAATGTGAGAAGTATCGCGTTTGTGCTCGTGGTAGTCTAAGACCTTACGCTTAGGTAGCTATTGTATCCGATCCCCCCACCGATCGTCCAGCAGACTCGGACAGTTCACAGTTTCATAGGGAAAGTAAGAACATGAGGCCGATATTTAGGTATCATTTCACGTGCCAATTCAACTCCATTTCTATTACGAAAATTGTTGCCCGCCCTGAACTATCGCCTCGAGCTAAACGTGACGACATCAAAGACGTCCAGTCAACAAATTTCTCCCGCTTGGATCGTGGGCCAGATCACATTTAGACCTTTTTATGTGACATTCGTGGTGTGCATTAGGAAGCGGTTTTACACCATTTTGGCCAAAGTATTCAGTTTCACCCCCTCCTCCCCATTGGAAGGCCCCTGAAACACGAAAAACGGAGAGTGGCTTCGATCTGCTTTGAACTCAGGACTTAGTTTACTCATCATATACAAGCAAACATAATTTTAAACTAGCGCAATGGGTCGAATGAGTGCGACTTGAAAGATTGCTGTTTGACGTGTCACGAGTTCCAACTTTGAGACGGTTGTCAAACTGCAATTAGTCCTTACTATGACTTCCGTGGCATCCTACCCTGTGTGGGATTTTGGCCATTCCCCCCCCCCCCGTCTTGAAGCCTGAGCTGGGCAGGACAGGCGATCAGGTCGTGCCTAGAAGGTCTGTCTTGCTTTGCCAATCACTGCACCTACGCCACTTTCCAGTCGTATTGGCTTTATCTCGTCATCGGAACTGGGTAGATATGGGAAGAGGGAAGACTGAGATAGTTTCAAAAGAAGTCGCTTTCGCTATTAACCAATCACGTGCAAGTCACCACCGCGCACTTTTGACACTGACTGCCTGCACAACTCACGGCCTGAGAAATCTCAATTTTATGAGTTATCCCAGTCGCCAGATCGATGCCTTGCCAGTTTACAATACTCAGCTACTAATGCGTCAGACGCAAGCGTCGACCCTCAATGAAGGCCGTTCCGCCATTTCGTGGCCCATGGTTAGCTAACAAGCCGGCTCAGTCCTCTTGGTGTTGCTGTCGACCCGTTAGAAGCACCTCGATGTGATGGCCAAGTTCAGCTGGCATAACTGGTTATAGATGAGGGTTACTATAAGGAGGACAACTCCGTTTATTTCTGCAGTTTAACCGAAAGGAGAAATGTACATTGTTGGAATAACAGGGCACCTGTTAAATTCAGGCCTGCGGACGACTGACAGGCATCATACTGGAGAACATACTTCACTTTTGAATTGAAACCCTGTAATCGGTCTAGAAATCAATATAACTGGTGAGGATTTTTCATTTCAAGCTTTTCTCGATCGTTCACTAGTGTAGGCAACTGGGAGTATCATACTGGTACCCAACATAAACACACTGAGAATGGCACAGAGTTCGTGGTTTTTTTAAAAAGAATACCTGCCTAAGAACACAATACATGAGATTATTTATGCCAGAAAATATGGGTGCTTCAAATTAAAGATAGCAAACTCAGGGGAATTGTGTATGTGAATGGCTTCCACGCCGGTTCATATGGCTTCTTTTCTCGGAATCGGATAGATGCTTGTTTCTTATGTATTGTCAAATTGTTTCGAAGATACTTTCTAAAAAATGGCAGTTCCTCGTCTTTACTTTAAAAGCGTATTTTTAAATCATATATTCCAATAGAGAGCAAAGTACTCTCGACGTTTGGGTTAGTATTCTGGCCGTTGTTGATGTTAATGAAGGATTATTTCACCCTGATATTGTGCAGGTTTTTGTCGGACTCTCTACATACTCACCCAGCGATCTCGCTGATTTCTTTCTAGTAAGCCTTGGGGACTCTTACACTGCCGCAAACCAAGTGACCGCCGCCGAAAATACAGTGACTTTAAGGCGACCGCAATGTCTCTCAAAGCCAGTGGAGGCGTTCATAGGTAAGTTGAATTCCTTCCAACCTATGAATGGCTTTTAACTTTCAGAAGTGCGAAGGCAGCGTCATTTGATGGCTGCATTCGCCTGCAAACGAGTGAACAATCCATGACTGCCTATTGCCACAACTACTATTATCAGTAACACTACCGATACTCCTTCTCCAACACTGTTACTACTATTAGCGCTACTACTAGCACTACTGGTGCCACCACTACTACGACTACTATTACTAATGTCACCCGCACTAATACTACTAGTACTGCCTCAAACATTTGTAGGAATATCACTAATATCAGTTCGACCTCCCAAACCACGATGTCCACCTGCTACTCCACGGCAGTGCGGCCGCAGGACGGTGACTAGCGCTTGAATTAGTTGTAAGAGGTGGTTTGGTAGCCCCACCTGATGGACAAAATACTGTTGGGGTTATGGTTAGGCGTTAGGCCAACTATTTCCCAACCACTTAAAGCACAACCGCGCATTCTCAGTAGCTTTTCCTTGGCATACGACTACTTGACCTCGTCGCCTGTGCGTTCCCCGGCCCCACCTGTAAAAACTCCTATTACCACCGGTCCCGTATCATATGTGGCTGGGGGTTAGTTTACTTCGGGTGGGGCCACATAACCACATCTGACGGAATTAGTTTATACGAATAGAAGACTTGCGCTGCCTCTGCCGCACTTTCTAGTCCCTAAACCTAATGCCACGACAGAGCCTCGATCGGGCCCAGCGGCTGAAAAAGCTATAAAGCCATTCTAAACGTTTAACACGGGCCTGGTTCGCGCACGATGACCATGTTTTCAAAAAAACAAGAGAGGAGGTAGCTCTGATCCCAACAAAATTGTAGTAGTTAAAAGACCGCATTAAAAAGGCGCCACTGAAACTGACTCTGGGTCCTGGCAAGATCATATTACCTCGTCAGTTGTCAGTCTTCCACGTCACAGCCTTTAGCTCACTGTGATTGGTGAAAAACGCGTCATATAGCTTATAGTGTGGTGATTGTGCTGCGTGCCGTGTGAACGGGGTCCTCAGAGTTGAATTCACTCTTTATTTCCTCGCCTAAGCACCAGTCAAAGCAACGAACCAGAGAGTCATCTGTTGCGGGGATTTGACGCAAGTAGCTAGCGATAGAGCTAGGCAGCCAGTCTGCGCTTGTCCCGCGCGAAATGCCCTTCTCCAAAGAACACACCAGCTTTTCACGCATAGGGGGTGGACGGTTCGGATCTCACGCGTGGGGGCGCCATAGAAGTTACGCGAAGAAGGAGTCATTGAGACTGACTCTCCATCCAACAACTAGCCACCTGAGTTACACCACCAGTGACTGCTACTACTACTACTACTACTACTACTACTACTACTACTACTACTACTACTACTACTACTACTACTACTACTACTACAGATGGTGCTGGCATTACCGCTAAAGCTTGCTAATTGTGTCCCTGGCAGTCCCATCTGGCGAAGAAAGTTCTTGTTTCAGCGATCGCGTCTACTTCATCTCGGAAGTCCTTCTTCTCTCTCTCCGCGATCACTTAGCATCCGCTCGTTATGCGTATACGTCAATACAATTGAAGAGGCGAGTTCCAGCAGGTGGTTAGGAAGAGAGAGATGGAATCGCTGGAACAAGAACCTTATTCATAGATGTTTTGGCAGATTTTGAATAATTCATATTGACCCCCCCCTCCCCGGAAAAACTCAGCGCCTCGGTGGGAGTCGAGCCCACGACAGTAAGGGAAAGGCTTTAGTACAGCCAACGCTATAATCACCTGAACTACGAGGCCCCGCCGGACGATGCGAGTTTTTATCACATTTGGGTCAAGTTACTCTCCCGACCTACCGCAACATCTGGAATTCTAGGTGAATGACTTAGAAAGTCCTGCTTGGGCAGTCAACTTACTGTATCAGATTTGGTGGATTCCAGACGTTGCAGTAGGTTGGGCGGGTAACTTGACCCAAATGTGATTAAACTCGCGTCGTCCGGCGGGGCCTCGTAGCTCAGGTGGTTAGAGCGTTGGCTGTACTGAAGCCTTCCCCTTACTGTCGTGGGCTCGAATACCACCGAGGCACCACATTTTCACTGTAGCGTCAATGGGAAGAACTTTATTCTCATGATGTTTTAGATTCTTACTTGAACTTATCATCAGAGAGAGCGAACAGTTCGACCGTCGATTTCGACGCCGTTCACCGTGTGCTCTACAGCAAGTTAAAGCAGGGACAGTGACTTGTGCGTGAATTATTTTATAGTGACTTTCACAGCATCTACCGCACTACCTCCTCCCCCCCCCCCCACCTGGACCCGGTGTAAAGACAGATTCAAGAAGACCGGAGGCAGGGGAGGGCGCAGGTGGATGTCACGGTCGAGCCCGCACCTTGACGCTCCACTCCACACCCCCTGGTCCACACAGCAAATGGCCAGGTTTTTGGCCAGCAACGACAATTGGGGACGGCAGGGGTCCCAGTGTGCGCGACGTCTGCTGGCAACCGGGTCTGCCACCGCACCCCGAGATGTTGGCATGATCATAGACAGCCACGGATGGTGGACGCACAGGAGTTGCAGTCTTTATAGGATGCGCTTGCCATGCCTCCATACACCTGCCATAATTAGCTACTCCCTCATTCATCGCCGGTGGTCGTGAGTGGTGCGATGACCACCTGTCCATCCTCATCTGATTCACCAATGGGCGTAATTTCATCATTAGTGTCGATAGGTGACGTGATACTCACTTGACAGTTTGGCTTGTCATGGGAAGCGGTATTCACCTACTCAACCTCCGTGCCCAGGCGGTTTTGGGGCTGACTGTGGAGGAAGGAGGTTATTTTGCGTTTGTTAATGGACTGATGACCGGAGAATCATGACTCGAGTAGCTCGCGGTTCACGTGGTTGCCACCTCTCGTGAAAACGTGTGTATGTGACGGCACGCCCAGCTGCCGGCCGACCTCGCTCCAATTGGGATCCCTGACGTCCCCCCCCCTCCCGGACTGTTGTTTAAAATCTTGGTTAAGTGCCCGTTGTGGATACTGAATGAATGTGAGATAAATCCGTTTTTAAGATCATTTGTTCTTTGTAGGCCTTCAAGACATTCGGCTGGATACATGCGAACTTTGTATTAAATAAGCTAATAAATGCACAACAGAGTGGCCATATAAATACGAAAATATTGCCAAACTTCTAGTGTGTCATCCGTTGCGTTCCAAATGATGTCTGGACAGAAAGTAGGCAGCACGAAAAGTATATTACCGTGTGTCTAAAATTCAGAGTAAACATTCGATGATGTTTCATTTTATGGTTACTTATAGCGAATGCGCCAATGGCAGGGGAATATCGGCGCATTTAAACAAAGGGTTGCCTGTGGGCGTTGTTACTGTGTTTTAGAGCACGATAACAAACAGGTTCACAAATCAGGCCCAAACATCGATAGATATGTAATTTTTAAACAAAATATTGCTCGTTCACAATCTGCTTCGCGTGGCTTACGTCAGAGGTTGAATCAATTTTAAAATGCGCCAAGTTTTGTTTGGTAAAACCGTCGAGGTTAAGTTACTCTCTTCTGACAGAAAAACAAAGTAAAATGCGCAAACTAAGTCTAGGGCAGGCAATGCCATAAGACATGCCCGAATACAAGGCAACGCAGATTTCCGCTCAACTTTATAAACACTGTGTCTAGTAAAATTACTTAAGCACAGATCATGCACGAAAAAGCACATTTTTGGGAAGGGACTAGGTGAAATAGTAAAGTGTGCAGCGCTTCAGGCACCCAAAATTACTATATCCGTTTCCGTCATCATGTTTCATGGGGTAGACCACACACTGTAGTGAATGAAGTTATTTATAACGAATTGAAACTTATTAGCTCATTAGAATTATGCAGAATAATTATTCCGATGTTACATTTACAAACGAGTTTTGTTGTTGCATCTACGTACCCTTCCGCGGAACACTTTAGTTGGCAATTACCTTTTAAGGAGCCGTGGGATCGATAGCGTTACAATTAGCAATAAACACTACTCACCCATCGTGACGTTTGCTAAATCCTTGCAGAACAGCATTACGAATCTCGATCATAGCGCCCTTATTATAGTGACAGTGCTGTTGTAGTCTGCTAAACGCCTCAGAACCTACTTGTCTTTTAGAAGTATTACTTCCTAAATGTCCATTATTACAGCCTGCAACAAACGTAGGCCATTTTTCCAGATACTGAATCAACTTTCTCATGCTCCAGACACCGCCTCCTCATCACCTGAACGTGTACAAAAGTCACCTGACTCTGAGAAGGGCCTGGGTGATCCAGCAGAACTAAATTCAGAGTGTGATGACTCCAGCCTGCCCCTGGATTCTCGGCCCCGACTCTCCTCCCAGAGCACATTTGTCATATCGGCTTCGTCGTCGGAAGAGCTAACTGAACTCGTGGATATCTCATCTCCGCGGTCAACCTTGGTAGGCTGACTGTTTTCATGAACGTACAGAATGGTTAAGTTGCCAATTGGATAATCTAAAAGGCACCTTTTTAGGATGTTTGTTCGCTAAATTTCTTCGGCTTCATTCCAATTTGGGACCAATTGGGGCGCGCTTAAGCCCGAGCAAGGGTAAAGACATGAAAATAGTAAGGAAGGGTTATGTGAATGGGCGTTTTGACAGATTTTAAAGAATTAATTTTGACCCAACCGTGAAAAACTCAGTATCCGCGGTTGGATCCGAACCCACGTTAATAAGGAGAAGGCTGTAGTACAGCCAAAGCTCTAGCCAGCTGAGCTACGAGGTCCTACCGGGAGAAGTGAGTTTGGTCACATTGGGGTCGAGTTAACTGTCCAGCTTACAGCAGCGTATTGAATCCACTAAATCTGATATGGAGGCCGACTGCCAAAGCAGGACTTCCTAAGTAATCCATTTAGAATCCACTAGACAACTACGATGTTCACGTAATTAATAGGTTTTTAGCCGATTTTGACTTAAATCACAGCTCTCGTAGGGGCCAAGTGACTCAGATGTCTAGAACGTTGGCTGAACGCAAGCCTTCCGCTTACTGTCGTAGGTATAGAATATTGCCGAGGTCGCCGAGTTTTTCAGTTTGGTCAAATTAAACGGGTTATATGGCCGGGTCTATTTATTGTCCATAACTACCTACTATATTGTTTTAAGTAAGCGGTGTTCAGCACAGTTTCTGCTCAACAGTCAGTCACGCGCCAGTTTGCGCACTTACGGATTTGCTTCGGTTGGTTTGACGCCGTGGCTGAGTTTCTCGGGATAATATGGCAACCCCACTTAAGTAACCATTCCCAAGCAAAATCGCATTTCAGAATTTCAGTTAACGCCCTGTGAAATAGAGCACCTACTAGAAGAATCAGCCATCCCCGAATAACTGCTATTAACGAAACCGGCGGAAGTTACACAGCCCATATTTCTCTGAAAATGTGTGTATGGGAAGCATTAGATTCTATCTCAGGATAAAATTGAAAAGTCCTCTACAAATGGAAAAGGATGATTACTGATGTGCCACTTACTAGAAGTGCTTACTTTGGCATTCAGGAAGAGATAATTATGGAAAGGTTGATATGATTGAAGAAGTTTTTTGAAACTAAATGTCCGTACAGTTTGTAATGCTATCTGAGGCATATGCGCTTTTGCACATGTATGAATGCATATATATTAGTAGTTGAGGGGCGCTCACCAGTCGTTTTATAGTTGAAGACGGTTAATAAGCCCGAAATGGCCATTTCAGTCTCCCTTGTCTTTGTCGGTAATGACAATTTGCATATGTATGTATATGTATATACACTGCGTGAACAAATCAGCAGCGCAGCTGAAGGTCATCCCCGGAAAAGGTGAGCTAAATATGCGATGAGTTGTACAGTTTTTTCAATCCTTGACGATGGGCTCGCGTGAGAGTTCGAAACGTCGGAAGTATAAACAATTGGTTTCAGCGACCGCCTTCCCGTCTTCTTTTATATATATCCGTTTTTCTGAGAGTGAATTGGTGCCTCTTACTTCAGAATTCCCGATTACGGCTCGATTTCCTTCCGAAAAGCCTTTGCGTTCTCACAATATCTGTTCTGAATGCACACTACCCCGGTTCTACTCGCCGCATGTGTGCATATGTATAAACCTAAAAAATATGAATTCTGGAAGGAATCTTCAACAAAAGTGTCAAGTATCCCATTTTGGAAAATGCTTAAAAGAGCTGCCCGTATTATTAGTATTGATTGAAATCAAGGCATATGCCTTTTTCGTGTGTCTGCCAAAAATAATCGTCAACTGATTTTAAAAAGAAAATAACAAAGAATTTTTGTTTTATCTTTAAGAAAAACTATGACAAGCTCGACGCGCATAAAACATGCCAACGTAAAAGCATGCACTGCTCAAACAGTGTTATTTGCACGAGGGCAATCTTTAGAGGCATCTGAAGAAATGCGTGCTTCCGTGCGCTAGTTACATTGTTTTATATGCTGTGGTGAGGAATATTGAAATCGCCCAAAGTAAAGGTCATAATTTAAAAATAATATTTAAGTACTTCAGTCAATGAGCTAAAAGTTTCGGCGCATATTGTGCTACGCCTGATTGTACTTTTTACCAGAGAGTTTAAAAGTACCTTCGGATGTAGAGAGTAGGTGGAAGCGATTGGTACATAAAGGTCCCCGTGGCAGTCTATTCGAGCTCACAGCGTCAGCCGCTATGATTAAGCCCCTCTGCCTCGTTCATCCACCGGCCGTTAATGTACCATTACTCTAAATGTGACTTCTCATACGGTATAAACTGCAAGTATGAATGCTCCTGCCAGATACGTAACTGGGAAATAAACCCGTGCACAAGTACTACTCGTGTATACGTTTACTAGGTCTGAGCTATCATTAGAAAGGAAACCAGTTTCCTCATCAAATAGTATGGTCGTTCGGGGTTCTCGGCTCCCAAAAACAGTTTCACAATTTGGTTCTTATATCTATCGGCAGAAACTGAAAGGAATAAGTTGTTTGGTTTACTGGAAACAAACGACGTTCTCCACAAACATATGGAAGTGTTTGCATCCGGACAACCACCCGAAGTATCATATAAATCTCTCACCGCAAAGGCAGACGCAGTTCCCCTTTTTCTATCTTCGAGTGAAATTTTATTTAACATCCAAGTTACCAGTAGGCCGATTTAACGCTACTGATGAAGTTTAAGCAGGAGTTGAAATCGGTCAAGAATAGATGTTCTTTACAGTATGCATACTTACATGCAGTACGGGGCATATTACAGTTCAGCTCGCGGGTTAAGGCATAACCGAAAGCTTTATTTCGCGTCTAGGAAGTGCTGCTAATGAAGAATAACCGTGACTGCCATAACAAAGCGAATCTGAGGATGACCAACGGCGGCTAGCCAAACCCCAGAAAAGTCCAGTTGATTATTAATCAGAAAACCCTACCAGTCTAGAAGTCTGTCCCCGGTATATATATGGATTGGGTACCGGAGTATGGACCTCCCCATATTGCAGGTAGTCTTGCGCTAAATTCCAGGGTGGTTAGAATTAGGCTAAGTGTTAGATTTGGTGTTGGGATTAGAGTTTTGCTGATCCGTGTAAGGGTTAGCGTTAGAATTAGGTTTGGAGTTACGACATTGGAGTAGGTACTCGCTGGAACCTAATACTAAGCCACTTGTGGTACTGGGACCCCATACTACCGGCCCGAATTCGTTACAAAATTAAACGGACTTTTTATGTAGGCAGAAAAGGATTACCGGCAAAGACAAGGGAGACTGGGGTATCCCTTTCTGGCCGGCTAACGATTGTCAGCCAATCACACCCTACCCCGACGTGTGGAATATCTGGGGCTGGACCTCGTGACCTATCGATTTGAAGTCCAATGCTTCTAACCACTGAGCCACGGGGCTTGTTGTCCCGTCAGTTGTGATCGGATATATACAAGAGTGGAAGGACGCTCACTGATCGCGCTACAGAACTCACTCGTGCCGTTGTACCTTGGGACTCGAGCCCCGCCAGCATCTGCACAGCGGCGCGTGATATAGGCAACAATTTCGTGGCTGTTTTCCTGTCGCTTCTCAACATGAATAAATAGTAGTGAGCACATAGGGAATTAAATTTATTCGGGAAATCTACATGAAAACAGCGTGGTCATCGCTCAGCACACACACACAGTCCGATCGATAGATTGGGGCCGATTAGAAGCGCAATAGAAGGAAGCGAGAGGCACAATTACGACAGGGGTTTACAGCACGGTTTAATACTTCTCACAGGTCAGGTTTCTTCCTCCGTCTGTAGGGTTGAAACCATTCGTGCATTGGTAGGGACGTGGGAGGCTCTTTTGGGCCGAGAGAGTGCCAACTAGCTAGGGGATGTATGGCAAAGGAAGTGTGTTTGACTCTGTTTTTAACTTTAAAGTCCATTGAAACCTGGTCTTGTCCAAGTAATCCCTATTCCCCGGAGGTGTATAATCTTTGGTATGTTGCTCTGGCCTTCTGTCTTTCGAGTTTTTGACTGACCGATTTTCGTGAATTGAACTGTGTGTTCCAAACTGTTATTTTACTCTCATTATGCTGTGACAGAAGAAAGATGATAGATGTTGACTAAATTTTTCGATATCGATAAAACCTGCTGTGTATGCCTGCTTTAAATTCCTGCTAATTTATTGGAACTTAGGCGTTCTTTTTCATTCGGATCTTCAATATGGAGCACCCCCCCCCAATGATCACATAATGACGAGGGCAGTTCACCCTTACTGCTCCGTTCTTACGGAATTCCTGCCTTACAGCACTAGTATGTACGAATTTCAGACTATGGACCATTACTCGACAATTTCAAAACCACCTTTGCCTGACATTCAGCTCCATCTGCACATCTTATAATATTTTTTCGAATAGACCCACTTTGAAGGGAGGCATCAAGCACGTGTTTTTCTCATATCAAAGCTCTTTGTTGGTGGATAACCTGCTCGGTACCATGATGCCAACTCTGACCCTTCACAAAGAACGGGGCAGTGTTGGTTTTTTAGATCAGTGACTTTCACTCACCTCGACCGATTTCGCCAATTCATAATTATCCGGCATGGTTTCATGCTGAGTGGTGCTGAAGTCTAGCTCGACGGTCTAGAAGGGCGACCCAGTTACTCAAGTTGCGTCACAAATCATATTAGATCTGACGAACTGTGAACTTGGGATCCCCAAGAAAACCTCCCAATAGAACCTGTAATTGTGGTGGATGGCGAATCTCGCAAACCACTTATGTGAGTTTTTGGGGAGTAACAGTGGTCGGTAGTATCCCAAAAGCCAGACTTGGTTTCTGCGGTAGAAGGCCCCTCACTGCTGCCGACGCCTGTAGACAGAAAAGGCAGGAGGTGAGGCGTATTCACTCGCAATCGAAACAGAAATATGCACCAGGCGAGAAACGTACCCCGAAACACTTAATAAACTCCTATATGAGCAGGAGTCCACAACTTGCTCAAGTCACCTAGCATGTCCGATGACTGGGCATATATTCAACTTCAGACCGGACGAGTCGCTCATCTTATGCTTCCTGACTTTCTTGCACAAAAGCGAACGCAACCAGAACATTGTTTACTATCCTGGGAATGCCTTATTCCAGTCGTATTGATTCCAGCATCCAGAAAACGGCACAAAGCTCTTGATATTTCGCTCCTACTAAAAAACACCAGCAATGAATACGAAATCTCCCAGACAAATCAGAAATTAAATGCAATGACCTTGAAAGAAGTGGTGCAAGGCATAATTTTGCAGATAATAGATAACAGTATTAGACAATTGTTTGACTTCCTCCCTTACCTGCACTGCTTTTAAGGTTGCATGAATCAGGTTACCGTAATCTAAAGTTCTTATGTCCGTAGATATTCGTCGGAGGCTTAAGAAAACTAAGAGTCCGGCATGAACAAAAAACCCACGCCGCAAGTCTCCTAAACATCCGATTGGCCTGCCCCTTAAACTGGAACCTGGGCTGAATGTTCGAATATGACCCGAAACCCCTTCAAGTCACCAAATTGACCGGCAGTCCGTTGAGTGGTGACTTTGCTGAGAGTATCTAGTAAATATCTTAGGTAATTTTGTCCTCCGATAAAGTCGTTTGATGTAAATGGAATGTAACTTTTGTCTCGTGAAAATGTATTCCGAGAGCTGACACGGACCTCATACATGTCAAACCGAACAGTAAAATCACCAATGGAACTCGAACATTGGCCATTCATGACTCACTCGTCATATGCTGCTTGAAGTCCCACAACACTGTCGTTGCCTAAATAACCCTAACGGCTATTTTCCGTGCTTTAGGGAAACAGCCTGACGAAATCTCTACCCTCCCTCGTTTACGAAGAAGGACTGCAAAATGGGAGTCCACCGGTGGGAGGAGAAGGTGTATTCGGGCATTTTCCCGAACTGAACTTTGGGGATACGGTGCTATTCCGTCCAGCCCTGCAACGTGCGGATCTACAGTTGTCCTCCCTATCTCTGTAAGCTTTATTGTCTCCCCCTCATTCTCGTTAAGTATAGGCGATATATGTCAAGTGGGCGTTTGACCCTCAATGTTGTGGTTAGGATCTCACTCGATCCAAAACTGTTATTTTGCTCTCATCATGCTCTCACTAGTCCTGTGTCCTATGAAACAGCACTCGTTGTCGCCTGTAGCGAGCTGGCGGGTGGACAGAATGGGATCGAGTGAGATCATAACCACAGCAGTGAGGGACAAACGTCCACTTCACATGCTTTTATACCTCACTTTATAGGGCCTATGACGTACTTATGATCGGTGACGACCGTGAAACAGCTGTCTGCGTCTGGCCTATTGCACTCTTAACGAGCTGCCTGTGTATTATATATATGACTAACTGAAGTAGTATGCGTTCCGAGATGATATGATGAATGGAAGAAGTCCGTCGGAAAAACAGTTTTATTCGTAAATTTTCGAGCCGGTTCACTAACCCATCGTCAGACAATGTGAACAATGAGAGGTGGGATTGCCACACCACTGGTTGAGGACGCAGACAGAAAGGTAAGCAGACGACCTTGAGGATGGGGAAAGTGTGCATCGTGTTGTGATGGGTGAGCACCTTCCTCTCGCAAGGTCGACTGCTTGCCTCTCTGTCTGCGTCCTCAAGCAGTGGTGCACCAATCCCATCTCTCATTATTCACATTGTCTGACGACGGGTTAGTACAACCAGCTCGAAAATTTACGAGTTAAACTCTATTTCCGAGGCACTTCCTTCTTTAATCATCTATACATATATATATATATGAATAATGGAGGTAGTATGCATTCCGAAGCGATATAATAAAAGGAGAAGGCTCGTCGGAAAATCGAGGTATACTCGTGAATTTTCAAGTCGGTTACACCAACCCGTCGTCAGACGAAAATGAAAAGTGTGAGGGAGATAATCCTACTGGGGAGTCAGGGGGACATCGACAAGACAGGCGTTTATGTGTGGGGGTGAAGAACGTGTTTGGATAGGTGGCGGACGTTAGGGGTGGTGTTGGGGTTTCACACATGGTTCACTCTGTGGGGGAGGTGCCGAATCCATGATATTCTACATGGCCGAACATGGATTAGCAGTTGGTGGCTTAGGGTGGACGCAAGCCGGCGAACCGTGAACGTAAGCCTTCGTATTGAGCGTCCAAGTCGACATGGCGGTTGATGCTATTGCTATTAGAGTGCCAAGCTTCTAGAAACTCTCGCGCTTGTTTGGTGTTGGCACTAGCGATCACTTCGGTCCCCTCCCAGTTGAAGCGGTGATCACAGTCAAGGGAGTGCGCAAACACGAGAGACAAGGGGTCCCGTCGGCGGATGGCCAACTTATGTTCGTTAATGCGGTTTCCAAGTCGTCGGCCGGTATGCCCAACATAAACGCTAGAGCAGTTTGAACAGGGAATGCGGTAAATGACATTTGTTTGCTGCTGCTTCGGTATGGGGTCTTTTACCCGGGATAATGTCGTGCGCAATGAAGACGCCGGTTTGTGGGCGATGGAGATGCCGAATCGATTTAATTGTCGAGCGATCGCTTCGGAAATTCTCGGCATGTAGGACAAGGAATAGAATTTCCGTGATACTCTATCTCCGTTAGAGTCGACGTTTTGTGGTTGTTGTTGACGTCTGAGACAATTTTCCTAGCCATGCTGGGGGATGTTCTTTTATTTTTTTAGATAAACGCCGGCTCGTGCGACCAATATATTTTACCCCATATTTGTTGTTGTTTAAAATCTTGGTCAAGTGTTTGCTAGGGAGCAGGAGGTTGGAGCGGTATGCCTAAATGCGACTTCATCCGCCGTGCCATGCACAGGCGCCCTCCCTCACCTCCGGTCTTTTTGACTCGGTCATGACACCGGAGCCAGGTGGGGGTGGTGAGCGAGTTCGCGTGGTGCTACGCAAGTCTGCCACTAATTTAAACTAACTCGTGCGCAAGTCACTGTCCCTACTCTCAATCTACCATTGAGCTCACGGTGAACATTGTCGATATCGACGGTCGAAGTGTTGCGTGTGTATCTCAAGGCGCGTAGCGCCCGATTAAAAACGACTTCTCGAAAAGACACAGGAATAGGAACATCCCCACTTTGCTAGGGCCCTACGTCAATTTCTGGGGAGATTTGGGTTGATGCCAAGGTTAGGGCCAGGGTCAAGGTCAACGTTAGGGCTAGGGTCGAGTTAGAGTCAGGTTTTGAGCGAGGGTTAGGGCTAAGGTTTGGGTTAAGGTTAGTGTTAGGTTTGGGGTTGGGACATGGGAATATTTTCCGCTACCGAAATGTTGCATGAGGCGACTTCAATTAACGGCGGGTTTCCACTTCCGTGCCCTTCACTGAGGGAAAAAGGCTTTCGCCGTTGTTCTCCTTAATCATATCCGAAAATGTTATAATAGCATTTTTTACAGCAGTAATTCCGGAAAGGGAGTGGTCATCGGTATGTTTGAGCTAGGCGTAAATTGCAGCCACTGACACAATCGTAATTATAAGAACAGTAGTTTATCGGCAACTGAGCAAATGTATTTCCACTGAAGTCGAAGATGAACCAAAACGTCGTTCTGCAATTATTTACCGTACTGACAACACAGGCATTCGCTAAAAGCCCAGACATGCTTGGTTCGCCGATCTTGTGATGTTGCCTGACGCAGATGCCAGGGGTTCGGCTAATCAGTGGGTCCTCCAGCCTTCTCGTATGTTTTCTGGTGTAAAAACTCAGATTCATCTTACCTGGTTTAATTTTCGAGGAGGTTGATGCGCGAACTGGGAGCAAATTCTTCCGAATAGACCTCCTGATGCACGGTCTGAAGACACACGGGGAAGACTGGGGGAGACTCACTGATGAGCCGACTCCCCCGCCGCTGCGTCAAGCAGCTGCACAAGATCGGCAAAACACACGTGTCTGGGCATTTAATTAGCACCTGTGTTGTCAATATGGTGCTGGTGGGAGATGTGTGATGTAGCCGACGGTTGTCTACCGCGGATAATAATATGGACATTAATATGGGCGTGCGGACAGACCGTTCTCGACTGGCTAAAACGTACCTTGGACCGAACGACAGTCCGTTACCTAACTCCTTGAAGGTGTCGAAGTTTACAAATGATTGTCAGTCACTCGCAAATCGACTCCAATGTGTGGATCCAATATCCATGTTAATTAAGCACGACCTTAGAAGAATTAAAAACATAAAATAAGTGTTAAAGGTAGTATCGCGTTGCTTTGAATTGTTGATTTACTAAGAAAAGCGAAAAATCTCGAAAACGTCAAAAATGTTTGTAATCTAACAAGCTTCATTTCTAGATGTACAGAATGTCTTCTCATGCAGAGCACTGAGTAAAGATGAAAGCAAAAATAGAATAACATTTATAAACAGTGTTTTAGTGAGGTTTACATCTAAATATCCTTTACAAGTTAGTCTAAATTTAGTTATGACGGTTTGCCAACAGGCTGCTGTCAAAGTATGGATTCCAAAACAGTTTTCCGAGGTTTCATGGTATTCTTGCCTCTTTGAAGTTGATTAAGATTTGCTTCAATAAGACAAACAGGATTTTGCCTGCTTTCACCAATGAGGACGTCATAGGAACAAATGTTTTCATACAGTCTCATGCTTCCAAGGCCGATGGTTACTAATAAATTTAAATAAAATTGACAGGCGTAATAGTGAACATACGATTTTGTGTCTGTAAAGAGGATTTTTCCTCCTTTAAATTAGTTTGCACTTTTCATTTGTTCCGGACAACATTGAGTTTCAGATCGGTCTTAAAATATCGCTGAATACTTCAGGATTTTCAGTGTTTTCCCCGATCGTCCATAAAGACAGAAAATCAGCTCTAAAGTCCGGCAAACTCTGTATAGTAAAATTCTCGAAAGTAAATTACTCTCCTTTTAATGAAAACACGCTTAGATGCGCCACCAAGACCTAGGATAAGTATAAATACAGGAATTTAAACGGGTATATCTCGAAGTCCATTTTCGCCCACATTTATGAAGACTTTGTTTGATAAAATTTCGTGAGCACAATTTCTGCACAAGAAAAGGGCGTTTCCTTGAAGGGGCTGGATGAACAAGCAAACTGCACAACGTCCGAAAATTCTCACGTCAGTTTCCGTTATCAGGTTTCCTGATATAAGTCACGTACTGTATATGCAAATTATACAGAATCAAACTTGCGGCCTTTTAAGATAAAATTACGCAACGACTAGGGCCCATCCTCTACAGCGAATAACATTTGGATGCAGAGTACTTAAACTGAATTTCTATTTATACGTTTCTTTACCGATGCCTGCTCAAAATCATTGTTTATCAACTTCCATCCTACGGATCGTCCTACTAGTACGCCGTGCTTAGTCTCACAAGCTGGTCATTCCTGGTCAACACTTCCCATCACCCTACCGATAGGGAATCGGGTACCGCTATCTGTTACGGCCTCCGATTGTGATTTTGGGAGTCAGTTGGTAGGAACAGTTAAGTAGGCCCTTTATTTTGATTGTGCCTCCATCCAAACAAGAACTGTTTACCAGAATTGGTTAACAGCAACACTAACAACGACTAAGCTGCGGACAATCGACCAATCATCGCATCCAATACAAAAGCACACGATGAGTACGGAGGTTACCAATTTTAGCAGGCGTGTGGCTGTGTGGCATTTTCGTCCGCAAATGTTCGCCCAATAGCCTTGTCTGCAGTTGTCTCCAATGCTGGGTTAGAGGGCGAGTCTAAAGCACCAGGCGCAAGAATTTTTGATTTAGGCGAGACTGTCTCCCTCCACTCCACGCAGTGGGTTTCAAACTCTGCTTTCTTTAACCTCACAGGAGCATAAATCTCCGTTGTGAGAAAGCGCCCACCGATCGTGTTGTGGAACTAACGGGACGAATGGGTTCCGTAACACGATCAGTGAGCGCCCTCCTACCTCCTGCCCTATTGCAACCGACAGGACAAGGAGCCCGTAGTTTAGTGGTTAGGGACATTGGACTTCTAACCGACAGGTCGTGGGATCGAGCCCCAGGTGTTTCATACTTCGGGGATAGGTATGACGGACTGACGACAGCTAATAAGTCAGAAATGGCCGTTCCAGTCTCCCTTGTCTTTGTCGGTAACGTTGCAAATTTACGTGTTTGCAAACAAGACGGCTGGAGATCTAGTAAAGAAAGATGTCGATCCAGATCCTGTGAGATCTAACAGCGATGGCATTCTTCCACATTTTAGCCCCGCCTCTCGTGCGACTTCACCCGGCCACAGTCTGAGTAGTTCGCCAAGGCGGGCAAGCCGCCTAACACCGCGTTCTTCAGCTCAAGTTTTCAACAGGCAACGCACGGAACAGCCTCAGGAGAGTTTTGACTCGCAGAAATACGCCGTTCCGGGTTTGCCATGGTTTGAGCCAAGTCTTTCACCACAGTCCTCTGATATCGGGGAGGGTGAGGATGAGGATGAGGAGGAGGAGCAGGAGGAGGAGGGGAAGGCCGAAATGGAGAAAGTGAGTGAGATAATAGAAAGGACAACGCCAGAACCAGAGCTTGTCCCTCACCAGTCCAGTGACAGTCTCAATTTGGATGACCCCAGTCCCGAGTTCCTCACCGCCCATTCTGATGATCTCTCACCGTTATGCCAGCAAAGTTCCTTCCATCCCTCTCAGTCTTTCGAGGAAGTCATTCTAACCGAGGAGGTCAATTCGCCTGCAATTACGGAAAAAAAGGTCGTGGAGGTGGAAGCAGGACAGAAGACAGCGCTCTCGGGAGTGCCTCCGAGAAGAGAGGCCTGGAGGAATCAGTCTGGCACGTTTGTGGAGAACGACGGTTAGTTGTCTGTTTTTCTTCGATTCCGTCCAGGACCGATGGTTGAACATTTGCTCTCCAACTTGACCGGTCGTCTGGATTTTATGTCCTACTAATTACCCCTAAGTAGAGGGATTATTTCAGTTGCCTGGGCATTTGTTGTTTTGTTCAGTTGAGCAACAAAGATGGCATCGTAGCAATTGCTGTACTTCAGGATCACTAAGCGTTAAAGCAAACATAGTCTATTTGAAATGCGTGTAGCGATGGGAAGGTGACTTTATTTCGGTGCTTTCTGTCACCGACCTTTGCCTGGTATTTTACAAGAAGGTTAAGTCTTTTCGACTAATGTGGGTAAGGGTTGTTTCGAAAGGGAGGGAGAGCAAGGACGAACGCATGAATGAGACGACACTTGTATGGTGGAGGAGTACTCATCTCCGTGATACGGGACATATTCGCCCCGTTGTGCTTTGTGGCCCCATCTTGGGCCCCATAGGGTGTCGCGCAGTGACTAGTAATGTATGTAGAGAGAGAGAGTATTGATGAAGACAGTGGCTCAGTGGTAAGGACAGCTTCGGGTCTCAGGTACCCCCACAATATGGGGCTGGGCGGGGCTGGCTGGCGATAGCTAACAAGCAAGAAATGGTCGTTCCAGTCACACTTGTCTTTGTCAGTGGTCTCTCTCTGTGTGGTTTTGCATTTCCAATCTCACGGAATGCTGCACAACGCAGTAAAAGGCGTTCAAAATCGCTGTATAGACGTTCGAAAGTAAAAGACTGATGCAGGTACTTTGGGATAGAGAAGGACAGTGATCCTTATCTGAAGAACAGATCCTTATCGGAGAACAGTCTCCGAAGATCCGTTTGAGGCTAAAGTGAACGGAGTAGAAACTCTTTCACAAGCTATTAGTGGTTGCATGAAGATAATTATCTTTTACCCCAGAAGTATTTCACACAACAAGTATGTTTTCTCGAAACTGCGTGTACGAAACAGGGAGAAAATCAACAAAAACAAGGGAGATTAAGATGGCCATTCTTGGCTTATTATCCGCAGTCAGCCAGCCTTATCCAAACCCAAATTTTAGGATCCGAGATTCGAACCTGCGGTCTTTGATTTTCGGGTTTTACTGAATCCAACACTCTGTCATTGGGGGCGCGGCCCCCTTATCCTCTCCGTTGTGATCAGACACATCAACTACGCTGGAATTGCGTTTACGGCTCGGGTTAAAGGACACACTCGCCTTTGGATCCAATTGTTAAAACCGAGCTGCTGTAACAGTCATTATCAAACTACAGTATGCGGGCTTTTCTCGCAGTGCTGGCTTGCTTGTACGTCCTTATTCCCCCTTAGTGTCTCTTTTCAACTGTTCACTTTTTGTTTGTTTTTAGAACACACGACGCTGAATGCGAAACGTCCGCCCTTGCCCACGATGTGCATTGAGAGTGTCACGACTAAGTCATTAGGTCCAGTCTTTAAGCTAAATTGCGTAATTAGCAACGCAAAAACAACCCAAAAACCCATTTAATGCATAGCGTGGACAGTGAGATGCTTGACGTGTTGTTCTTTGTCGAATGAACTTACTGAAGCTGGGAGTAAATGTCGCCATATGTTTAAGTAGAAAGGAGGGTAAACGTGTTCTGTGTCATTCTGTCCTGAAATTCTGCCAAGTTTATGAACACCGATTTCAAGTGATCCACGGTAGAGAAGGCTGGGGTCTGGCTGGTTGAACACTGCAAATAAGCCAGCACTGACCACCCCGGACTCCTGGGGTCTTTTTGTCCTTGCCTCATCTCACATCAGATGTTGTTTACTCGGTTTGCAAAATGATTCAGTTTCATTGCAAAGGCGATGAGTGCGCGATCACTGGGATAGTATGTGTATTAGTCTGATTGCTCAATCATCACGCCAACATCCAACGCACGTGATGAAATTGCAGCAATTATCGACTCGAATGTCGGCCATCAAGCAATGATCACACCAAGTGCGACAATCCCGGATGAAGGAGGGAGCCGTGAACGTTCATAGGTATGCGGTAGCATGGCTACTGCATCCTATAAATACCGCAGCCCCTTGTGCAACAACCACCCGTTTCTGCTCTTTTGTCTCTGATGATGGATTCGAGTAGGAATCCGAAACGTCAGGCTAATAAAGCTCTTGTCCCGGCGATCGTGTCTCCTTCTTCAACCTGAGTTGTGTTAGTCGCCTTCTTATACACCATGGTGTTAAGTTCTCTATTGGGTCTGCGTATGATGAGAACGTCAAGGAATTCGATATTCTCTTCTTCCCCTGTAAACTAAATGTCGGGGAAGGTGGCGTTAACCAGGTCTCGAAAATATTCTAGTCTGTTCCTTTCAGTTGTAATTAACGTGTCATCCACGTATCAGCGCCAAACAAATATTTCTAGCCCTTGTAAGACCATTTATGCAGCCAGACTGGATGTTGGGGAACCCATCGGCTTCCCTTTTGTAATGCCATTGAAGGTGAAAAAATTTCGTTGAGAGAATATTAAGAGTTGCAGCAAATGGTCGCTTTTTAGAGGTCTCCTCATTTCGTCTTAGTTTTCTTCGAGCCGCATGCACAGAACGTCGGTGTGATGGATGTAAATAATGAACCCACATCAAAAGATACCATAATTTAATCGGGTCGGGCGATTTTTCCCCAGATGTCGACCAGAAACGGGGTGGCTGAATTGACGGTAGTCCGCGAGCCCCCTCGGAGAAAGTCTAGTTTTCAGGGACATCCAGTTGGAAAGACTATAAGTGGGGATGCCTTTGAAGGCAAAGATTGTCCGAAGAGGAACGTTGGACTTATGGATTTCAGATAATCCATAGAACTGGGCCAGTGCCGTGTCCGTTGGCTTCGTCTGTCGCAATCCATCTAGTGACATCACGTTGTTACGCTTGAGTTAGTTCAGGAGTTCATCAATTTGACCTGTCAGGAAGATACGAATTTGTAGGAATGTTGGTTGTCGAGGGGAGCTTGTGCCTTCCCGTTGTAATCGACGCGGTTCATCGCGACAGTTTCTCTTCCTTTGTCCGCTGGCAGCACTGTTATACCCTTGTCCATCTAATTTAGTCCTCTCAAGTCAAACGTGTTAATGCTCGTTTAGGTGACACCAGACGAGGACGAGGCTCGCCCCCCTCCAGACCTTCCGTCGACTCCGGTATCACAAGCACCAGTGGGACGCAAGTCTCCACCCGCGACCTTAGCATTACCGGATCCGGTACGTGGAGTCCGCCTGCAACAGAGACCGGTGAGGAGCAGGTCGGAGCAGGACAACGGGTTAAGACGAATCAACTCGAGATGGAACTGGAGGAACGGATTCTCCTCTCCTTGACCTGCTTGCACGACCAGTCCACAGCAACACCAACTGTCGGACTCCACAACGCCCACTTGGAGGCAAGCATTAATGGTGACGAACAGGATTCCTCTACTTCCGCAGAAGACTGTACCCTAACAGATGCTCCTGCTGATGTAAATTGCCTTGAAGACGACGGGACGGACAGGGACTTTGACGATGAAGACGCAACCGGGGAAGTACGAGGCCTAGTCAAGGAATCAGAGGTGGAGGAGGAGGAGGAGGAGGAAGATGGAGAAGTGGGCCATCCTGTAAGTATGTTCTATCGCCTGGAACAGATGAGATCCAGTCTAGAGGAAACCATCGGCATGGACACCCTTCTTCGCTGCTACAATGTTGTACACGTAAGTGTTCCCATGGTAACTGAGAGCAATAAGACTGGTCAGTTTTAGCAATTCGCGTGTGCAGTGAAATCTCAAAATCTAAACTTTCGGATGTTGTTGCTTATTTTATATAAGCCGAGAAGCTTTAAATGAATTTATTTTAGAACCTAGGATCCCAGATTGAATGGCTAGTTTTCGAGCTTGGGTCAAATTCCTGATAAGAGTTAATTCAAAATGCAATCCTTCCAGATGGATACTGATGATTCTTGGTTGTCCAGTTTAAAGACTGAAGACAAGAAAGGGACAGTCCCTATCATCCAGTCACTTTTTGGTGCGAATGGTAAATCTTAAGTTGACCGTGTCGCCGGTCATAGTGAGTACTCAGTATGCTGACTATGACACTGCAAAATTCTGAGGCTCAGTCATACGTAAACAGCGGCCAAGCTTAGATCTTGTCGACATACAGAAGAAGTGCTTACTCATAAAATGTTAACCGAAATTATAAATAAGTTCTCGACTCGAAAACATTACTTGAATTTGGTCGTAATATTAATCATCTCACAAACATAATCCCAAGATAATTCAGTTACTTCAGGATGCCAGCTTTTGAAAGAGCCTTTTTCCGGCCACCCGCAGAGACTAAACCGTGCAAAAAATGACTGCTTAAATAGTATGAATTTTTCTCATTGATTTTCGAGGCCCTTATAAGTTCGGATATATTTCATAGAAAACATGGAAGAAAATATTCATTCTTTTGCTTTTTTGGTGGAAAATTACGTTTTCTCTAAACTTTATGCTTGAAGGGAGTGTATAATTCGGTTTTGAAAAGTTTCTAATTTTAAGATTTTCTAAGACCGTGAAATACCCGTTCACAAAACATCGCGTCCCTGCATTTACTACTGCTGCTTGTAAAGTTTACAATATGGCTCGAATCCACTGCTAAAGTTTATGAACCCCGTATGGGCTTTTCTTAATAGCACATGGAATTGTATGATTTTCCGTACATGGAAAATATACAGGTTTTAGTTTCGAGACCCTGCAAGCAAGTGTAACGGCAGGCCGGATTCAAAATTATTCGGTAATCGGTAGGGTTTTCCAAATCGAATTATACCCTTTCGTCAAGTAAAAAATTTAAAGAAGACGTTACTTCATATTAAATGATCAAATGGATGTTCTTATGCATGTTTTCTACGAAAGTTGACATCCTGAAGTAAGTGAATTTTCTTGGGATTATACTGCAAGGGGATTAGTATACAAACCTAGTTAGATAATCTCTTCTAGTCGAAAAGGCATTTCAGAAATTCGGTTAACACTTCATGAGTTAGCACATCTACTGCAAGGTGACCTTCATCGGCGCCGAACATGGCATCTAAAAGGCAAAATTGGACCGTTCGAAAGTATTTCAAGTCTCGTGCTTCTAGATAACTCAAAAGTATCAGTTTTTTTAGAACAGGCGAATTTAGCTTATTAGCATAAAGTGGAACAAAGTTGAGGTAGGATGGCTAGCAGCTTAGTATACGAGTGAAGACAAAATTTTGAGCTCCACGTGTGTGCTGACAAGGGCGGTCAATTGTTGTGATGGATCGAGAAGACTATAAAGAAAAAGCAAAAACCCTTCTTGATGCCAGAGAATTTTACAGACAAGCACAGAACTCGAAAGCCAAAGCAGTGGCAGATTGGTTGAGTAAACTGCTTAGAGAATACCGACATAAAAATGTGATCACGGAAAACGAATGACACCAAAGGAAGGCAACTGACACCGCTCTAGCTCGATTCTATGGTCTGCCAACAATTCATAAAATAAATGTCCCACTTCGACCAGTCGTTGCCCTAAAAGGCAGCCCCACCTACAAGTTGGCGAAGTAGATGTACTCAAAACTGATGCTCCATCAAGGCAATTCGACTACATCAGTTCGATCAGCCTCTCAATTCCTCATAGACCTCCGAGGTCGGAGGATTCAATCGGACGAAATCATGGTCTCCTTCGATGTGACGTCGTTATTAACGTCCATCTCACCAAACTTGGCCCGTAAAGTTTTGTGCAAGAGACTTAAAGGCATACGATGAGACCCAAAATGCATTTAAAATCGAATACCTCATGAGGCTGTTTAAAATCTGCCACTAAACTTTCTTCACTTTTGCTGGAGAGACCTATGAACAAATCAAGGGAACTCAAATGGGCTCATCGGTCTCCGGATCGGTCGCAGAACTGGTCCTACAAGAGTTATAAAAGATTGCCTTCCTCCAACATGAACCGGTGTTTTGGCGACGTCACGTTGACGACACGTTCGTCATCGTAAAGAAGGACATGCTGCAACATTTCCACAGCCTGCTCAACGCAGTCTTTCCTGATATAAAATTCACAGGGGAAGAAGAACAGGAACAGCAGTTGCCTTTCCTGGATGTGCTCGCCAGACGAAACCTTGACGGTGAACTTGAAACGACGATTTATAGGAAGGCAACGAACACCACACAGCTTCTCATTTTTCACAGCAACCATCCGGTGGCTCACAAACGAAGCTGTGCGAAGACGCTCTTCAAACGGATCCAAAGTCATTGCAGCAAACCGGAGGACAGAGCACGTGAGGCCCGTTATCTCCGCGACCAGTTTGTGCAAAATGGCTATCCGAGGGCATTCATAAGTCGCCGCCTACACGGTCGCCACCAGAGAACTCAACGCCACCGACGATATGCCATTCACTGCCATACATCAACGGCGTTTCAGAAGCGACTGAGCGCACTGCTGTGGAACTAGATGTTAGAATTTCACACCGCCCCAAAGCCACTATGCGAAAGAGTGTCATGAAAACTGATGACTGTTTAAAACCTGAGGAGCAATCTGGAGTAGCGTATCGCATGCCGTATCAAAACTGTCCACACTGGACTGGGGCCTCCATCCTGCTTACTGGGGGCTGGTGATTTTCCCGAGTAATATGTCTGGCATACGTGTCTGGGAGAAAAATTGGCGTTCTCTGTAGACAGAGGACAGTCCGCTGGACTTCAGCCCAGCGGAGTGCCCGCGTGGCAGCTTACTGCGCTAAGCGAGCACAGCAGATACGAGCGGTGAAAAGTCATCGAAGGGGCCAGTCCAGCGACCGAAAACGATCAAAGGTCAGGAGGACTGTGAGCACATGAAGGGAAGGGTAGTTTTGACGTCTATTACCACTTTTTACTGGCTGATTGGTCCAACTTAACTCTCAGCGCTCTGATCGCGTATAAACGCTACTTTCCTGCATACATTCAAGATGCAAAGGAAGTAGTTCACACTTATAGACATAAATGTCCTACTGAGCAGATAATGGGCCAGTAACTTAGTGTTTCTCATCGCCATCTGGTGGAGAATACAAGCATGCCGAAGTCTGAAGTCACCTGTATGGTACGACAGTAAGGCAAGTTGTGGGAGGGACGAGTTCTGCCCGACCAGAGTCAGGGAGGGACCTATTAATCATGGAAATTTTAGGTCAGCCCAAAGGACTTTGCTTCCCTTAATAATTCCCAATTATGAGCCAGCATGCTACGGAATGTGAGTCGATTTTAAGTTATGCGGCATGCTTATAGTCTTTGTAAGCCACGCTTTAGTGACCAACAGTCTGGAAGAAGTTACAATAAAACATCAGCATGATGCACTTGCATTCCAGGCCCTTCAGGATAATGAAGATGATGAAATGCGCCTTAGCAAAGAAGCGGTGGCCAAAATCATGGGAGCGGAAAGGGCTGCGGTCTACTTTGATCGAGTGCTTCAGCTTGTTTTGGCAGATAGCGCCTTCACGGGTGGTAAGTTTCAATATTATCAAGTGCATCTTTTTTGTCGTGATATAAAATCAGCGGCCTTTATTTCAAACTAAAACATCGCATAATTGTAGGTATTTTAACTTTTTGTAGACATACAGTAGATGCGCTAACTCATTAAGCGTCAACCGAAATTCCGAAATGCGTTTTCGTTTCGAAAAGATTAATTAAGTAGGCTTGTAAAACTAATCATCAAGTAGCATAAGTATATAATAGGTCAGTTACCTCAGAATGCCAGGTTTCGAATGAACTTCCTTCTGGCTGCATGCAGAAACTATACTCTGTAAAAAATGAATACTTAATTAGCATGCACTTTTCTCATTGATTTTCGATGCCCTTAAACATTCAATTATACTTCATGGAAAACATGCCTAAAATTATTCATAGTTTTGTTCATTTGCTAGAAAATTACGTCCTCTTCCAATTTTGTTTGAAGGAAGGGTATAATTCGGTTTTCAAAAAGCTCCTAGTTGTGAGCTTTTTTAATTTTGTGAAATGATAGTTCATAAAACGTCATGTCTCTGCATTTACCAATGTGACTTGTAAAGTTAACAATATGGCTCAAATCCACCGTTAAATTTTATGAATCCCATATGGTCTTCTCTTAATACCGTAGAGAAATGTACGCGGAAAATATATGGTTTGTAGTTTGGAAACCCTGAATCCAATTATAACGGCAGGTCGCGTTCAAAATTATTCGGGAATTGGTAAAGTTTTTGAAAATCTATTTATACACTTCCGTCGATCATAAAATCGGAAGATGTACTTTTCTACTGAATGAGCAAAAGAGTGATTTTTAGGCATGTTTCTATGAAATATAGTTAAATTTTTACGGGCATCGAAAATCGATGAAAAAAGGCATGCTACATAAGTAGTCATTTTTTACAAAGTATAGTTTCTGCATGCAGCCGGAAAGAAGTTTGTTTGAAAGCGGGCGTCCTGAGGTAACTGAATTATTATAGAATTATGTTGCAGGCTGACTAGTTTTACAACCCTACTTAATTAATCTTTCCGAAACGGAAACGCATTTCGGAATTTCGGTTGACATTTTATGAGTTAGCCCACCTACAGTAACTCGTATCTGTCAGCAAGAATTAAAAAGGCTCAGAATATCAGTTTGAAAAGGTTTGGTTGCTGAAAATGGCAGTTTTCAGATCCTCTCCCAATTAGTGTCCATCTGAAGTAGTCTAACTTAGTCAGTTCTAAGGCCAGTTGCATGCTCGTGTTTGCATGAGAAGAAGGCTCGACCTCTCGGAGCGCATGTTCACTTGGGTGTTTTAGAAGGACAATAGAATTTATTGTTAGCAAATGAAAACAAGTGTTACCGGTTTTTTGAGTATTCCCTGGCCCCACCTTAGTTGAAGGTGCCTGCGTGATGTTAGGTATGCTGGGTTGGTGGACTGCCTGGCAGTTACTGAAGTCACCATCGAAATTCGGAACCGGCCTTTTCAGGCGCGGTTCGAAATTTGATAAGGGCTTTTAACTAGTACCTGCGTTGTTTGTACGACAAATAATTGCACGATTCTATACTAATGTTGACGGTTTGTGAATAGTACGTGGTTATTCCGCAGTAACTGATGGATTTCAGCTCAACTGTTCATATCGCATTTCGGACTGCGTCTGAATAGGTCTGTTCCGACAGATTTACACCACGTTTGCGCATTAATTTCGTCGGAAATTAAACAAGGCAGGAGTCCTTTCCGTGGGTCTCATTTTCTCATTCCTCTCCTATTCACCAGTCGACAATCCGAGCCTGTCAAAAGTCAAGTACTGGGGTTGGACCCAGTCGCTGATGCGGCGTCTGTCTAAGGTGTGCTTCACGCATGTACGATAGTTATAAGCACAGGCGAAATCACCGCTGCCGGCAGAAGCGAATACGTGAGTTTCAGGGAGCAATTCAGAAGATGCGATAGCTGGGACAAGAAGTGAATTGACCCAACGTTTCTCATTTGCACTCGAACCCATCATCAGAGACAGTTGCAGGAACGGGTAAAAGATGCACGAGGAGCGCAGTATTTATAAGACGTAGTTGCCAGACAACCACATGCTTACAATACTTAACAAGACTCAGATTCATTGCTGCGAATTGTATTTGATGCGATGATTACTTGTCGGTCCGTACGCGAGTCGTTAATGGTAGTGATTTCATCACCGTTGTTGATCCTTGGCGTGGCGATTACTAGGCCGTTTGACTCCCTATAACCGGAACTCATCGCGTGGCTAATTATTTTTCTTCTGGCAAAATCGCAGAAAAAAATATGTGGGCGGGAGGCCACTGCGCCTTTTAATTGATTTCGGACCAGGGAGCCATGACTCAAAAGGTCGCGGCTCACGCGGTCGTCAGCTCTTATGAGAATGTTAACCTCGTTAAACTTGGAGGTGTGGCCGCCTCCCGTCGAGTGCATCGTAATCCGGGAGCTAGCGTCATTCATGAATGCTGCTTCATGTTCGGCCATCCGCGCTCGCATTAATTTCCCAGTTTCTCCGATGTATTCAATTTGTCTCCAACTGCCACAGATTCGCTAAGCGACTCCAGACGTGGCACCGCCACAGCAAAAAAGCCTAAAGTCGTTTACCAGATCTGGTGCGATTGTGGACAGAGCAACTACGTCACATTTTGTCCGAGCAAAATAACTGGATATGCGAGGTGGGCGAGGCAGACCAACAGTCCCAGTGACAGAGAATCAAAGTGCAATTAGTTCTCGCCTGCCCACTGCGTCTGTATTCTTGTTGTCAATCTGCGGCCCATTCGATCCGCTTAGGTGTGATAGAGAATGGCTGACTGCCCTCAACTGTCTAATTGAACTTTAGTCCCTGTGACTCGACAACGGATTTTGACGTCTTACTGATCGGCGATCACCGTACTGTGGTGCACTGCAGTGCGTCTAGCGCATCGACTTTACACGGTTGAACTTGTGAAAACCGACTAGTTTCTGTTGAGTTGCGGTACTGTGTTACCTGTGATCTGAACAAGCCTGTGACTCTACTCTATGTCGGTCCCTGCTTTCAGTAACTTCTTAAGGAGGCTGTATTCGGTTTTTTCAGTAGTCTCTGTCGGTGGGATGAAGGATCGCGCTTAGTTTCCCAATCACTACGAAAGCACGCGCTTTTAAAGTCGTGGCTCGGAAAGTTTGCAAATAACGGGATATCTATTTTCGTCTGCGGACTGGATTTCGAAGCAGCTGCTTTCGGCGACAGATCCAAGGTCCTTTATTAGTTGCTCGACTCATGCGCGTACGGAGACGAACCCCTGTATTCCACGTGGATACATGAATTCATTCTCATCTATTGCTGCCCCCAGTCCGGATCCTAGCAGTCATGACTGGAAGACGCTGAGCGGGAACAGACAGCGAGATAGGCAGTCGCAAGTCTCCTTCAGCGCAATGGGTCCCAGACAACGTTTTACAACACCGCGGAGACAGAATATTATTACCGACAAAGATAAGAGATACTGGAATGGCCATTTCTGGCTTATTAGCCGTTGTCAGCCAATCATACTCAACCCCGGAGTGTAGAACACCTGGGACTCGACCCCGCGACCTGTTAGTCAAAAGTCCACCGCTTTTAACCATCGGCTCGTTGTCGTGTCGGTAAGAACGGTCGGCGATCGCTCCTCTACCATTGCACATTCCCGATCGAAACCGACGGGACAACGAGCTCGTGGCTCAGTGGTAAGAGGCGTTGGACTTCTCACTAAGAGGTCGCGGGATCAAGCCCCAGGTGTTCCATACTACGGGGTTGGGTATGACTGGCTGACGACGGCTAATAAGCCGGAAATGTCCATTCCAGTCTCCCATGGCTTTGTAGGTAATAACATTCTGCTTATATCATGCGCCGCTGAGCGACTGCTGGTCCGGCTCAAGGGAAAGCCCGTTAGGCACAACGGGAAGAGTGAGTTCCATAAGAACGATCGGTGAGCGTCCCTCTACCACTGCAGAGACAATGATGGTCTTCGGCTCCCGCGAAGGACGACTCTTTGGCACACACCTATGCCTAACCTGGCGTCCTTGCCTTTTAGTGCCACGAAGTGGGGAGCCGGAAAATTTAGTAGGTATGTGGTATCATGGCGACTTCATCTAATATATACTGGAGCCCCCTTTGCATTGACTACCCGTAGCTGCTACTGTCTCTGATTATGGGTTCGAGCAGGAATCCGAAGCGCCGAGCGACCAAAGCGTTTGTTTCAGCGATCGTGTCTCCTTCACGACTGCTTCCTGGGACTCATCTCTTCGCTCCTATTGGTCACGAAAACGTTTTATAATTCCTCCCTGGTATAAGGGGCCTTCTATTACATATTATACGATGCAGCCTAGATAAGAGTCCGGCCGTGCCAGCTAGCCGCGTCCTCTCCCACATTTGGTCTCCCTGCCTATGCCTGACACCGGCCTCAGGTGGGGTATGAAAGAGTGAGGTGGGTGCCGTGCAAGCCTACTACCAGCATAAATTAAATCAAGTATAAGTCACCGTACCTGCTCTCCCCTCGTTGTGGATCACACGGTGGACATCGTCGGCAGCGACGGTCGAACTGTCACATGTCTGCTGGGAGTGGCGCTGCTCTTCATATTAGCTTTTGAAAGCGCTGCAGGCAATTTGCCAAGCTCACTACAGTTAAAGCCGGAAACACAAGCAACCAGCTCACGTAGACTGGGAGACAGCGTTCAGACGGTTGGATTTGCGTCTGGTGCTACACGTTTGTACCTAGGTAGCAGATGTCAACGTAATTGCTCAGAGGCTTAAACTCCAGCATGTTTCCCGCGTGTGCCTTCGCTGCTTCCCATCCTCGGTCTTTCCAGGCCATTTTTCACTCCTTTTTGGCTTTCTGCAGAAATCACACTCGGTAAAAAAAATGACTACTTCAGTGGCATACATTTTTCCTTTTGATTTTCGATGGTCTTATAAGTTCAAATACATTTTACCGAAAACATGAACGAAATATGTTTTCTTTTACTCCTTTGGTAGACAATAACATCGGTTTCATATTTTATGTCCGAAGAAAACAGCGTATCTAGCTTTTTAAAAAGTTTCTAATTATGAGATTTTTAAGACCGTGCGATGTCCATGCACATGTCCGTTTACATAGGCATCACATGAAATACACAACACAGTCCGGATCCATTGCAAAATTTAGGAACCCTATATAGTATCTTCCTAAAGGCATAAAGAAATACATGATTTTACTTACGCGGAAAGCATGAACCTTGAGGACTGAAATCGCTAAACGATGATGCAATTGCAGATCAGGCTCAAAAGTATTCGGGAATTGGGAAACTTTTGTAAAACCTAAATACACACTTTCTTTGGGCATAAAATAGGCAATCAATGTTATTTTCTACCAAAAGGAGTAAAATAAAACATATTTTGTGCATGTTTTCTGTAAAATGTATTTGAATTTATAAGACCATAGAATTCCAATAGGAAAAATGCATGCCACTTAAGTAGTCATTTTTTTACCAAGTGTGGTTTCTGTAGAAAGTCAAAAAGAAGTGCATTCAAAAGCTGACATCCTAGCGAGTCCGAAATGCTATAGGATTATGCTCATGCTAATCCGGTTTTACAACCCCATCCAAGTAATCCTTCCTAACAGAAAACGCATTTCAGAATTTCTGATAACATTTCACGAGATCGGTCACGCGCTGTATGGTTTGATTGCAAAGGATCATACACAGCCCGGATTAGAACCCGACTCAGTGGCTTTTCGTCTGTGGACGTCAAAAAACTTGTTGGTTTCTGTGCTGGAGCCTTAAATTTCCGATATAACCACCCGACTTTAAATCACAGGTCTTCTATACACGAAGTGCTCTCGAAGCTAGCCGACGAAGGTGCATAAGTAAAAAGTGACCATCCAGTCCTGGTTTGCATTCGTCGACAAACTTGCCTGTTGCTAAAGATACAGATCTCACCCAAAACGCTTTTTGCGGTTGTTTCCGTTGAGAAAGTGATAGAAGTGAAATAAAACCACCTGAACATGCTTTCCTAGTATTCACTTACCTTCACTGGGTAGACCTCAGAAGTGATCCTTTCCACAGCATGTTCAACATACTCACTTCTTTGGACTGCAGTGGTTCAACCGAAGTTCGGCTACCTACCCCGAAAATGGTAACTTTGAAAGTAAGCTCGGTAGCAGCGCATGCCATAAAACTTTAGACATGGAAAACATGGTGACTTCATACGGCAACATTTTAGGGATCTACCTTTATCGGTATGGTACGAAATTTATTCAAAAGTCCGTTTGGTTATATCTGCAAGAGGCAATACCTCAGCGAAGTAGCAAATGCGCTGTTAAAAACTGTGCGCGTTAAAATGGGATAGCATTACCGGGGGTTGGTTCTGTTGATGCCATTCTCGAAGGCGTAATAGACAGCACTGAACACTGAGGTTGCAGTGACATATGGTGGCTGCCATATTAAAAGGATTCATAATGCGATATGGGGCTTGGTTTCAGGGAGTGGGGTGGTTATACTTCAGTCTAACCTTCTGTTCTAAAAAGCTTCCTAACGATGTAACCGCAAATTTGCCCAGATTCAGCCAGGGCAGATGTTTGCGATAGATAGAAAGCTTTTAACTAGATCTCACTGGACCATATGGCGACGGAACTGGAGTAAACACAGAAAGTCAATTTAGCCAATGAGGAGGTTGTATCTGCATATGTTTAAAATGCCATCCACTGCAGTATATAAGCTTTAAGTTTTGAACTTCAATAAACTGAAGAAGAAACGACTCCAAGCGAATGGTGCAGACTATCGTAGGTCAATGCAATCATGATTTTTAAATACCAAAAAAAGACTCGACTATCAGTTTAAACTAATTCGTAATTTCCCTATTTTCAATCTTTCTCCATATTTCCAGAAGCTTTGGCCTTATAGAGCAAACATAACTGAGACGATGCGAGGACCTCATATTCCATAAGATCACTCCTTCTCCCCTATCAGTTTATGCTATTGTGCTGTTGATAATTCCAACTTACTGGTACTTCAAATATTGCTTTTAAGGAGACTGACCGCCTATCCGCCGATGCCAGACGAAGGACAGATGTGAAGTCCTCTCGAAAACCCAGTTCACAAAAAACAGCCAAACATCCCCCCTTACCCACCCAAACACTGCAAGCAAAATTTATTTTCAAGCTGTAATATCATGCATTGTCAAACCAGAAATGACCTACCTAGACGACATTTTACACTATTTATTGTATCAATTACTGTACCATTATCCAATTCTCAAGAACTCATTTTTCACTTGATCTCGGCATCACCCCCCTGAGGGTTTACATCTGACTGATTTCCGCCTACTTGCTTAGACACTATCGGAGTCAACACGGATCTAGTCTTGTAAGATTTAACCCGCTTGAAGCATGATTTAGTTCGTGCTCCCAGCTTAAAGATGAAAAAAACGGGGATTTGTGTGACATTTGGCATCATACAGTCGGTGACCAATTTCATGAAACGTTAACCGTAATTCCGAAGTCGGTTTTTGATAAGGAAGAATTACACAACTGGAGTTGCAGTATTATCCTGCAGCACAACTTCAAGATTCTTCAGTCCCCTCAGGATGCCGGCTTTTGAATGCGTCTATTTTCGGCCTCCTACAAAAACCACGCTAACCACAAATGACTGCTTAAGTAGACCGCACTTTTTCTATTGGTTCTCGGTGGTCTTATCGATTTAAATACGTTTTATGGAAAACAAAGTCAAAAATATACTGTCTTGTACCTATTTATTAGTAAATCACGTCTTCTTCAAATTTTGTGCTCAAAGAAAGGGTATCTTTTGGTCTAAGAAACTTTTAAATTACAAGAACTTTTAAGACAGTTAAATGTCCACTTATACGGCATCATATGTGTCCGCTGCTACTCATTAAGTATGCAGCATGGTCCGTATTCATTGTAAAATATTATAAGTCCGATATGATGTCTTGTTAGTAATGTAGGGAAATGTTTGATTTGCCTTTCATGAAAAGTATGCATTTGACGTGGACACAAAGCGCAAGTGCAGCCGCATGGCTGGATCAAAATTATTCACGAGTTGAAGTTTTTTAGTCCAACTGCACACTTTGAAGAAGGCGTGATTTTTACGAAACGAGTTTAATAGAAGGATATTTTAAGCGTAATTTCAGTATAACATACTTAAATTTACATTTTTATCAAGTGTGGTTTTTGCGGATAGTTACAAAGCATATTCAAAAGCCCTTATTCTGGTGTGACTTGAATTTATGCTACACGGCATTCAATACTACAACCCCAGCTAAGTAATACTTTTCAGCCCAAATCCCGCATCAGAAACAAGTATATCGTTTCAGGAGAAAAGTCAGATATTATAAGTGGCAAGACCGGTCTTGGTCCTCACGGAATGCAGCGGAACTCGATGTCCCCACGTTCTTCAATGATTGAAGCTTGTTTATTTTCGATACGCTACAAAAATGACTGTGTGGTTTCTGAGATCTCGTCATCTCGGTCATGTCCGTGAATGAATATCCTTATGTTATTGGTAAGCATGAATATAATGCCTATCGTAAATAAAATTGAAAGTAGACTTGATTCAAATCCCCCCCAGGCACTTTAAAGAGGGCTTCGCTGGCATTCCTTGTTGATTTGCTGTCCTGGCCGATGTTTAACAGCAGTAAAAGCAGTAATCTTACCGAACCAGTTTAATTGGTTGCTTGCAGTCAAAGGTTATTTAGCTTTAAAGCACATCGAAGGTACTTCCAAAAAAGGAAGAGCAGCATGACGAACTAAGTCGGGATTATGGAAAACTGCAATGTGTTTTGAATCTTGTAAAACCCTGTTCGATATCATTTAGTGCTTTTTTCATGAAAAAAGGCTGCTCAAGTAGATCTGAAATAAAAAAAAACCAAAAGAAAATAAGTCCAAGGTGCCTAACACATCACAACTTACTATCCTTGAACTATGAATTCCCCGATCCACCTTGCTTGAACTGCAATAGTGAAAGGATCCATACCATAAAAACGTGATCTATGCTGACACCGGAAAATCAATTCTCACAGCAAGTTATCGCGCTCCTCGTGGTAAAAAATCTGATACATTTGAATCTATCTCGGCGCGATCTCAGCACTGTCAGACCGCAATGGACCCTTCTCGATTTGGCCTTTATGGCATTCTCATACGTTTGATGTTCGGTGAGCACATACATTGCAAAATAGGTCGCGTATGGTACGCGTAGATGGGTTGTTTAAGTTTGTCAGAGAGTGCCCCAGCGCCCACCTCTGGTAGTTTTGACACTGTCTTGCTATTGTAGCAGGGTGGGTGAAAGAAGAGGGAGAATGTGGTAAAGACTGCGAGAATCTGCTTCGCCATAAACTATCTCGTGGGCCTGTCAACTCCGTGGGGCGTATGGTCGCCTGCGACAGTCGAACTGCTGAAGGGCTGTTTCCAAGCATTTTACGCGTTCCAGGATGTCTACTTACATCAACATAAAGGAAGTTAACCGCGGTTTTCACAGAACATACGTATGGGGTCGTCTGGGAAGTTTCTGGGCATAAAAGACTACTGAATAGAATTACCGACAGAGGCAAGGGAGACTGTAATGGCCACTTCTGTCTCATTAACCGTCGTCAGCTAGTCATGCCCAGTCCCGAAGTGTGGAACACCTGGGGCCCAATCACATGGCCTGTTGGTTAGAAATCTAACGCCTCCAACCACTGAGCCACGGGCTCGTTGTCCTGTCCATAAAAAACTACGTCGACCCCTGAAAATAGACGAATATCGTAAACGGAAGAGATGGCGGCATCCAAAAGCAGGTGGTTTTGACTACATCCACCTTTAGAGACCGATAGCTCCTTTATATAATTCCCAATATATGGCGCGTGAACTGCATGCTCTTTGACTGGGGATGAGACTAATCGAGGTTCGGAAGATCTCATCAAATAAACACTGATCTGGCGCTAACACCACAAACCCCAAGAGCGCATCTCGTGACAGTTCATATCGACAGCTGACTTGCGGAAATAAACCCTAAATACTGTTCATTTGCATATGTCATAATAAGGACCCGAAAATGTGAGCAAAAATGTTTTTGACTCGGTTGTCGGATCACTTCTTCTGCTTTCTGTCAACTAGAGTCGCTTTACGATGCGCTTAGCCAGGATATTGAAGTTTAATGATATGCGTGTGGTCAAGAATGTTTTTATTGTCATATCATGCAAGTTGAATGAAGACGAATATTGACAAAAAGGAGGGCTAGGTGTCGTTTATGGCATACTGGCCTCCTTAGGCCGGCCACATCCAAACTTAGGTTTGAATAACCCGGCATGCGCACGCAGATTATTTGTCCATTGAACATTTTCGTGTCCACTGAGTCACGGGTCCTTTGTACTGTCAGATGAATGCTTCACAATACGGATAACACGGATACTGGCTTAAAGTCCAGAAACGTGTGTCGCCGTTTCCGAACTGTTGCATGACTGCCTGTTGACAGGAACTGAATATAACGTGGTTATTTCGCTGAAGCTGATCGATTTCCGATTAAATATTCATATGCACTTTCGAAACGAGCCCGGGAAGGTTTGCCCCAGAGCATTTACCACAGCTTGGCGCAAATTGATTTCGTAGGTGATTGGAGAGCTTGAAACAGAAACGATGGCAGAGAGCAAAAATCTGTATTGCTTCAAACCATGTCTTCAAGCAACACATAAAATGGAGGGGACAGATGGCATCAGCTTAAGAGTGCTGTCAAATTCTTCACAGATCTGCGCTCAACAGAATTACACTCCACAATATTTTGATCAAAAGAGGACGTTTCAGAAGCAGCCGAACGCATTGTTGCGGAGCAAGGTGTCGAAGTTGCACACCGCCCCAAAGCCACCATGCGCAGTAAGGTCATGAAAAGTTATGAAAATTAATAACCGGTTAAAACCTGAGGAGCAATCTGGAGAAGTGTATCACATCCCGTGCCAAAACTGTCCTTATAACTACACAGGCCAGACTGGACGCAAGCTCGGATCGCACATACATTAAAACAAGCTGGCGGTGTGACGATTCGACACATTATCACAAGGGGCGGCCCACGCCTGCGAAACGGGTCATGAGTTTAACTTCGCGGCCATCAAAGTAGTCGCCCACTCCGGCAACAAAACGGGTCGAGAATTGTTTGAAGCCTGGACCTCGGATGAGAACTCAACCAATCGATTTATCGATCTGGAGTCGGCGTACAGAGCCCTGCGCAGTAACTTTCAGTCCTGCGTCGCCGGTCGATAATTGGCTTGAACACCCTATAACTGTACCTTTTTCTGTTGCTGCTACTATCTCTGATGATGAACTCCTGCACGAATTCGAAAGCTCAGAACAACAAAAGAAAATGTCCCGGTGCTCGATCATCCTTATTCTTCACTGGTAACAAAATATGTAGGCACAATGGCAGAGGAGCGCTCGTCAAACGTTTCCACAGAACTCACTCGTCCCGTTGTGCCTTAGGGGCTCCCTTGAGCCCAACCAGCAGCCGCACAGCGGCGCATGATATAGGCAGAATGGTATTACAGACAAAGACAAAGGCGACTGGAATGGCTATTTCCGGCTTATTAACCATCGTCAGCCAGTCATACCCAACCCCGAAGCGTGGAACACCTGGGGCTCGATCCCGCGACCTGTTAGCTAAAAAATCAACCACCACCACCACCACCACCACCACCACCACCACAGAAAAAGTATGTTTTTGGGATTTTGACAAAATCGGAAAACCTCGGCGACCTCGACAGCAAGGAGAAGACGTTATGGCAGCCAATGCTCTAGACACCTGAGCTAAGAGGCCCCACCGGGAGACGTGAGTTTAATCACAACCTTCGAATCAACGACTCTTGGCGCCTCATGATTGATTAAGATGCACTAGATTTATTATAGTGAGGAACACAATGATCGGCCTTAGGGACTTATTCCAAGTGTTGGCCACACTCCTTCCTCCCTATTACACGGTCCAGTCGACTGTCCGTACGTATTAATCGAGGGGTGATGTGATTGGCTGGTGTGGCGTGCTAGCTTACATCAGGTGCGGCAGTGAGAACATCTCGCGGATTCAGCGCGACCTCCGTTTGTCGTGTACATCCCCAGAGCAGCTAGTTTTGAGACCCGCTGGCGAAAGACCCAATAAGATGGAAAGCGGCATGGCTTATTGCTTCCAACGAGCACAAATAGGCGAGGATAAGTGGTAAATGCAAAGTACGCAGGCGTAGAGAGAGTTTTTAACTGTCGTGGAGATCCAACATCAGCGCGTCCAGCGAACAGAGGCAGCAAAGTGTTTTTGAGGACTTTTTTTGGGAAGGATAGCCCAGTGATTCACGGAATCGGCTGCATTTCAGTGGTCGCTACGAGCCTCCCGATAGATGCCTCAGCTGTTGGCTCCGTGAGTTCGCTTTAAGGCCCCTTCCCCCTCCTAAATGAAAGCCCCGAGAACCAAAGGCACCAGCTCAAGCCGGTTTCGACCAATAAGAAGTCTTCGAGCGCATAGTGTACGAGCACCGGTGCCACAGCTTTCGACGCAGGAAGCTAAAGTGACGGGAAAGAATGCAAATAGCACCACTCACCCCTCCCCCCTCGTTCGGGTACCACCATCGCCGTTGCATTTAAATCCACCTAACTGGGGTCGATTAATCGTCTCGGATGGGGAGGGCGTGCGATTGTATACAAGTGTCCGGTTCCAATTTTACAGAATATACTCCAGAGATGGATTATGCACGCATAGAACCCCAAATAATTAGGGAATGAGAAATGGCCAATACAGAATGACGGGCAACAATGGCTGCAAGACAAATGTCAGCGTCTGAGTTTCTTTGTACCCATCCAATTTCTTTGTTTGTGAGTCCTAATTGGCCAAAATCCGCCGGTCAAGCAGATGACAACTGAGGACAGAGAACGAGACTGCGACAATGTGGCTAAACGCATTGACTTTCCCCGTAATGGCACGTGTGTGTGGTAGTCGTCATATCTCAGAGAACACCGATATAACCCATTTAAAATACCTTCAACCGGAAGACGGCATTTAGATGAGATAGAAAATTAGTTGGCCAGGGACGTGGTCGCGAGGGAATTGCTACACAGTGGCAAGTTGGTTTCTAATATTAGCATTTTTACACACACCCGATTAAACCAGATTTGTGAAAGTATCCTTGCTGGCATCCCGAGGTAACCAAATTATTTTAAAATCATGCTATATGGTGATTAATAGTACAACTCCACGTAGGCAATCTTTCCGGGTAGAAAGCGCATTGCAGAATTTCGGCTAGCATTTCATGAGTTTGCACATCTACTGTAGTAGAGGAGCCCCCCTACGGGCCCACGTATCGAGAACCTGGGATGGCTAAACGAATGGCTGCGCGCAGAAATTTGTGTGAAGGCGCACCTTAGACAGGCAGTAACACGAATAATAAGAGCACAATATTAGGCCAATCGCATGCAAAAGTAGGAACACTATGACATGTGGAGTAATTTAAGATCGCGCTTCATACTTATACTAGTTATAACCATCCACTAATGAAATTACACGACAACTTGGCCGTCGTGACCGACAGTGTCCACCGTAGACTACAGACGGGGGGCAACGCCTTGTGCGTTGGTTCGTCTACAGTGGGCTTGCGCAGCATCTACCGAACTCCCTCCTCCTTCACCTAGACCCAGTGTCATTACTGAGTCAAGAAGACCGAGGGATGGAGAGGATGCAGGCGGCTGGCATAGGAAAGACACGTACCTTAGGGCATTTCATCACACCGGCTCGGACCCCATTGAATGGGCAAGCCACCTTAAGAATAAATCATCGTAGCCTGACTCTCAGTCCACCAGTCGGCCAATCCGCACGAACACAAAGTGGGCAGACTGCGAGATCCGAATTATCCCGTCAGTCGGCAGCCCCCTAAGCCACGGCTTTTAACACAGTGATAATCTTAAACGCGTCAAACCGTTTATAGTGAGGAATATGCGCCGAGGCATTGCCGGTATCACTCTCTCAACTGCCTCGCAATGATGACAGGTTGTGACCGAGACCACATTGCTGGAGGTGGTGGTTGGCTCGCCGCCGGGGGTGTTCTGACTGTTGGTGGTAGTGAAGGAGACTGTGACTGCCTTCGTCGCGGAGGCTGTAACAAGGACAGTGGAGATGGCGATGATTGACGGCGGTGGGACACCGGGGTGTCGATTATCGGTTTTGAGGGCAAGCGCCGTCATGGACGCCGTGAGGGTTGGAGCAGGGCCGGTCGTTGAGGCAGCATTAGGGGTTGTTGGACTGTCGGCGTATTGAATCCGAGAAGTCCAACGAGGTTGATCCGCGAACAGAACGTTCATTGACAGCGCGGATATTTTGGGATGTTGGCGTCGCGGGTCAGGACGCCTGACACTTGCGAGCCGCTCCTTTGCCTTTAACAGCTGTGATCTGGCTGGCTTCCTAGATGGCTGCTCCAGTCTTCATTGCTCTTCTCCAGACCAGCCGGTTCTGTGGGAGGTCTTTTCAAATATCCGGGTTTATTTGCAAGCACTAGTGTACTTGTAGCAACGGGTTGGTCCACCTTATCAGCGAGCACACGCAGCGGAATCTCCGTAGAAGATTTGTTTCGGTAGGTGCTCGTCGTTCATCCTCAGGAAGTGGTGGTTGATGCATGACCACCGTTCTGGCCGTGTTGATGATCAGCCGGAGGTGAAGAGATTCATGTCTGTCTCTGTCGCAGTATTGTGTGCGCGATCTTCCGAGAAGAGCAGATCGGGGGGCGGGGCAGTAATTGTGTAGAGACGCGTTGGAGCCTGCCTGTGCCGGCTATTGAGAAGATGGCCGCCGGTCTTGCAGGCGATGCGGATCCCGGGACGCTCATCCCCGTAGGCGTCTATCAGTGTGGTAGACAGCATGCGGCTGAAAAGGGTTGGGGGAAAGTACACGGCCCGATCTTACTCCCTTGGTTACTGCAAATGCGTCTAAGACGGTCCCGTTGCCCGTACCGCGCGCGCTATCATCCCCTCGTGGACTGACTCATCATCTTCGTAAATCGTTCATGATAGCCGAATTACGGCATAATTTTTCAAGCATATCGCAATCCGCCGTGTCAAAAAATGTCGTCAGATAAACGAAGGTGGGTAGTGTAGAGGTGGGTCCACATTTCTTGACAAGTCTCTTACGGCTGGCAGGCGATGAAGATCGTGTTGATGATTTCGCGGTGGCATCGAAAACCATACTGACATTCTGGGAGACGTCTCTGTATGGAGTGGCCGTTAAGACGGCTGAAGAGGATGTAAACGAACGGCTTACCAAGGATGTTTATCAGCGAGATGTTACAGAGTTGGTCAGTCTTCCGACAGTATTTGCAAATACCGTCACAGAATTGTCGGTTCCCTTTGCCTTGTCGCATCGCGTCGGATCCCGGCAATTTCCCGTCAGAGCTTTTGCGCACGGCTCTGATTGTCTCTGGGAGAAAAGGCGGGAGATCCAGATCATCGTTCATTTCTAGCTCAGAGACTCGGCCGACGGCGGCATCGAAGATTGTAAATGGGAGCTGAGGACACTCCTGAAGTGCTCGACTTAACGCTTCTGAATTTGTGATTTCTCTATGAGAAGTGTTTTTTCGTCGGAGCTGAGAGGTGGTGCCCTTCCTTTGGCCGTAGACCGCCCCATCTCATGTAGGGAAACTTTTCGTTTAATTCCGGCCCGCATGCCCTTGGAGGTCCTCGGCCTTGCGAAGCATCCATGCGGCCTGCATCACAGTCTTTTTGCACGAGGCAGCGACATCCGAAGAAGGTCGAATCGACTGTCAATGTAGGCTTCTGTGCAGTCTGTGCTTTTCGGCGTCGTTGTCGTCGAACTAATCCTGGTTTTGGCGAGGAGTCCAATACTTTTAAGGCAGTGGTGTGAATAGTATTCCGCAGTTGACACTATCGAGTCTCCACGGTAGCGTTTTCGTCTGGGGCCGGCAGTTCTTTCAGGTTTTTGGCTAAGTGATTGCAGAAATATGAACGGGAAACAGGCGAATTCAACGGAGCCGTATCTAACTTACCTTGGTGTCGTTTTCCTCGTGGTCTCCTGCGGTGTCACACTAGGGTCCTCATCCGTCCAGCCGTCGCCGTCGCATATGGCCTTGGTTACCATAAAGCCCTGTCGATCTGGCCTCCGGACGAGTACGTATTCCAGAAGCTGTCAGTGCCGCAATCGTTGGTGTACGCAGGTCTTTTCTTCCGCACAGGAAGGTGGAAAAGGTGTTGGTGATCTGAGCATAGTGATCTGTGCATGTTTGCAGGCGAAGAAGTTCGTTGTTGTTGCAGTCGCTGATTCCATGGGAACCCAGAACTCCCCTCCAGGCGGCGTAATTTGCCCCGAAGAGGCCATTGAAGTCATCAAGGGCAATCAACTTGTCTACCTTCGGCACAGTCGCCTGGAGGATGTGCAGGCCCTCATAGGACTTGGTCTTCGTCTCGTAGGGGCGGGTGATTGGGGGGGGGGGAGCGTTGACACCGACAATGTCAGCAGACTTGGCTCTCCGAAGAGGCAGACGAAGGGTAAAAAAAGCAGTCATTGATGCCCTGAGGCAGACCTGGCAGTCGTCCCACGACTTCGTTCCGGACGGCAAAAGTGATGCTTGATTCACGTGTCTCTGCCTTTTGGGCGGCCGCTTTCGAAGAAGATGGAGCCGACACTTACCTCTCCCGGTTGGCATTGTTCGGAGAAGCGAGTTTTTTGTTTTTCATTAAGGTATTTCGACCGCGAGTTTCGAATCTACTACCCGCGGTTTATTAGCAAATGGCGCGATTCTCCAGCAGTTGTTTAGGTCATCTTTTAGCCCCTTCATCGCGAGGGAGTAAACAGTACTACCCTCCGAAAGAGTGTCTTAGACGCCCTATATGGCTGCCGAACTCCTTCATGGGTCACGGCTTTGTTTGGCGCGAGAGCGACCCCAGGCAGCCAGGACCACTTACGGGATTGGATGTTTCCCTCCCCGTAGGATCTTTACCAGTGAGAGGAAGGAGGAAGGAAAGAAGAGGGGAAGTGGGGGTGAAATGGGAGAAGGAGGATAGGATGGGAACGGAATGCATAAGTGTGGGGGTTCACCCAGAACTGGATACCTTCATATGATTTAGTCCGCCGGTCGGAGTGATTATCGGGCTATGGTGGCTAGGTAGATCCTAGCTTGTGGGAGACACGCGTGAGGTTTGGGTGCCAGTTAAGGATCGTGAGGAGTATTCATTATTTGCATGGTGCGATCTACCACTCATGCGCTCACGCGCCCTTTCTGGACATCCTTACACTCCATCCACTTTTGAAGTACGTTTCACTTCACGGTACGGGGACATTTTCTATCGAGATTTCACAGGCCGCGATGCTTGCGAACTTCTTGGCATTTCACGTGCGAACTTGCGCGACACATTTTAAAAGTGGAGTATTTTGACCCCTCGGCATCTTCTGCCGGGGCTATTGCTAACCTCTTCTGATCTGATAAATGCGCGCAATGGAGATTATGGAAGTAAGAATTGAGCCGCAAGTCGCAACAGGATGAACGTACATAGTAACTTGGTCGGTAAACGCTATTTTCGTGATAGTGACTATTTCTGATCATCACCGACAGGCCAAAGGACACATGTTTGCATGTTACAGCGCTGTGACTAACGCACAATAACAAAAAACCCAGGTTAGAATCATTGGACACCCAAACCCCCGGAGTGGCTATGGCTTGAATGCAGAGCTGATCATCCCGATTTCCACCGTTCTGCGTATATTTTCATACCGTACTTCTTCTGCACAAAAGCCCTGTCACACTGCAAAATCACTCTACCAGGTTTTGGATTTTCCTTCATGGGACAGATAAAGGTAAGTCGCCACCAACAGGATTGTGCTTCCTCTGTCTGAATGAGGAAGAAGACTGTTTGAGCACCGAAACCATTTGTTTTCTTTGTTTGAGCTTTCGAACTCGTGTAGAGGCCCATCGTCAGGCATTGGGAAAACGCAAAACAGGTGATTGTTATAGGGGATATTTGGCAATCAATGTCACTGGGCCCTGCATGCCAGTGTCAGATCGATACACTGATTGCGATCCGGGCTTCATTTAACGATCGACTGGTCATGTTTCCGGCGTGGACGACTATCTTACTGGCTACGAAGTTAAACTCGTGACCTGGTTCGAAGTTGTGTGCGGTTACAGTTATAACAGTCGCCTGTTTTGTTGTTTTTTTGCTGCTGACGGTAGACCCCTGCACAAATTCGAAAGCTCAGGCAAATAATGATTTCGATGCTCAATCAGCGTTCATCCTTTCACATACATACAGTAGATGTGCTAACTCATAAAGTGTCAACCAAAATTTCGAAATGCGTTCTCGTTTCGAAAAGATAAACTGAGTAGTGTTGTAAAACTAATTACGATGCAGCATAAATCTATAATGATCCACTTACCTCAGGGTATCGGCCTTCGAAAGAACTTATTTCCGGCTGCATGCAAGATCTACACACTGCAAAAAATGACTACTTACGTAGTATGCAAGTTTCTCATTGATTTTCGATGCCCTTGAAAATTCAATTATATTTCATGGAAAACATGCATACAAATAATCATCCTTTTCCTCATTTGGTAGAAAATCACGTCTTCTTCCAACTTCATACTCAAAGGAACAATGTAATTCGGTTTTTAAAAACTTTTCTAATTTCCGAATAATTTTGAACCCGACCTGCTTTTACACTTTCATTCAGGGTTTCAAAACTACAAGCTGTATTTTTTCCGTGTACGGAAATCCATGCATTTCTCTACGGTGTTAAGAGGAGACCATGTGAGGTTTATAGAATGAAGCAGTGGATTTGAGCAATATTGTTAACTTTACAAGCCACATTCGTAAATGCAGATACATGACGTTTCATGAACGGTCATTTAACGGTAGTAAAACATCTCACCATTAAAAACTTTTTTAAAACCGAATTATACCCTTCTTTTGAGTATGAAATTGGAAGAAGACGTGATTTTCTACCAAATAAGTAAAAGAATGTATATTTTTATGCATGTTTTACATGAAATATAATTGAATTTTCAAAGGCATCGAAAATCAATGTGAAAATTGCATGCTACATGAGTAGTCATTTTTTGCAGAGTATAGATCTTGCATGCAGCCGAACATAAGTTCTTTCGAAAGCCGACACCCTGAGGTAACTGGATCATTATAGATTTATGCTGCATCATGATTAGTTTTACAACACTACTTAATTTATCTTTTCGAAAAGAGAACGCATTTCGAAATTTTGGTTGACATTTCATGAGCTAGCACATCTACTGTATAACCGAAAATTCGAGCATTCGCCTCATCATTGGCCATATGGAGATGAGGATATCCTGGAGTAAAAAAACATCCAGAAATGACGGAGTGAAAAAGGTTTTTGGTAAACGAAAACGGCAAAAAGATTGGTTGAACGTGTAAAGATTTTTTACAAGACCATACGATGGCGGGCGTCCAAAAATTTCCACAGGTGAATTGTACCAAATATACTCATACCTGTATTTACTTCCATGAATGTCGTCGAATTTAAACCTCGAAGGGCCTTTTTATCTAGTTTTTAAACAGACTTGAGTCGAACTTAAAATTCACCAGTTTTCTGGAGCAGATCAGCGGCCATTGAGTTACTGCCTGGGTTTTTCCTTCTCAGATTTGTAAAGCTGCTCAAAATTAATCTACTCAGCCAGCCCTGTCTCCAGTTTTATCAGCAGATTACAGTCAGTCTCGCTCGCCAAAACGTGGACGCCCTGATTTGGAACAGTTAACTGAGAATGCCCGTGTTAAGGACTTACCAGGGTCGTAAAAAATGACAAAAATATAACCTTTCGTGCCTAACTGAAAAGGCATGTTTCCAGCCGAACCACACGAACCAAAGCATGCGAACGTGAGCAGTGCAGCCAGCAAAGAAATTTGCGCGCGGCGGTCGAGGGGTCGACCCTTATCTCGTTGCCAAATCATTAGCCAATCATTTTTGCCGTTACACTGCCAGAGAGTTGGCTTTCGCTTATCTGGATTGGGATCTCGACCATTTCCAATTTGATAAATGGGTAGTAGAAGGCGAAAAACGACACTCAGGGATAACCCCCTGTTTTTCTCTATTAGAGCGATCAGACTGGTGATGTTTGCGTGAAGGCACTGCTATTTCCACTGCAACGTAGAGTGCAGAAAATAGAGCGTTTGAGGTTGAAGTACTATCCCGAGGAAGATAGGGTAGACGATGTGGTCATCTCAGATTGATGTACTACCATCATTATCAATCAGTCGACCATGCTAAACGTCGGAGAGGGAACCAGGTGGGCATAAAGTAGGTGGACTAAGTCATGACGTGTCAACCGAAATTCCCAAACGCGTTTTCGCTTCGAAAAGCCTAATTAAATAGGGTTGTAAACCTAGTCAGCCTGCAACATAATTCTGTAATATTTCAGTTACCTCAGGATGCCGGCTTTCGAATGAACTTCCTTCCGGCTGCATGTAAAAACTACACTCTGTAACAAAGGACTACCGATTAGCGTGAATTTTTTCATTGATTTTCGATGCCCCTAAAAGTCCAATTTTATTTCCTGGAAAACCTGCATAAAAATATTCATTCTTTTACTCATTCGGTAGATAATTACGGCCTCTTCCGATTTTATGCTCGAAGGAAGGGTATAATTGGGTTTTCAAAAACTTTTCCAATTCCCGAATAATTTTGAACCCGACTTGCCGTTACACTTGGATTCAGGGTTCCCAAACTACAAGCCGTGCAATTTCCGTGTACGGAAAACCACATATTTCTCTAGAGTAATAAGGGGGCCCCTATAGGGTTCATAAAGTTAAGCAGTGGATTTGAGCGACATTGTCAACTTTACAAGCCACATTGGTAAATGCAGAGACAAGAAGATTTATGAAGGGCCATTTCACGGTATTTAAAAGTCCCACAATTAGAAACTTTTTTAAACCGAATTATGTCCCTCCTTTGGGCATAAACTTAGAAGACGCAATTTTCTACCGAATGAGTAAGAGTGAATATTTTTATGCATGTTTTCCATGAAATATAATTAGACTTTTAAGGGCATCGAAAATCAATGAGAAAAATTCATGCTACTTAGGTAGTCATTTTTACAGTAGTCTTTGCATGCAGCCGGAAGGAAGTTCATTGGAAAGCCGGCATCCTGGGGTAGCTGAAATATTATAGAATTATGTTGCAGGCCAACGAGTTTTACAACCCTACTTAATTAATCCTTTCGAAACAAAAACGCATTTCAGAATTTCAGTTGACATTTCATGAGTTAGCCCACCTACTGTATTTCAAATCCCAGGGGAGCAGCGCTCACGGATCGGTTCGGTCCCCCTCAGCCTTGGATAATGAAATCCTACATACTTCAGGCGACCACTTCTTAGAGCTGCAGAACTACTTATAAATGCCAAAAACTCGATAACTGCAGGCACGATCACCCTGAGCCAGGTTGCTCGGAGGAATCGATCAGATCGCAGAATGCTTCTTCCAGGTGTGAATACTATTCGTCCTTTTTATAGCAAAATACCTTGAGTTTTCCGATTGGTCTGT